ACCGTAGGCGCTGTGTATAGTGTTTCAACCAGAAAATATATCAGAAATACCGTGTTCGATTCTCTCTCTACGTATGCAAGACAGTCAGACAGAATAAAGATCAAGGCTTCGGTAGGATTCTGGGTGTCGAACCGAATGGTGTTGAATCGATCTGCTTCTAGGTACCAATATCAACTTCTTACTAGGATTTGTCACTTAGGATGTGGACTTTAAATCCACGGGGATGTTGCGGCTGCAGGTGTCAAGGAGACGCTTATGTCAGGTGAACGTGGCACAAAGCACTTCAAGATGGATCTCTCCATAAATCCCGGGAGCTACCGACTATTCTTACTATTTACGACATTATACAATGGTTCCAACCTTATCTCGGTGCGTCCCTAATTACCTACATATACATACATCTTAGGTATAATGTAACCGGCCCACGACGGAAACCCATATCTAATATACGACCTTGAAAAAGAACCCTGGAAATAACCTTGGAAAGTGATCGAGTCATATTAAACTACATTTAACATTCAGCACTAACCCCAAGCAAGAGTTATCGGGGGTTACTTCCGAGAAGCCGAGACAAAGCCACAATCCCCCGATGTGACCCAAGCGTCGGGACCGGTGATCGGTCATGTCCCGGCTATACTAGAAGCGGTTTGTTCAAATGGAAGACTCTCGGCTTCATTGACTATCCCGTGGCCGAAACCGGATAGGGATCGGCCCAGACCCTTGGCAAGAATGCCACATCGTATCTATCATGTTCTTGGGACCGGGACCGATGGCCTCTTATTGTACTGTATTAATGTACTGTGTACTAGATCGAGCTCGATGCACTCGTAATTCTCGTGATGTGCTAATATCTCCCCGTTGAATTGTGATCGTTGCTTATTCAAGAGCAATCAAATGTCATCACCTTGACTACATTGTTTACTCACATACTAATAGCCATAAAACAATCCGTTCAGCGAATAATAATGGTATAATTTATAACTGGTATCGCTCAGTCGCGAAAACCCATAGCATACATGACGCCCCGCAGATCGTAAATCTTAGTCTTTCGAGTCAAAGCAAACACAGAAAAACAAAAGACAATTAGTTTTAAAAACGCGCCTGCCCTTAGAGTATTCATAACCAAAAAAAAAAAAAAACAGAAACAGAAAAGAAACAGCGATCAATGGTTGACGTGGATGTTGACGACGTTGATGCTGTTGCGGCGAGAGTTGGCACGGGAGTTCGCTTGAGAATTGACCCGGGAGTTTCCTCGGCTGCCAATCGTTGGGCGGATGCGGAGGTCTTGCTGGGAGCGCACATAGGAATTGAGGCGAGACACCGGAACAACCTTGGATCCTCGTCGGCTCTCGACCTGCATTTGGTGTCGAGCATCCTCGAGCCGCTGGGCAAATGGAGAACGCTTGCGCAATTCTGGGCCCTTCCAGTAAATGACATAGACCGCAATGACAAGTGGAATGGAGATGCAGACTAGAAGAACGTTAGACCGATGGCTCATGTAGAGAGATAGGAGATAGACATACAGAGAATGGTCGAGGCATATTCAAGATGATACTTGCCGCCGATATCTATCAAAAATCGTTAGTATAGGAATGCGAAAATTTATTGTATGTGAACTTACTGGTATAGAACGGTGTGGCCGGGATAGTGAGAACACCAGCAAGGAAGTCTCGCGACCATCCATTGCCACCGGTCGCAGACGCAGAGTACGGTCCGTAGGCGCAGATCATATAGTCGATCGTGGCCATGTAAATAGCATAATTGGCAATACCGATAATGGCAGCAAAGATCATCGATCCAATCCAGTGGCACTGGGGCAAACTGGTCCAGGCGAATCCGATCAAACCAATGGGTAGACAGGGGACTGTATACAGCAGCCACCACAAGCGAGACTCATACTGTGCCCGTTCGCTGTCGGGATGGTCTCGGCGCTCTTTGACGTTGCGGCTGATGACCGGGAAGAAGGAGAACCAAGCGATGAAGTAGCCAACCAAGATTGGGATGAAGGCCAGACCCTTCTCCCAGGTGTTGAAGCCCCACTGGCCGTACACAAGGGAGAGCGACTGGATGAACATGAAAATAAGGGCATCACTGAAACCACTGAGCAGAGAAAGCACCAGTACAATGGGTTCAGTCAGGAACATCTTGAAGGGACGAATCCAGGTAGCCATAAGCTCACGAGGCGGGAAACGCTGGCGGAAGGACACGCCCTCGGTAGGACCGTAGATGTGGGGGTTTTCGCCGGTCTTGCGCATATTCTTGGCAATCCGATTCATCATAACGGTAGTTCTGGTTTCGGGGACGAACAGGTAGTGGGCCACTTGCACAAAACCACCAAAGATCAACTGAATCCAGATGTTCCACCGCCATGGTAGGAAAGCCTCGACGAAGCCACCAACCACTGGACCAAGCACAGATCCACCAACCGATGAGAATACGACAGCGGCCACGGCGTATTGTTGCGCATCGGGTTCCCACAGATCGGCAATCATTCCCAGGGTAACGGAACCACCGGCGGACGAGAGACCACCGAGGGCACGTCCGACCATGATGGAGGCGAAGTTGGGCGCCAGAGCCACGGGGAGTTGAAAGACGTTGACCAGGAATAGAGAAGCTTGGAGAATGGGCTTGCGACCCAGCTCCTCACTCCATGGTGCCCAGAGTTCACAACCGAAAGCATACAGAACCAAGAAGATCATGGCACCACAGCGTGCAGCCTGCATGGAGACACCGAACTCTTCTGAGATTCCCGTAGCGGCGTTTGAATAGAGCGATGTATTGAAGTTCATAGATGTTTGGACGAGGAAGATGACGGAAATAATGGTCCACTTCTTCTTTTCAGAGAACGAGTATCCTAGTCGCTCGTAGCACATGTCCTCGGTGAGCTCAAGTTCGGCCGAGGGTGACTCCAAGGCCTCCTCAAGCTGATCATCTTCTTCCAACTTTTCAGTAGCGGCATTGACGACGGCTTGGGCGTGAGCAGCTTCTGCTGCTTGCACGGTATCCCGTGGAGGGATACCGGGCTTCTCGGGGTTGATCGTCATTGTTGAGACGTAGAAGTACAGGGTAAACTGGTATCAAGACCAGTGATAGAAGAAACCCCAGGAAATGAGGGTACAAGTAGTATGGAGAAGATCAATATAGAGAAAGAGGAAAGGAAAGAGGGAAGCGGAAAACCGAGCAATTAAATACAAAAAGGAAAAAAAGGAAAGAGCCAAATGCAGAAAAGACAAGGTTTCCAGGGTTCACCTGGTCAGTACATTTCCAGTACAGTTCAGTACAGTGTTTTTGCATGTCACTTTCCCACGTTTTTATGTGATCGGCCAGTGATATTATTCTATTAATTTTCATGACTTTTACTTGATTGACCTGGTACTAACCCTGACGGGATGCCGATATCCCCCAATCGGTCCCCACTTTTCTCCAGACTGTCTCCAGAGTTTCCAGAGTCTCCAGAGTCTCCAGACTTTCTTTTCTCCTAAGTATACTATCTAGATACCCTATGAAAGAAATTGGAATGTTCCTGATGCCATTAACTAGTACACAGTAAAATATAATACAAAAAAGAAAGTATTTTCTTGCTGGTTCCAAGTACACCGGAATAGGAAGCTCGCATTGGGGTAGTTAGACCCACACAGAAATGTACGGTCCCCCATCTCTCTGGAACTTCCCCGTTGCCGCACTGGGCCGAAGATATGTCCGTTTCGAGTTTTCAATTGTAACATCAAGTCTACTCCGCAAGATCGGGATATCAAACCCCATGTGCCCCGCGAAGTAAGGAGCATTATTGCCGACCGTGCCCGGACCGCATGGTTCTCCATGGAAATTTATGCAAATGATAAAGGGGCTGAAAAAAAAAACATCATAAAAGAGAAAAAACACACATCCATGGGCTCTGAACTAGTGCCCGTTAAAACAAGATATTGCCAAGTCGCCCATTACTTGCCTTTGCTGTAAGTGACGTCAGGCTAAAGCCAGGTCAGGTACTGCGGCTAAAGAGCACTAGGGAAAACCATGTCTATCTTACGGGCGTGGCGTTCAGGCGTCATGGCTGGGGGCCATGACCTCCCAGGGCTCGGACTACGCTTACCCTGTGGCTTATGATCGACCGAGCATTGCTTAGTATTTTTCTTCTTTTCTTTCCCGGATTATCAAATCCTACGATCCGCGAAAAAACCTACCATTCGGCGATCTTCCGACTGTGCGTTCCAGAACGTGGTGTCGAAGACTGTCAATTACGTACTTATCAACCGCACTACACGGTAGATGAACCGAGTCCCTTGCAGTGCACCTAGGCCTTTGCTTTTGCGGACGGTTACATTTCCCCAGTTACATTTCCCCATGATTAACTGATTCTCACCGCCATTGCCCACTGGGGTAAGAAGGCCAAAGGTTTGTCTCGAGTCACATCGGCTTCCAAGGGATAAACGTCCGGAAATAACCATAGCCCACGTCCCCCGGCCCCCGAACCCGGACGCTGGTACATTCCTGTGGCAAATCATATCGCTGGGATCGACAAAATCGTATCGCGAGTGCCACGCGACCCTTGGATGATCTTTGCGGCGATCCCATACTTGGAATTTGTTTACATGGACATAATGTAGATGACTCTTGGAACTTGTAATTTTGAGCGCCACTCGGAGAACCCGGCGTCCCCTTCTGACCCTGCGCGCAACCAGGGGCCAAGATGCGATTTGCTATGGTACGACCTTAGTGCGCCTGGCCTGGCCCATGTTCCGGAAGAATCCTATAAGCCCCGAGAGAAAGAATCCGAGTTGTACGGAGTACATGGTCGGGGTGTAAAGAGACTCGGGTGTGAGTGAGCTAGAGCATTCCATGATATTCAGTAGCCTCAGGCATGAATTACTATAAACGGCTTTTATATCACGTGGCCGACCCCGCGAAAAGGAAGTGATGAGTCATCAGATCCTCACAGGATGCCTCACGTCACAGATTAGAGCTTCTGCCATAGTCAATATCAACGCGGTTATTACCTGAAGATGCCCCCGGATCTGAACTCCCTTCCTCCATCTCGCTCATCTTCAACCTCCTCCTCCATTCCACGTAATATGTCCGCTCCTGGAACTGGGCCGGCGCCCGTGAACCCGAACACCGCCTCACCAAGGCCCTCCCGTGGCTCGAGCATAGGTCGCCTCTCGGTATCCGAGCGACGTCGGTCCAATGTCGGCATGAACCTGAACCTAAATGAGATGGGTACTGGCCACGGAGCTAGCGAGTTACCCGCATCAGACCACCACCATCGCAGCTCGATCGGACATGCATTCCGTACAGCCAGCCCGTCCAGCCATGGAGGAAGCCCTGTTTTCGCGACTGCCGATCCCCATCATCAGCGCGCACCATCGCTGGGAGAGCTACACCAAGAGCTGGAGCAAGAACAGGAAGCACAAGTGGTGGGTTGATCCTCAACCCTGGAAGCCTTGTAGTAAGCTAACCAAGTAACCTTGATGAAATGTAGAACCGTCTGCTTCAAATGATCCGCAGCCAGCAGGCTCAGTTACAACAATACCAGCAGCAACAGACCCCGCAATCATCCGCTGCAATCGACGACACAACCCCGGCTTCCGAACGGTCGGCTTTCTTCCCCCCCGCCCCGGCACCCCCAGCCGGCAACAGATTATCAATCTCGTCTTCATTCTCAAACCGCCGAAATTCGCGACCTTCAAGTCAAGCGACGTCACCGAACCTGCGGCCGCTAGACTCGCGTGGACCGGAGGGCGTGGAGCCATTCCCGGGGTTGCGGGACAGTCCATCTCGGCGCGGCAGCCGGGACGAGAGTGCCTTTTACCAAGCTGAAGCGAGCTCGCTAAGCCGAGAAAATGTGCTCCTGCGGCAGCGGATTCGGGAACTAGGTAAGAAAATCCCTGGTTAGCGTTTTTAGCCTAATTCTACGGAGTAACCCCACCCCGAGGGTGGATCTCGATTTCAAGCGCCTATACTAATTTCTTTCACAGAGAGACAAATCAGCGGCTTGACGACTTCCCAGAGCGCGTCCTCCGCAACAACTACTTCGGGCAGTGCTTCCGGGCAAGCGGGGACCGAAACCGCGGACCCGCCTGCCGTGGGTTCACCGCGAGACGGCAAAGACTGAAAAACGCATCCAGCACGAGGTCTCGGCCCGTTGAAATGACCCCCACAGAATACGATACAGACGATAATAATCCGGATGTTTTGAACGCTCTACGATGCAATACCACGGAGAATGACCACAGAAACCCCCTCAACGCCTAAGCAACGGACGTTGCGTGATTTTTCGATCTTGGCGTCTAGATTTTCGTGGTCATCGACTCTTAGTTCCACCGATATCCCATCTTTCGAGGACGATGTTTCCATTTCTTTGGAATACGCAATGTGATGTGCGTTTTTCAAAGTTGCAGTGTGATTTATCTTATGCAGGATGTGCTGTTGCTAGCAAAACTTCCCATTGGAAGTGTCGAGGTTTCAATATAGTAACCCCGAAATCCATGCAGAAACCCATGACAATACATGTTGACTTTCTTCACTGCCTTATAAGTAAATATTCAGGAAGTTGAACCTAAGATGCATAGACACTGTGTTTTCCCACACCGACTTTGACACCCTTTCATCGTACAATACCGGTTTGCTATGTTTATATGGATTCTACAAATGAAATTACTAATAGTCTTAGAGAATGGTCCGACTATATGATTCACATGGGCATTGCTACTTACTCTATGCTTGACTGAGGGTTTTACCGAAGTTCTGGATTTCACACCATTTGCAGTTGAGCCTCTGCCTGAGAAAAACTACCTTGACCTTATTGACTTGCCTAAATACTATGACACGATGGATAAAATTCTAAAATGGGCGTGGCTAATTATCCAAGGAGATGTTAGCAAAGAAGGCTTAAAAGCTGGGAATTGAGCCCAGCTTGATATTGCCTTTGTCGTTAGGTATATCTCTAAGTCGCTTTATGGATACCATCCCACTGTAAAGGAATAAATCTAAAAACAAACGAAAATCAGAAAGAGACAGAAAGGGAGAAGAGAAAAAGAAACCGAACACGAGTCAAAAAGAGGAACATGGTGCTAGCCGCAGAGTAACACTAGCAAGAGCAAAAGCCATATTTACTGTCTAGCTTGAAGATGTTCGGCTGGCCAAGATGTATGAAGAAAGTGTCAAGAGTGTCTTCCATAGTCTCCCTCTTCCCCCTTTTCTCCCAAATCCCTAAACTCAACTGGAATGCCACTTCACATCCGAGAACATGGTGGAACAAAGAGAATTAGGATTGCGTGCTGAATTAGTCCATTTTCAACCATTCGCAGCCTCCAATTCACAGTTCAGAGAGACCAAACGGGCCTGACGATTGTCGTTCTAACACCAGATGCCGCACACGTGTCGAAGCATGTGTAAGACAATTCCTGACCTGATACCTTGGATATCTTATGTTCTGCTAATACGATCACGAATTGTGGATCGTCATTGGGGAATGTGGCCCTAGCTACTTCAAGAAACACAATAGCTCGTACGATGAGTGCGAGTCGTCATTTCGCATGCAGCTATCGGGATGAAGGTTCTATGGCTCTGTTATACTTTGGAATAGGAAATGTAAACAGGAACTATGAATGGACACATTCTTTGATCCAAGTCTAAAAGTAAAAATAGAGACAAATCAAGTTGTGCACAATAACAAGGAAGTATAGATACAAGACATTCCAAGCCCAAAACAATATATTCATCTATCAGGCGCTCAAGGAAACAAAAATCCAAAAGCACCAAAAGTAACAACAAAAACCGGGTATATGCAAGACACATCTACAGCTTCGGCTTCTCGGCCTGGGCAGCCAGGTCGGGCATGAGGAGGTCACGAAGCTCAGTGGCAGCCTCATTGAGGAAATGGCTCATACGCTCAGCACCGATACGCTTGCAGACGATGTTGAAGTTGAGACTGGAAAGGATTAGTGATATGAAATGGAAAAAAAAAACAAGGGATAAGGGGGGAGGGGACTGATGCTTACCTGTTCTCGTTGATCATGTAGGCAATTCCGAAACCATCGTCAATAACCTGGCTCCATCCGTATCCGTTGAAGTACTCGGAGCTCAGCTGGGAGGTGGAGAGGTACCACGAGGAAGAGTAGGTGTATGCGGGATCCTGGTAGAGCTCGGGGAGCTTCTCGCCGGGCTGGAGAAGCTTCTTCAGACCAAACAGGTGACGGTCGACACCGTGGCCGGAGCTAGCCTCCTGGGTGTACTTGGTGTGCTGGGCAATGGCAGCGCGGAAGAGCTTGACGGTCTCCTCACGGGAGGTGGTGTGGTCCTCGTGAGCCTTGCAGAAGGCGACGCTCTCGTCGGAGACGGTCCGGGTTGTCTCTGTGCGGCCCTCGGCGTATTTGCGGGTGGAGGCGGACTCGTAGGTGGGACGGTTCTTGCCGTACATCTTGAAATAGGCCAGCTGGATGGTCATCTGGACGAAGGCATCGGGGCTGCACTTGAACTTCTTGATCAGACCCTTGCCGTAGCCCTGGTAGGCCTGGACGACCAGCTCGTGGGAGCCGATCTGCTTGCGGTGGTACTGGGTTGCGACGTCGATGGCCTCATTGGCGGCGTCATTCAGCTTGAAGTTGATGGGCTTGGGATCGGCGAGTGTGGAGCGCACAGACTGAGGGGAGAGGTCGATCTTCTTGTTGAAGATGACGTTATTGATATAGTCGTTCAGGCGGTGGGTGGGAGTACCGTCCATCATGCTGTGCTCACCGGTGAAACCAGCGGTACCGTTGTCATTGACAATGAACTGCAGAGGCTTGTCGAACCAGCGGTTGGAGCCATCGCCGTGCCAGTACTGGGAGCAGCGCTCAGCCAGAGTGACAGGGCGGGCATCGTCCAAGCAGAGCACGAAGCCAGCGGACTCGATCTCCTGCAAGGCCAGCTCATTGGCAGGGTCAAGAGAAACGAGGGTCTTGCGAGCAGCAGTCCAGTGATCACGGTCCGCAACAGTCAGCACACCAACGGGCGGCGCGGGCTGTGCGGTCTCGTAGATGCGCTCAAACTGCTTCTCCAACTCAGAGACATTGAGTTGCTGACCGTCCACGACGAGCGGGACCTTGAAGAACTGGTTCTTGCGCACCACCACGATGTGCTGGTTCTCAGCAGCGGCATACTTGCGAGGGAAATCCGCACCCTCGGCGGGGATACGGCAGCAGTTGAACATGTACTGGTACGAGCTCATGGCCTGAGGCTCCTTGCGGAGGTACTCGGGCTCCAAAGAGCCATCATCGACCTTGGACTTGAACTCAAGCGCAGCAGTGGTGATGGCAGCAGCGCGTTTGGCGGGGTTGCGACGCTCGCGATCGTCCCGGTAGGAGTAGAAGTAGGAGACGTAAGGGATGACGGGGTCGCGGTAGCCGAGGTAGGCGGCCTGGTTCCACCACTCGGAGAGCCAGTTCTTGATCTTTGGGTCGGCGGCGCGAGCCAGGAGACGCTTCTGCAGAGTCTCACCCTCACCACCGGGGCGGACGAATTCCGCCACGGCGTTCTTGGTGCGCTCATACTCGGACTCCGAGACCACAGCGTGGACGGACTTGAGGTACCGACGGCCGGTCTCTTCTAGAGAGGGAACGGGAAGTCTGGGGAGGGAGTCTTCGAAACGAAGCATCTTGCCCTTGGAGAGGTCCTCCTTGTACCCTATTCTTCTGTCAGCGAGTCTGATCCTGATTTCGGTATGGATGGGGGCGAGGGATAGCCCGCGCTGCGCCGGGCGCATGTGTTACTCACCCTCAGGGACGGAAGATGCCGTTCGTCGGGGGGCCATTGTGAGAGTCTATAGGCGAGTCAATGGATCGGTTCCAGGAGATTTCGCTGCACAGCAATTCACAGTATTTGTAACCAGAGGACTTACCGAGCGGGTGAGAAGAGGGTTTGAGGGAAGGCGTTGCCTTGGTAGGGTGGAGAGACGGCTTCGGGCAGAAGCAGTGAACATCCCTTTGGTTATATGAAAGGTTGTTTGGTGTAAGGAGAAGTGAACGTGAAGCTGAAAGGGAGAATAAGAGCGATACTTGGGGAAGACACTGACCTCGGCTGGCGGGGAAGCCGGTAAAACCGGTACGGGGTAGATGGGTCTGTATCTCCCGTGGGAGTGATTTTCAATCTTTCCCCACGAAAAATACCGACAAGATGAGTAATCGAGTTCTAGCTTGAAGGTATCCTAAGTAATTGGCTGTTTCATGCCTTTTATCGAATATTTTATGGTTTTTTAATGTGTTGACTTGTTGACTCTATGTATCTAAAGGTTATAGGCAAAAGTATACAATACGGAAAATACCAATACCTCCACCGATGAGCCTCGGGATGAGCCTCGGTCCATTTGGCAGTTGATCTTCAGTCACAAGGGATATCACCTGAGAATATTTACAATGTGCCATGTTATTTTATCGGAGTATGAAACATATATAAAATATCCAAAATATACAGAATGTACAAAATATACAAGATATCCCTATAAACTTCAATACTCCGGTTCTCCGGGCGATCGTGCGGGGAGAGCTTCTAGCGTAGGACTCCTACAATATACAGAGTGTGTTATACAGTCTCATTTCAGTAAAATAGAAAATAATATGAGATTATGTATAGATGGGAAAAAAATAAATCAAATCTCCCTTTCATCCGATCCCGTTGACCCGGCCAAAATAAATCAATACGAAGAATAACAAGAAAAGCCACCTAACATCATGTACACCGACTAGGGCACACGGGGAAAAGGAAATAAAAACAAATCAAAAAGTCATACAGACATCCGGAATATTTGGTACGTAGCTTAAGCCCAGGCCATTACGAGACTGGCTCAACGGCTGCCGGTTGATCCTGCCCATCAATCGCTCGAGGTACCTGCACCCTACTGCGACGTAGTTCATCCATTTTAGCCATGGCAGGCCCGGTACAGATGCGACCGGTCTGCATAAGCGTGCGGAGACGTTTGCGACGGGCCTCGCCACTGCGCTCTTCGCCACGCGCAACGCCCTCGTCCACCCAGTCCACCGCATGGACCTTGAAGCTCATGCCATCGTGACGACCGTCCCATTTGCGGGACTTCAGCCCGAACAGGAGAGTGCTGTCATACTGCGCCACGCGGGGAAGAACTAGCAGAGTGATGTGCAAATCCTTGTCGGTCGGGGGTATCGGGGGTAGGCGTGGGCCCTTCGTGGGGGAGGTACCGTCGGGAGTGGCTTCGGGTGGCGGTGCGTGATGGTAGGTATCTTTAATCTCCAGATCGAGCATTGACTCATCCACGTCGTCACCCCACGCACCGCGAATGAAGCCAGAGTGGATGGCAGCGGCGACAGGGTCCGAGTCGTCTGTGTAAACACCGGTGCCCCAGAGGGCGCGCCGGGCGCAAATTTCCTCTCGGTGAGATTGATTGATTCGAAAGCGGGGAACTCGGACGGTAAATGTGCAATTCTCTCGCTGTTCGAAGCGGGGAAGGGGCTGGGGGGTTGTTGTATATCCAAACTTGGAGCTATCCAAAGAGGACTTGGCAGTAGGGGTACCGATGCGAGGCGTGTAGAGCGTTGAGCCAAGGTGGTGCCGAGGAAGATGGGCCACGCTAGAAAGCAACGGCTCCAGGTTCACCGTAGTACGGGGCTCGCGGATAGGCGATGCAGCCGGAATGGCGGCTGGTCGAGGAACATGGTGATGATGGTGATGGTGATGTGGGTGGTGATGGTGGGCGGAAGGATCCGCTGGAGATGTTCGATGGAAGAAGGTAGGACGTTGAAGGGAGCTCAGGGTAGCCGCCTCTTCGTCTGCCTTGTGGCGATGATGGTGGTGGCTAGAGGAATGTTAGCATATGGATGATATGGATGGTATCTGATTAGGTGGAGCATACTGATGGTGATGGTGGTGGGAATGCCGAGAGCGACGGGCGTTACGTGCTGATAGTATCCCTCGGGCATCATTGGCCTCAAGTTCCATCTGTTCCTCATCGCGGGACTTTCTCGACCGTCTGCCGGCTGCAGAGGATGGTCGAGCTAGCTTAGACGCCTCATCCACCCCCTCTCCATTCGAGCGACCTGTGAGGCTATCGCGCTTGAAAGGACTAGAGCCCAATGGTGTCGATGGTCCGCTGCCACCAGTAGCCGCGGTGACACCACCAACACCGCTGCCAATACCGGAGAACACTCGCCCCAGTTCATTCTTGATCGCTGGTTCTCCAGCGGGGCCGATGTATGGAGCTTGAGCGCCTTGTACAGCCTGGGGAAGGGGTGACGCACGACCACCACGTTTCCCATCAGCACCGACGGCCAGCAGGCTGCGATGATGGAGCAGCTCCTCGCTTCCTTTGCGTCGGCCCTCATCGGCCAGGGCTGCTAAACCCGATGATGCGGCAGCTGTCGATGCGGAGATAGCAGGTGTTGAGCCTACCCGCGGAGGCTGCCCTTGGTGTCTGAGATATGGATCATTGGACGGCGGGGGGTTGGTTGACTATTTCGAGACTGAAGAGAGACCTGAGATTGTCTATTCCCACCCGGTTGCGACCCCAGTGATTTAGTGTAGCTTTGAATGGCCCCAAACCCGAAACTCGACCCATGCTCAGGTGCAGGGAAGCGCTTACTTTCCGGCGATGGAGGGTGGGAGCGACCGTGGTCCCATGTAGAGCCGCTCTGGTGACGATCGAGCGGGTCACGTTCACTGTAGTGGGAGCCATACCGATATGATCCAGGCTGGGTCAACTTGGCATCGGATCCATGGGCTGTGGCTCGTTCTCGCTCCCGTTGTGCAGTATCCTCAGAGCGCCGCTCACCAAACATGTTTGCAAACCGACCATGTTGTGGATCATGGTTTCCGTACGACCCAGATGCAGGCCGAGGGCCGGACTCCAAGGGGCGATCCGCAACCCCTCCGGGCTGGGAGATCGGACTGTAGCCGGGGGGTCGTGTAGGCGCGTCTGCATGGGGTGGCTGACTACTGGGCCGCGCGATCGGACCGCTAAGACTCATGCGACGAGGTTCGTTGTACGATGGCTCTGCCGTGGACATTCGAGGCGAAGGATGCGTAGAGTGTGGCTTCTCAGGATACTGTGAGAGCGACGAGCGCGTCAAACCTCCGAATACCGACTGCTCTCCACCCAGACTGGAACCTCCACCGGACCCAGACCGGTACGTACGGGCGCCTTGAGGCTTGGAGAATGACTTCTCCGGTGTGTGTGAACGACGGAAGAAAGAGTTATCGAGTGGGGAAGGTCTTGCCGGGGCAGTGGGTGGGGACATAGCGGCGGAAGACGATGATGGGGGTGCGTTAGCAAATATTGACGATGCAGGTGGTCGCGAAAAGAACGGCGCAGATTCCCGTGCAGGTTCTCGCGCAGGTCGATCCGGGTCCGAGCCTAACATCGCGGAAATCGACATGCTGCTGCCCGGTCGGTACGCCTGACCGTTTGGTACATCGCGCGACATCAAAGATCCCCCAGGCGCGTGGGTTGGTTGTGCTCGCGAGGAATATGAGTGTGGAGGAGACGGGGGCGGCATCTGGCGATTTCCAAATACCGGCGGTGCGGACTGTTCGTTTGGACCTATCAGACAGGTTCACGTTAGCAAATGTTTGTTTATACAAGGAGATTCCGAGATGATCGCGCATGTCCCAGATGGGTGACGAAATCAAAATGTATCGCGACAAAGGATGGTTGCACGGGGCTCTCGGGCCCAAGTCGGGTGCTCACCAGGAAATCCAGGACTCCCACTACTGCCCTGGGAAGTACGACGCGTTGTTTCGTGTTGTGATGGCGTAGTCATAACGGAAGCACCTAAGAGCCCTGTGAACGGGTGAGCAACAGTTCAAAAAAGGAAAGCAAGGGCCAGATCGAGGAGAACCCGTGACTCCGGAAGCTCCCACGCTAGTCCCAAAAAGGCAGGGGCTCATCTAGACGCGCTAAACCCGACCTGGACTAGTGCTCCCGAGCTGTCGTCCAGTCGATCTGCGCCACCGGGGAAAATCCATCAGGGGCAGTGTGTTTGGGAGAAGAAGGAAAAGGGTTTGGATAGGATTTGATGAGTCGCGTGGTTTTGATACGAATCCGATGACTACATAAACCCCATTCCTCCGGTCGCCCATTCTCAGAAAGGGGACTGTCACAAAAGTGGAGGTCACGGCACAAGTCCGATCCTTGGAATCCTCAATCTCGGGGCAACCTTTTGGAGGGAAAGTAAACACAAAACTAGAAATCTGGCCTACCTTCACGATATCGAACAGCCTGAGGTTGTGAATTATTCCTGCGATGTGTTTGTTCATGATTCCTCGTCTCAAGACTCCCATGCCGACGGTGTGCTTGTGTTTGTTCATGATTCCTCGTCTCAAGACTCCCATGCCGACGGTGTGCTTGTGTTGGGCCATTTCTCGGGAAGTATGCGCTGGAAGTATCCCCACGAGAAGTATTCCGTGAAGCGGTTGACTGATAGAGCTGTGACGGAGAGGGCGTGGTGGTCGAAGAGGGAGAAGGGTACGGGCGAGGCTTATCGTTCTCTGGTTGAAGAGACTCGGTAAAAGGCCCAGCGAACTGTCGTGGATCGCGAGGTCCTTGCGAGGCTCCCAAAGGCGAGGGCCGTGGCGGGTATGACTGTTGTAGTCGTCGGTAGTCCATGTCCAAAAATGTGTTGGGCAACAACTAGAGTAAGGTAGAAGATAGGAAGAGAAAAGAGAACGGAATGGCGGTGGAATAGTGAAATGCAAAAAGATGGAAATCGAAATGGGCTAGAGCTGCAGGATCGGTTGATCGCGCGACCCGATGGCAAGAGATGGGAGCGTGCAGAATGAAGGCGTTTAGGTGGCAAGTCCACAATCAACAATCAACAATCAACAATCAACAATCGAAAAGAAAGATTTCGAAATCTGAAATTTCTTCCAAAGTTGGGGGGAAACGGAGAAAAAAACGGTGAAGCGATGACGGTGTCTTTAGCGTGGCCAAGACTCTTCTATCTTGCATGCGGGGATTGTGTACAGACGTGTGGGTACATTTGACATGCAGCTATATTGTAGAAAAAGAAAAAAAAATATACAAGTCGTATTTCAAACATTCTTTTTTCTTTTCGGCATTGCCCAACCCACATGTTTATTCTCTAAATCCTGGAGGTGTCTTGTATTACCTGTTCCTTGTGTACTACATGTAGGATGTATGTGCTAGGCCTTTTTCGAGACTTGCATATGCAGGAAATCTGCTGGGATGATCAGTTTGGGCATGAAAGATGAAAAATGTCCTATTATACTAAGCTTTAGGTATACTTTATATATTTAACCTCTTCAACTGGACATGTCCTAAGATACCGAGGTAAAAGAACCAGTGACCCTCAAACGTCATAGGAAACATAACATTCAACATTTGATTGTGGAACCTCAGTCTTACTTCAATTGCAGCCGGCGCTTCCAGCTCATCCCACTCTTGGTCATGGCGCGCTGGGTGCGCTCAAGTGGGTAGTTGACCGGGGATTCACCACCAGTGAAGATGAAAAAGTCATATAGGAAAGCACCCATGAACCCACCACTTAGTGCCCCAGCCCAAGGCCCATAGAACCAGTAAGGATCAGTGAACAGAGTGCTAGGGTAACCGATAGCAAGAAGCGCAAGCCGAGGACCAAAGTCGCGACCAGGGTTGAATGCCGCTCCGGTCTGGTGGGCAAAGCACATGCTCAGACAGGTAATGACCAACCCAATAATCAGCGAGTTCATACCAGCACCGGGTGGAGCATTTTGGTCATCCCCAAGAGCCAGAATGGTGACGATCAAAAAGGCCGTACCGATAAACTCGTTGAAGAACGCCGTGGTAGAACCTACCCACACCTCGCGCGAGTTTGTCACGAAGCTGTTAATAACACCGGTATCCGGATTGAGGAAGAGGTAGTTCTGAATAGCTTCGTAGTAGATTCCATACGCAACAAGAGCCGCACAAAAGGCGGCCAGGAACTGGGCAGCGAAATACTCGGGCATCTTGCGTTTGGGGAAACCACGGTAGAACCACAACACCATGGTCACGACGGGGTTGAGGTGGGCTCCGGAAACACCACCACAAATGTAGATGGCCATCATAGTTGCCAATCCCCACGCCCAGGCGGTTGTGTTCGGATCACCCTGTTTAGCGACGGTGACGGACAAATCAACGCAGAAACCCATAGTGAGCTGGACAAACACACCCAGGGCCTCGGCAAGAGCTTCACGGTGGTGTGTACGGATGACCGACCAGGTGGTGTGGTTGTTATGCACTTCATCCTCGACCAGTTCTTGCACTAGAGGGTGCAGGTCTTCGGGGTAGCCTGCCTTCTCCAGTTCGGGAATATCTAAGAGTTTGTCTAGTCTTGCACTCAGACCTTGATTCTCTAGTGGATTATCACCGAACTCTGGCCGCTCCTCTGGTTCCTCGTTTGGAGAAACTCCCTCCTGCACAGTGGACAGTTGATCCGGGGGCAGATCCCAGACCGAAGGGCGTCTTCCCCTGACCGAGGAGGTACGCGACATGCGTGAAGTCTGTCTCGCGGAGGTGCTATCACCCGTGAGAATCTTATTCATGAGATTATTCTCACGCTGCAAACGTGCATCCTCAACCTGGGCGGCCATTTTGCGCGGGTCGGAAGATTTATCAATGCGACCTTGCTCAATATCATTTGGGTCAACCTCAAGCCCAAATCTCTGCGAGTTCTCCGTGGGATGCTGGGCTTTTGCTAGGTTCTGCAAGAGCTCATCCTTTGTTGGCACCATGCTCGACCGCACCACACGAGGGAGCGGTTTTGCCAGAGACCAGACTGGTCTGGCGTTGGCAGCTTGTTCATAAGATGGGTTTAGATCCGCATACCCTGGCTGAACGAAGGGCTCCTGAGTCAACCGCAGTTGGGGGGTTCCATCCGGTCCAGCCAAGGCGAATTTGCCGTGCATGCGCTGCGCCAGAGTACTGCGGGGAACCAAGCTGGGTACTCCGGTGCTATTACTACGTCTTGAGCCAACCGAGCTATATCGCCGGGTACCGCTGCCATTCTCAACGGGGACTCTCATGGGTGAGATATATTCGGCATCGCTGGTAGCACGGTTCCGGGCTGGTGACAGTGGCCGAGTACCAGACTAATAAGAATATGGATTAGATGATAGTTTCTTCCAGGTGTTTGCTTCGACTTACTCTCGCCCTCGGAAGTCTACTTTCCCCGTCCATAGTAACTCTGATTTGAGATGATCTACTCGCGCGATCGGGGAAGTTGATGGGTAAAAGGTGTTCCTTCCAAAAACAGAACAAAGCAGAGAAAGAGAAAGAAAACAAAAAAAGATCGAACAAGAGGAAACAATTTACCAAATTATCCCAACCCTTCCCGCAGTTACGCAATGGCTCGAGGATCTTCATTGAACTCCTCAATTGGCGTGTAGTGTGGATCATACTCTCAGCATATCAGAAGCTCCCGATAAATGAGATGTTTTAGCACTCGACATCATTTGACAGTTCCTTATCCTGATGTGAACCAAACAAGATCCGATTGAACCATTCTAGTGTTTTGACGCTATCAAATATCTGGATAACCGATTTCCTTGGCTTTTTTTAGTGCCTGCTATATATGGCCAGTGACAACAGTGCTAGCAGTGGCGTCCAGGAGATTCTCCTGTGAGATCCCAACTTTTTTAGAAAGCCCTTGAAAGTGTTCATCCTGGATCTCATGCCGTTGACTGATTCTAAGTTGAAGGTCACGGACGAGGGTGTACTCGCCGGTATAACGCCGTTCATTCTCACCAAGGGAACCCCCATATCGCTTTTTGTGAGGTCTTTTGTGAGGTTTTTCTTTCGCAAAGTCCCGCATCAACCGTCCTTCCGGTAAAGTAAAGAAGACGTCGAAATAAGAATGATTGACACAGCCAGGGAATGCCTCCGCTGTAGACGCTACAGTCACAAGGCGCTGAGCAACTCCTGCCCATCCTTATGGGACAAATATCGCTCTACCAGAGAATATTAAGTCAACGAGTTGAGGGTATAGCTTATGTCTCAGCACCAAGCATCAAAAAATGCCCGTGCCAGGTCAACGTGAAAGTTGTCATTTCGGGGTCAAAAAGATGGCCCACAGTATCGTTTGTAGGGTTGGGGGACCAAACAGATTGGCTTGGGATATTAAGAGTCGGTAGGGTAACTTGGACTATTAAGAAAGGATTGAAGCTTATTATTGTAGCCTAAGGTAGGACAAAGAGCTTCAGCGCTCCTTAGCCTCTCCAGGGCTCTTACTCCTGTTCCTTCCTCCTTCCACCTCCCATTCTTCCCCCATCTCTCTCTCCTCTCTCCTTTCAATTTCTCTTTCATTTCGAGTCTATCCCCATTATCTTGATTCTCTTCTTCCCTAATACTCCCATGAGGTTGCATCACTTCTCTTTGCGGATTCTTGGCTGATATTATATGTCAGAGTAAGTTCCCTTTCCCTTTGTCTCGGCCGTGTCCAATGTCAACGAATCAATTTATTCCTGCTTTGGCTAGTCCCAATCCTCTGACGAGGCTGGATTCACAATCTTCACTGCTTTCCCCCGATCCTCACTGCATTTCCCTTCGCCTCGCCTTACTACTCTACGTTCAGTCTTGGGAGGGGCGGTATTTGTAATTCCCGTTGCATTCGTGATCCTCTGTTGAGGCCATTGCTTTCATGATCCCTCATTGAGGTCATTGCCTTCATGATCCACTGTTGAGGCCATTGCCTACACGGTCCTCTATGAGGTCGTTGCCTTCACTCGGTCCTCTGATGAGGTTGGCGTTCTTACTTCCTGTTGACCCTTGGCCGGGCCGATGCTGTTACAATCTCGACTGTTGCTCTGCAGGACTGGGTGCTCTGACATCACACCGCGGGTCTGAGCTTGGTGCAGCGCTGATATGTGTGCGATCAGCTTTTCTCGATCTACGCCAGGCGTTCGACGCGCCCAACGGAACCATTTCCCCTCTGCGCCCGTTCAAATTCCCAAACCAAACTCTCCGAGTGTGACTATTTGTCGCAATATTCAGAAAGCACCTAGATCAAAATCTCTTGGCACGGCGCAATGTATATACATGCATGGTGGTATGCTGTTACTGCGCACCTCAAAATCCAATCATCTCTCTCGTGCTCTCCCTCCCTCTTTTGGTTTAGTATAGACGGTTCCTCAATTAACATATTCACTCTTAAATTGCCGAATAGAAGCAGCCAGGTATAAAGTAACATTGATGAATGCGTATCTGATGTAGTCTTGACATGCTTAATCTGCCATTTGTCTTGGCGTCTTGGCGATTAATTCGAGTGACATCCACGGATGTGCCTTGTTACGTACACATGTTGAATATATACTCTGTGCGAATACATCTATTACCTTAGCTTTTTATAACACTTCCTTGACCCGAACTAGCCAATTTAACAGACCTCAACTCCTCCCGACGATCATGCAAATGCAATCGCCAATCTTGATTGCGTGCTTTGCGCAATTCCTTGCACAATTGCGCGATATTCACTCGTCTTGGATACTTTGAGCCAGCAATATCTATAACTACCACGCTCCTCGCACCATTAGCCTTCAGCAATCGAGACTCTCCAACTTGGTTCTTTATACGAACTCAACCGAACCAGGGAGACCTCACCCCTGCAGCTCGCTATGGAAGCTATTGGTTCATCTGACGAGACTGTTACCGTGGACTTTTCAAAGGAGACCTTGGACCTGGAATCCAACACTCAGTTCGAGTACGATCCATGGCTTCTCGAAGATCATCCCTTACGATCATACCCGACAGAGTGTATCCCAGGCTTGTCGCTTTATCTCAATGAATATTACGAATCAATTGGAAAGCGAAAAGCAGTTCTCTTCCGCGCTGGATATATTATACTTGGATGCCTGTAAGTATTGCCGTCGTATCTACAACGTTGTAGTCTTCGAGACACACTTATCTGACAGCATTCATTCCATAGAGCCGTATTCCAATGTCTCCGATTGCTCCCAATCAATATGAAACAGACACTCCCGCCTCATGAAACGACACCACACGTCAACCTTTACCCCCAGAGTGATTAATCACACCTTTCACATCTTGATACATAAGTCTACCTAGTTAAGCATAATTACTTAAGTTTCTAGTTATATCTCGAATGGTTATATAGATAGAACAACAGCAGATGGAATAAATGTTGGAGGTTAGAATTGGTAATGAGAAGCTCTCTGATCGCTTGCGCGTCCTTCTCTTTCATCTGACAGATTTCATAGCGCTTGATATCAATGTAGTGGTCTATCATGGGCCGACCAATCATGGCGGACAGAAGGCCGTCGTCCGCAATTGCTAAAGATTTTGAGAATGTTGGATGCCCCTTTCCTGCAAAGGGAAGGGTATGGAAAAAACAACCACTGACAATGCTTTGGAAATCTCGTGGCATGGGAATGTAGAGATAATGTGAGGAGCTGTATGCGGAATTACAATAAATGAGTCAGGATGCTGGCACTCTTGATGAGTAAATACATTACCCTTTTTATACACCAGCTTTTGGAATAGGTGGTCCTCAAGCATAACCGAACATAAAACGTTGTAGGGCTCACTACTATCTCCAGCCTAGTGTATTGAAGGATGGAAGTGATGCTTGAGAAATAGAGGAATTGCTCGTTTTGAATGGAAATGCAACAAATGGTGGATTATTCAGTCCAGAGAGAAGGGAAGAATCGAGGCAGAGCAGAAGTGGAAGTTATTTGAAAAGGGAATTATAGGCCATCCATGGAAGGCAAGTCTACCTGAGGTGTCCATTTCCGAAAATGGAAGGAACACGCATAGCGTAGCTACATACATGTAGATCACATAGTTGATCTAAAATCTGATTTCTCATAATCTTGCTTGCGATTTCCCAGGGGTGCTCGCAAAGATATTGTTCTGGCGACTGTCGAGTCGGGATTGAGTAGACTCAAACAGACGCGGGAGTCCAGTCTTTGCGAAATGAACGTCACTGAGTACCATTTTTGCCAAACCCTCAGCCGCCAGGAAAATCTGGGGCATTCCATGTCCTGTAAATCCAGCGATGATGTACTGATCCTTCTGTCCTGGGACATGGCCAACATGTGGCAGTCCATCTGTTGAATAACCCATGACTATCGAAAAGTTGGGTTAGCTTGGAGGTCACCACAGGGGTATTACAAATAGAACAACGTACTCCCTGTCCAGACTCTGTCCGTGTAAGCGTGGCTATTCTCCCAACCAACAAAATTCCGCTGCATATAATTATCCCAGTATCGAACAGCAGGCTCAAGTACTGAACTATCATCACTGACGTTATACCAGCTGTCAGGATCATTGATGAAAGCCGGGCGAGCACCACCGACGACTATACTCCCATCGGCGCGTGGGATGAGGTAGTCATAATTCCAATCGTTCCAGCGCAGGGTGTAAGTGTTCGTCAGACGAGGAGCAGTAGTACCCGGAGGAACGATGATTCGACTGCATGTTCCTCGGACAGGGATAATCTTCTCTTTATACTGAGGGGCCAGAGACGAAGTATAGGCATTTGTTGCTAAAATGACTATCTTGGCGGCAATGGAGCCTCGGGCAGTGTTCACTGTCCAAGGATGGCCCGATGTTGAGGAATTAGACTGTGTCATCCCAGATACCGGCGTGTGCGTTTGTAGATTTACACCTTGGGAAATTGCCTTTTCCAAAAGGTGCAGCACGAATTTGTATGGCCAAATGTGACCGGCGTCATATGTGAAACACCCCTGTGCACCTTTGACTCCAGAGAACTAAGGTATCACTCATTAGTATATCTGCATTCAACGGTCAACCATGTACCCACCTTCTCTGCCTCACTGCTGGGGATATACTTTGCCTTTGTTGTTGGCTCACATCCCTTCTTGATCAATCCTTCATATCCCTCCTTGAGTCTTGCACTATGATCCCGAGACAGTTGCACATCGATAGCTTTTGTGACTGTGTAATCACAGTCTATATTCTCTCTTTCAACGAATTTCTTGAGATATGAGACATGTTTGGCCTCGAAAGTTGCAACCTCAGCAGCAGCCTCGACGCCATGATCAGCGGCCAAGCCAGCGATAACATTATAAACATCAGGTTTCATGTGTCCCCCTACAGGAAACCGAAAATCAATTTAGCCAAGATCCTCGTTTGTCATTTGCGACTATCCCAATCTTACCATTTCGACCAGTGGCACCGGAACAAGCCTGTCGAGCCTCCAAAAGCACAATCGAAGGCGGCTTCGACCCAGGAGGAGTTTGGTCAAGAATATGGTGTATGACAGATGCCCCTGCGTACCCAGCTCCTATTACGACGATATCACACTCTTGAGGGAGAAATTCAGTCGATCGATGGCTGTCTAGAAAGTGAGGCTCTGTCCGCCAGAATGACGTCATCCCATTTGGGACGGGGCTATGTTTCGCCATTTTGGAGAGTCCAAGACAATTAGCGTGGGAGACATAATTGGAATCATTTGGCATTTATTGATATTGGGAATAGGGACGAGAAAGGGTGTCTTCTCTCCCGGCGGCTTTTCCACCGGTAACTTTCCCGGTCCAGCCCCGCTAAGTACAACGCTAGGGGTTCAGGGCTAATGATAACACTTTCGGGGCTATCTAGGGATCAAAGGGGTTGACTTGAATCCTTCGAGATCAGGGAGACCAAAAAGTGGATAAGTTTAAAATTAAATCAACGTTGGAAGTTAGAATTGTTCAGCGCTAAAACAAGAATATAGAATGTGACCTTGGCTTTTCTTCCAAAATTTCCAGGTGGATGAGATATATGTTTCATTAAACGGGGCGTAATATTCAGACTGAGCTATGCTAGACTTAAGTACGATAATTCAAGACGATGCCTGATGAGCGATGATCTTGTCCGCCATTCCTGGCAAAGTGTCATCCATAACATCCATTTCTCCAAAGAGCTCTGACAGGGCCTCCTTCTCCCAGACATAGCAGTATGCTCCTTTGAATCTGTATAGTACAGTGTTAGTACTAAGCCTTCTCGACCTATAACTCAAGGATGTGACACATACCCGGCCTTCCTCGCCGCAGAAACATCCCACATATGCGCCGCCGCAAACCAAGGTGTCTTCCCATCACTCTCCGACTTCAGCTTCTCCAACAAGGGACGATAAGCCCCCAAGTCAGGTTTCCCAACTCCGACGTCATCACAAGAGAGCAAGTTCTCCGCAGGCAGCTCAACACCCGCATTCTTGAAATAGCCACTAACACGATTGATATCCGCTGCGGTGAAAGCCCACACCGTAAAACCGGCATCACGCAGCTTCTGGACACACTCCGCCGCACCAGGACGGAATTTGAGAAGTTGGTATTCCGTCATGATATACTCCAGATCTTCGGGTGAAGCCCAGGTCCGTGGCTCAGCGATGCCGGCCATCCAGAGCATGCGGTAGAAAAGTGCGCGGAAGACTTCACCAAAGGGGACATAGCTTTGTGCAAGACTCAGATTGGTGTACTCGCGCTCGGCTGCTTCCATCCAGGTGAACCCTAGTAGACGGGGCTTGATTCCCTCTGCGCGCAATCGATCTCCCAGACGGATATCAATGGCGTCAAAAACATGGTCGTAGGCAACGAGAGTGCCAACGATGTCGAAGACAACGTGCTTAGATGAGGACATGTTTGAGTCTTGATGTCGGAGTTATGGATTTGGAGATGGGTTGATATTGATTATCCTGAAGCACCTTTTGTAAGAGAAGGATATTTATCAGATAAGTAATGAACGAGTCACCAAATCCATATCCCCGCACTGATTGTTAATGTCGATCGTAGATAGTCGGAGAGACCTGGTACTGCAGATACAATTACTAGCCATTACCGGTAAGATTAGTGTATTGAGTCGACTGCTTTAATCATATTCACTGTAGTTATCAAACCTCTACCTGGATGAGCACAAGGCATCGTTTGTCTCAAATTCGATCCCATCTTTGATCTAGGTATACATTCTGACAATCTTTACTATTTCCCCAAAATCTATGTATTAGCTGTCTCGGGCAGCCTTTCGCTTTATTCTTGCTGCCATTGTTCTAGTTTAGTATTTCGGTGCTTGCTTCTTCAGCCACCTCGTAGGTTATACTTAAATCGTAATTAGAATCTATCTACTCATACTAGTAATTACAGCAAAAGTACAATTACTTACATAGCCCTAAACAGCAGCCGGTGCAGTCCCGGCGGGAGTGCTTCCCGCCGGGAATGCGAGCTCGGGACACGGCGAACGGATAGCGATAAGGATACAGTTAGCCTTTACTAAATCACAGATATATCAATGGATAGTACTTTTCCCGTTGGTTTCCTATTACAACAAACCTCTCATCTACGACTTACGGAGTCACCAGCATGAGCGAACCGCCAATGCAAATCGCGAAGGACGCAACCGATCTCAAAACAAGCGAAGCATACGACATAGAACGCTCAGCGAGTTCAGGAACTGAGCGCCATGGCAGAACTATCGTGCTGTCTGCGACAGATGATGCTGGGTATCATCGTTCCTTGACGAGGCGTCAAATCATGATGATGACCTTTGGGGCTGGCATCGGCACTGGTCTCTGGGTGGGAACTGGACAAGCATTGTACTATGGTAAGGAATCCCGATGTGAACTCCAAGACGCAAATATTAACATTAGATAGCCGGTCCTGCTGGCATGGCACTCACCTATACGATCACAGCGTAGGGTACTCTAGAACATTCTATTCTTGTGCTCTTGTGACTAACACCGTCTGCAAAGGATGATCGTGTATGCTCAATACTCTTCAATCGGCGAGATGACTACGTACAAGCCGGTTCATGGTGGCTTTATCCGCCAATGCGCTGAATATGTCGATCCGGCATTCGGTTTTGCAATTGGTGTCAACTTCTGGTTTGCGGTATGTCAGTCTACCCCAAATAAACATCGCATGTACTGACGCAGATAAAGTGGGTGATGATTATTCCAGCAGAGATAACAGCAGCGATATCAGTCTTGAAATACTGGCCGGCGACAGACGTTGTACCCCTCCCGGCATTCATCACTATATTTCTGGTGGTTTTCGCCGCGGCAAACTTGTTCCATGTCCGAGTATACGGCTACGTCGAGTATTACATGTCGTTTGTGAAATGCCTTGCAATTATCTTGATGATATTCTTCATGTTCATCATGACATCGGGAGGAATACCAGCGACAAACGGCCCAATCGAGTTCAAATACTGGAAGAACCCCGGAGCTTTCAATAATGGAATAAAGGGCATCGCTAAAGCCTTCGTACAGGCGGCTTTTAGCTTTGGTGGCGGTACGATATCCAAGGTCTGAAAACAAACCCGAAGAGAATATACTGACTCAAATTAGGCGAGCATATTGCTGTTATAGCTGGGGAAGTAGCCGATCCCCGTCGCACTATCAAGAAGACAGTTCGACCTGTGTTTTGGAGAATGTTTACCTTCTTCGTGGTTAATATCTGGCTCGTCGGAATGTGTGTTCCATCCAATGACACCGATCTTGTCAACGCTGGCGGGACACTGGGAAGCCCCTTTGTAATTGCGATTAAGCGGGCGGATGTTTATGGCCTAGCACACGCGATCAACGGATTTATCTTCCTTAGTGTCATCAGCTGTGGTATTACTAGTGTTTATATCGCAAGTCGAAGTTTGACAGCACTCGCTGATCTTCAGATCATCCATCCGTTCTTCGGAAGAAAGGACTCGCAGGGTCGGCCCTATGTGTCCCTGGCAATCAGTTTGGGCCTTGGTGGTGGATTAGGTTATCTTAACTGCAACAGTGTGGGAACTTTGGTGTATGGTTGGTTTTCTGCCTTGGTGAGTGTATCCATCCCAGAGGAAGATATGTGCGAAGAGTTATTGACAGTTCGATGTAGGTGGCAATAGCAACGCTTTTCCAGTGGGCCTGTATTTATATTGCTCATCTTCGATTCCGGCAAGGTCTTCGAGCCCAAGGCAAGGATCTCAGCAAACTTCCGTTCAAAGGTCTTCTCACCCCGTGGGCACAATACATCAGTCTCACCATTGTGGTGTTTATATTTGGTTGTCAATTCTACCTAGCTTGCTGGCCGTTTGGAGAAAAGGGATCAGTGAAGAGCTTCTTCTCTTCTTATCTTGCAGCCCCGTTGTTCTTCTTTGATTACTTTGGATACAAGGTGAGTGTTTCAATTATGGTTGATGATCAAAGATATCTGACCTTGGCAGTGGTATTTCAAAACCAAGATAGTCAAGCCGATTGATATGGACTTCGGTCCTGCCAAAGCCTTTGATGAGCAGGACCTTATCAATGCGATTGCCGCTGAAGATGCAGAGCGGGATCCAGAGAAGAACAAGCAAAAGACTTGGAAAAAGCGTGCTCAGTATATGGTATTTGGATAGAGGAAAGCAGTGGCGAGGGACCATAGTTCTATGTTCCTTAATGTGAAATAATTTCGACAGAGATGAGAGATTATACCGTATCAAACTCAAAATCACCATTTGACCAGTCAGGGTCAAAGAAAGCCGTCATATCGTTCAGCTCTGGATTTGCGAAAGATTCTGTGCCTGGAATAAGATGTGACAACGGACTAAAAGAAGACAGCTCCACATTTCCACATGCTGATTTGTCCTTCTTTAGCGACTGCGTCCAGTCTTTGAATTTTGAATAGGCAGAGATAGAACTTTGATCGCTTTGTGGGCTTCGTGGGTGGGAAAGGGAGTCTTCTTCAGTGACGGCTAGAAGCTGGCTGACAGCCGCTTCGATAGACTCAAGATATGATATCTCGGATTTGGAAGAGCTTCCCCCAACCATCTGACGTATGAGACCCATTCCCCGGTGCAAGCCATCTTGGAGTCTTTGGGACTTCCCTGAGCTAAGGCTTTCTGCCAGGATGACCAGAATAGCAGCACGACAAGCACCAAATTCATTGTAAGAAGCGCGGCAAAGACCCACATGGTCGGATAAGGATTGTAGAGTGTTGAGAATGTCCAAAGCACTTGATACGCAGTCGTCCACCAAGACTGACCGACGTGCCCGCCCTGAATCATGGTCTGCACCAATTATAGCCTCGCTAGATTCTTTTCTGTCACCAACAAATATGAATGCACGGCCCATGTAGACATATATGAGCAAATAGCACAATCTGAGATGCGAGTTTGGTCGGAAATTTGGGCCTTGCGAGCATAAGTCTCGACATTCTTCAGTCGCTGGGAGTGAGTCCCACCACTGCTTGATGCTCGCCCTCAGCTGCAAGAGCCGCTCTAAATAATCAGAGAGAAGCCTTTTCGGACATCTTTTAAATTGTGCACTATCGAAGTATCAGTCGATCGTGGGTGAACTGGTTCCACATTTTGAGACACTTACAGTGTTTCAGAGATCTCTCCCAAGTATGAAATCAATTTATGAAACGCAACTAGATTGGCAAATCGTGGTGACTCAAAGGTAGAACAATCCTTTGGCATATCGGCATTTATTTCCGATCGCGCGATTGACATAGGGCGCCCATGCAAGACGCTAATATATCTGTTAAACATGAAGGTTAGCTTTGCTCTGAGATGCCTTCTTGGATATCATACTTTTCAACGGTGTAAACTGTCCAAAATAGGCGATTTCTGACTTCGATAGTTCTAGGGTTACAGTTGCCGCCTTGATATTTGCGATGCATCCCATTTTGAATCGCCATCTTCATTGCAAGGCCGTAATATGTGTATGCAAGGCCACCCGTGGAAACAGGGAGTGAATATGTGGCGAGAAGCAAAAAGACCTGCACACTTTCCTGAGAAGCAACCAAAAGAACATCTGGAATAAGCTTGCATGCTGCATGGTAGAAGGTTAGCCCGACAGAGTCCTCAGAGCATAAGTTGAGTTCTTCGGTGACATCTACATCATGCTTCGGTTTTTCGTCCTCCATATGGGCTACTTGAGTTCCAATGGCCAAAGCCGCAAAAACAGAGCATACCCATGGAAAATCAATGGCCGTATATGTGGTAGTTGAGCTGTAACAGAGGGCTACCTTCTCCTCGATCCATTTGCGCTCCATGTAAAAGGAGTTGATCTCAACGTACTTGAAGAACATGGTAATGAGGAAGTCGGCAATAGGTCTCGGTGGTAAGTGTGTCATTGTCTCCAGTATAATATCGGGCGAGGATTGAAGCTGGGTTGGCCGCCAGTATTCTCTGACCTGCTGTAAATCGTCAGACACGCTTGAGATTTTACGGGGAGAGATACAAACCCTGGAATCAAACTGACCTATTTCGCAGCTCATTCTGCGACGTAATTTCTGGGAGAACGTCCAGTGAGAAAATTCCCCCGCGTAATGTGCCACATTGTTTGACACGAATTGAACGTCGAACGACTCATTGATATCCAGGGCAATTTCTGGCAAGGTGGTGTTCGTTGAACTTCGTAATTTGTCCGCAATACGGCAGGCATTCTCCTCGTCCAAAGGCACATCGCCAAGAAAATGGCGAGCAATATACTCCAGGCTTTCTATTCGTCGATTATCATCTTTCGGAACGGACGCGACAGGGGCGGAGGAGCATGGGGATGTCGTTCTGGGAGTCGGCTGGCCTTGAAACTGGCATGATCGGCCTAGTCGTTGGCATCTCCAACAGGGTGGACCCCCCTCACACTTCTCCTTCTGCTTTCTGCATGTCTCGCAACTTTTTGAGGATGTCAATTTGAGGCTCAGTATGAGGCCGGGAATGTACTTACGCCAGGGAGGCCCGTCTCCTCTCCCCACGCTTACGCTTTCCATTATTTGCTTCCCGATCGAGGTTCATGGAAACAGGTATATACCAGGAGAGTCTAGTGAAAAGGAGACAGCCCTGGAAAGAGACAGGGGACATTCTTATCTCTTATCAGTTTAATTTGCGGGGTAAATATATCTGGGCCCCAGCATTTGGAGAGGCCTCAGGCCAACAGCTGACCCTGGAAGTGAGCAAAACTTCTAAGTCAGAATTAAGTCATACTCATGAATAGACCGGCTAGGTATATGTCGGGGCAATGAAATCACAGTAGTATATGAGATAATGCATGTACAAGACGAAATGGACCAAATGGCAGTACATGGAACAAGAGTAAATAAAGAAGCATGCCTCACGAAAGGTTGGCTGCACCTGGAAGAGGCCCCACGAGAAGTATTCAAATGTTACTTCCCAACCGTGTTTCACAACAGGCATGAGACATACTATCTATCCACCAGAACCTGAAAAGTGTACTAATAATATATCAGGCTGGTGGAGTACCTCATCGGAGTCCAGGAGCTTAGATACCCCACTCCACCTTCGTTGAATAGAGCGGAACTTGAATTGATGTTGAATATACAAAATATGGCGATTTCCGAAAGAGAGTGGGGGGTCTAGTGATCGGCGAAAAACTGCATTTCATGGATATTTGATTGATACTGGATCCTGGGCGTTTGTGGATTCCGCTTATCATCCTTGCGAAAGGGTTGCTAAATTAGTTTCTATGGGCGATGAACATACGTCAGTTCGATGAATGATCAACTGGCGCAGCATCGGTGATCTATGGCTATCATATATGAAATGTAACTTCAGTTTGTGGATGTACTATATCAATATAAGTTGACGCCGCGTGAAGTGTTTTTAGTAATATTCTTTTCTAGAGCTTTTGTTGCCCTTGTAATTTTATAGGTAAGTAACGGGGAAATAGCTAAAATGTGGAAGACTTTTTAATATATAATTTTAATTTTAATTTTACCTGACTACCATAGCTTCTGCCAGGGACTCATTTTTAGTCCACAGAAACCGAGATAGTGACCTCTTCTTTAATACGCATCTTAGAGGTGGAAACGTCGTCTCTGCTAGCCTTTCCACGCAAGAAGTTCAATGGCCAGCCAGGGAAGCTGGTCAGTTGAATCTCGTCACCGTCAGGCCCCTCTTCCTCATCTTCCGATGCGTGGTTTCTCGAACGATGGGTTCGTGTGCCCCCCGAACCATAGTCTTCCTGTTTCTTGGTCCCGGACTTCTTGATATCCAAAATGGCCCACCAGCGGCGGAATATGGGCGAAAAGGTCGGTAGACAGGCGCAGACAATTCCAATGAAAGGTTCAACACAGGACCACATGAAGACGGGGGCAATTGTCCAGGATGGATCTTCTGATTGCGTGTGTTTGTGCAAGAAAATCACGCGAACGATACCGGCGATGCAGACACTATAATGAGTTTGATTAGAATGGTTCCTAAAGTTCCCGACATCCCATGGAAGACTCACAAACCACCGAGCAGCAAGATACTCGTGACAGCAACACGCTGAGACTTGGGCATTTGCAATCTCCAGATAATAGGAGCTGGCACACACAGGATCATGAAATCAATCGCGACAGAAACAATGCCGTTGATCAAGAAGAATTGAGGGACGTCTATACATGTCCCCTCGGCCATGGGATCCGTGTATTGCTCCCAGAAATATGGTGTAGGGCGACACGCAACGGCAATGGTGACAATGACCGCGACGAAGTAACCTATAATGATGGCCATGGCATAATATAAGGACCAGCGTAGGTTAAAAATGCGTCGGTAGAACATGATGATTGAAGATTTAGTCAAAGTGACCGTTGTGCAGTAGAGGAAGACATGTGCGTAAAGGAGCTTCCAGAGCGCGATGAATTCGGAATCGGTGAGAGCTTGTTGGTGCCATCCATTTTTGTATTTGATACCTTGATGGATCAGGTGTCAGTGAAGAACATGGTGATGCTGGATATTAGTTTACTCACTGATGATCACGCATATACCAGTGCCGTAGGCGAACCACTAGCGAATAGGTAAGCCACAAGATCAAGCGATGATATAAGCGTATGCACTCACCAACGCAGCAAAGATAAAAAAATCATCCAGACCAAAATGCGTCTGAGTTGTCTTTGCGCGTGTATATACGCGCAACAGAACCGCCAGGGATCCAATTACCATCAGCGTAATGATCGCACCCACCATCTGGGGTTGCTGATTCTCCGCCAGGTCAATGCCCGGAGGCGCAGGGCCAAAATCCCCAGTGGCTTTCATTGAAAGGAATGAACATGAAGCATTGAATTGGGGAATTTGCGAGATTCTAGTGAAATATCTCTCGATATTGGGGGGTTTACTATTTAAATATCAAACAGGACATCCACATCGGGTTAGCCATTAGAGATGGTTCCAAGGGTATGGATGGAGCTAGGTCCTGAAGAAATGACAGATCGCGAGGTCAATCTAAAGCTCAGATTGAATGTTCAGGGGGGGTGAATTTTGTGCAAAATCTGAAACCCAGGTATTAGAAGCATTAAGTCATTGTGATCAACAGCATGAAGTTCACAGATTGTCACGCCTTGAAAAGACAGAAATGTCAAGCATCCAAACGTCAGATTTTCTAATTAAAATAAAACCATCAAATGGCCGAATCCATGGACCTGGGCAGTGGGGTCTTCATCTATACAAAGCCCAAGTGGATCCCAGCTAAACCGCTTTGCACTGTGAGACGCTTGACAGGTGAGATTAAAGGCAATTAGCCTCATTCTTCGGGTTGCGACATTTTTCTGACGTTTTTCCCCTTGCATCTTTATATAAAGGGATCCATTTTGTGGGGATAGCCGCGCATTCATGAGTCTAGATCCCAGATAGTCAATATGGATGGCGGAACATCGTACGTTTTGAAAATTTCGGAACAGTGGAATCTAGACCTCCCAAATCAATAGCCCTAATATTATCGACACTGAACCTATACTTATCCCCGAAAGGTATCACACTGCACATGTTTACATATAAACTCTCCAGTCCATGATTTCTTTTTTCAGATCTCTACTCGTCGACAATCGGGGCCCTGATAGACGCATCCCTCGATGTTTGCTCGTGTTTGCTTGGTGGAGTTCCAGTGGATCTCCTACACATCATACGTTCGATCAAGAGTTCGCATCGGACAACCCGTATGAGACGCAAACAAATGGTGTTTAACCGTAGTGGTCTCGCCCTCCGATATGGCACCATTTACATTGCTATTTGACATAGTTGCTACAATGTGTGCCCATGATCATCCACTACGGAGATGGTGGTCTAATCGCTTCCAAGTCGTGCTCGGTTTATTAGTGGAGTGCTAAGCTTTCTCAAAAGAATTCTACTGGTATCCTAGCGTTACGTGATCACGGAATGGCTGATTTCCAACTCGCTTAGTTAGAATTCCTTTGCTTCGCTTCCATCGGGGCTCAACCCAAGGAAATGTGCGGATGAGTTCGGAGAATTTTCGACAAGGCATCTGGCTTTTCTCGGTTCCCCAGAGTCAATTGGATAGCAACTATAAACAAAATTGTTGTGAGGATCGCCCAGAGAAGCCACTCTCATACAATGCTCTGATTGAATGTGCCCAACTATACGTTGATGCCATCTTTGCCCACGGGCCATCCCAAACACCGTGCCATGTGGACCAGGTATTTCTAGACAGTTACTGGAAGTAGCTCTCTTGATCTATTTCTTCACATTGGATACAAAACCCATATAAATCACAGCTCCAGCCAAATTTGTGGGCTTTCAATCCAAGCTACGTGGATCCTAAATACAAGCATGCAGTTTACTTCACTAGTGATAGTATGGAGAATCCAGACCTTGGCGAAACAAAAGGACCCCTTCATCCAATGCTATACACGAAACAGTCTCTCGCACAAAGGATGCATCTATTTCCGCCTTTTTCTGCGGCCTATATGTTAAAGACCTCTACGTTATAAACAGATCTAAGACCACTAAAAAAAAAAAAAAACCGATAAGATCTACTAAAACGACATCACCTGGCTGAATACGCGACGTGCTCTTGTATATCGTTGAACATCCTCGGTCAATCAAGGTAGTTCTCGTATACCCCGCAATGACTCAGAAGGTTAGGGTTAAACCGGGCCGATAGAAGCCAAAATCCCAAGCTATTTATTTCGTATACTTCGGGTTCACAATCTCAACACTACGTCTGCGCCCCAACTCCATCACACTAGACTACCCAAGATGGAACGCGCTCTAACATCAATGCATGTGGATGGAGTCAGTCTAACAAGTTCACAAGCTCGTCTGTATGTAGTATCACCACCATGAGAACTAGACTAATGGCCGCAGACAGCCCATAATCATCATCATCGCCTCGACAACCCTCGTCTTTACAGGATGCGGAATCAACTTCGCATTCGGTGTCTTCCAAGAGCTCTATGACTCAATGTCAAAGGAACCGAACACACCCTTCACCGGCGCAACACCAGCGCAAATTGACCTAATCGGCACACTCTCAATCGCGCTCATGACAATCGGTGCTCCATTTGCAACAGCGTGGACAAAGCAGTATCCCCCTCGATATGTCATCTGGGCTAGTGGAATAATTCACTCAAGCGCTCTACTTTTTGCAAGCTTCAGTCAGCATCTATGGCAATTCATCCTCACCCAAGGCGTTCTTCTCGGCATCGCTACATGTTTAACTTACATGCCATCGGTGACCGTGGCACCGACCTGGTTCTCACAGCACCGCGGATTAGCGATGGGAATAATCCTCGCAGGAACGGGGATTGGCGGTGTTGCATGGCCGCTGGCCTTTCGATATCTCATCGAGTCTGTCGGATTCCGCAACACCCTCCGCGTCACGGCGGGGATCTCCTTTCTATTCATCTGCGGCTCGGGGACATTTATACGCTGGCCCGCTAGTCAGATCACACGTATTCAAGCCGAGAACGCCGCTTCTACACGTTCAACGACATTTTTCCGCCTTCCATTGGTTGACTGGCGCGTCGTCCAAAGCCGCAAGTTCGTTGCTCATGCCCTGGGTGCCGCATTGCAGTCTGCTGCATACTATACACCGGTGTTCTTTTTCGCATCATTTGCCCGTACTCTAGGCTACTCACAGGCAACATCGGCCAACTTCATTGCCATCTCGAACGCTGCAAATGCGTTAGGCAAGGTTGTCATCGGCCACGCAGCTGACCGTATGGGGAGACTCAACACCCTGGTATTAACGACCCTCATCTCAGCCGTGTCTGTCCTCGCATTGTGGCTTCCCTCGTGTCTATCCACCACTCAATCCACCGGGAGTACACTCTTCATCGCATTTACGATATTCTACGGCATTTTCGCATCGGCATACGTCGCTCTCTTCCCGACCAGCCTGGTAGAACTATTCGGTGTGCAGAACTTTGTCAGTGTTAACGGCTTGCTATATATGGTGCGAGGCTTTGCGACATTGGTTGGAACCCCAGTTGCGGGTGCATTGATCCGCGGAAGTGGCGAGAAGAGTGTCGGTCCACGAAGCTATGAGAATACGAGTGTCATGGTTGGTGTACTTCTCGTTACGGCAACGTTGGCTGTAGTTTGGGCGCGGCTAGAGGCTGTTATTACCCTCGATGCTGCTGCAGGGCGCAGAATGAAGTGGTTGATGTGAATACCTACCACGCATAGATCGAAGGGGGCATGTCGATTGTGGATCGTGAGAAAACTTGTACTTTAATAACGTTTACCATTATCAAGCTGTGAAATCTAATAAAATCTCCTCTCAATTTGATCAAAACTGATGTCCATCCTCTTGAAAGAGTTGGGGCTTACTGGGAATGAGCCACTTGCACCCTTGTCCCTTTGATCAAAATGTCTTGCGGATTAACTATCTCTTACACCTGCGTACTAGAGGGCCAATATTTGCGGCGCCGTGGGTTCAAGTAGAAGTTATATATATATGTCTAGAACACAAGATTGCGCTCACTCTAAACAGAAAATAATTCCAAATACCAATCGTAAATCATAACTCTAGTCCTCTCACAGCCCGGGAGTCTGAGCCCCTTCCCCAATCCCCATCAACCCACCAGCGAGTCCATTCATCCGACGATCTAGCAGATCCTCTTCGCTATCAAGAGAAGCAATGCTCCGTCCTCTCGGACGAACAGGACTTTCAGGCGCACTATTTGTCTCATCGGGATCGAAAGTATCCTGCGAACGACCCGCTCGCTGCAAGCATCGGAGCTTAGCGATGAAATCGTCTTTGGCGTTGCGATCATCTGCCAATGATGTAAAACCAGTGACTCGCGAGGAAGCAAAAGAGGAATGTGATCTCCTCCGACGCGTGCGGTGTTCAGCCTTCGATGTAGACGCAGCCTCGCTGCCAGCAACGGGTGTGATTTTGCTCATGGTCATTTCCAATGGTTGATCGTCATCACCCGAGGACTCGCCGGTGAATTTGCGATTGTGGTTACGTCCATCGTTTGGAGCATGCGCTTTGTTTTCTGTACGCCCAGACCATTTAAGGGAAGGATTAGCATTCGCAGCATTCACATCCCGACCAGGGTAAAGCACATCCACCTCGAAGTCGTCTGTCTTGATATTCTGGAACAGAGTTTCAAGCCAGTCCGCACTGCGATGGATATACTTCCACGCGTCGGGGAAGAAGCCAGCCATCTGCATGAATCCGTGTGAAATTCCAGGGATCAGAGAAATCTCGACGTAGTTTCTCTCGTTGAAAGGGCGTTTAGACCTCTCCAATCCCAGATCCTGGCGCTCGCGGAACTGATGCAGCTTTGCTTGGCGCAGTCTTCCAGCAAATATGACTGTGTCATCAACCAAAGGATCTCGCTCTCCAGTCATGATATATGTTTTCGGGAAGCGGGCAAGTAAAGCATCTGGGGCCAGGACAGGAGACAGAAGGAAATCGGTGTTGAAGTCAGGGCGATGGTGGGGTCCGATGTATAGGATGATCATCGCACGCGTCATTTCAGGTGTGAGGATGCGGTCGTGGACGTAGGTGATCATAGACGAGACGGCTAGTCTAGTCTTGATTGGTTTGACCTCGTCTTCTGCTTTAGCAACAGGATTTGGGGCTAGGTCCTCGCTCTTTTGGAGTTTCTTCTCAAGTGCTTTGGCAGCCTCGGCGACCACATTGGGCTCTTTGCTATCCTTTGCCTTTTCAGGTGGTGAAATAGCAGTTAGATCCTCAACCGAGCGACCTGGCGATGTGAATGGCGTGAGTTTACGATATTCATCTTGTTTCCGTTGTAGAACACTGCGATTTGTCTGGCGGGTGCTCTTCTCCTGGATCAATGACATCTGTTCATCGCTCATCCAGCTCTCAACCTTCATGTTCAATGCAGGGTATCCTAAAACCACACCATCAGGTGCTGGGAGCACATCCTCTCCACGCCAGCCCTGAGCCATGGCGGACTGCAACACCATCAAGGTCATGCCCACTGCTAGGTTGCCGCCCGCACTCTCGCCAGTGACAAGAACCCGAGGACGGGTCTTACCACTCAGACCCATACAACGACCGTTCGTGGCAATGATGCTGTGGTAGACATCGTAACATTCATGCAGCGCATATGGGTATGCGAATTCCGGTGCCTTCTGGTAATCAATACTGAGAATGGGTACCTTGAGACGTCCTGCCCAAGACAATAGTTTGTCTTCCGAGTTTCGGGGACTCATAGCCACAAAGCCACCGCCGGGTACATCCAGGACGATGTCAGTCTGATCTCGAAGCGCACTTAGCGGACCATCGAAATAAAGCCACGCATTCACTGGCTCGGTGTAAACAGACTGCCTCGGGCGAGGAATACGAATCGCTCGAGCCGGGAACCGAGTCATTCGCGGCCGTAGCAGTTTCGCCAATGACCACAGGTAGGGGCTGGTGGCTTTATTCCAAGACACACGTAGATGCTCCAGTGTGAGGGTAGCACGGACCCGACGAACTTTCTCGTCAGCGTGTTCAGCAGCTATGAGATAGTAAGCCGTGAAGACCAGTGATGCTATGTCTCGTAGCCATTTTGGCTTTATGTTCATCGCGGTCCAGAATCCAGCATCCAGACCAGTGGTAATCCATGTTGCTCGGAAGAAGGACCGCGAATACATGTTTGCTAATGGTTCAGGACATTCGAGCCCCACAATCTTGGCGAAATTCCGACTGAGATAGAGCCAAAGGAAGATGATAACCGTTGTCTGCCATGTTGTCAACTTTCCTGTGAAACGGGATGACAGGGATCGGATAAATGGTGGGCCATGTCTATCAGCTCTGTTGGATATTCAGCGGTTGGGATTTGTTAGGCTGGCGTGGACTTGATATGATGTACCTTAATAAGTAAACCGACCAGAAGGAGACAACTGCAAATACTTGGATTTTGCGGAAGCGGGTCGAAGGTCTCCCCAAGACGTGGTCTGAACATGGATTAGCCTGGGTTTCAAGTGGGCTGCAGGTTGCATACCTATCATTTCTTGTAGTTAGTTAGGGCTGAGTCTAGTCAGTCTAACTCCGCCTGGAAAGTGTAGTCTATATCAAGGGATAAGGATGCATGAAGGTTGAGTCTAAGGTATAGTGAAGGTCAAACCGAACAAAAGACTTGAGACAAAGAGACCATTTTAGACCACGATGAAGGACAAAGTGCGATCAGCAGTGTAATGCAAGTAATACAACCTTGTCATTGGAGCGAAGTTGGAGAAAGCTGAATCACATGTCACCAAAGTCCCACCTTCACATGCCAGTGACGACATCAGCTGACTTTCCCCGGCTGGGGTTGACTTCAATTTGTATGTTTTGTGCTTTTAAATATGGAGTTTTATGTTGGTTGACTTCAATTTGTATGTTTTGTGCTTTTATATGGAGTTTTATGTTATGGTTTACATTATTTTACTTAGCAGTGGCTTGTGTATATTTAACCATGATACCAGTATTTTCTGGCGCTTCTGTATGCGTGTGAACCGCACTAGGGCGATGATTTACATCGTGGAATCTAAATAGCACCACAGTACACTTCCTTTTGGATCAGATAGACATTATTTAAAACATCAAATAACTTGAAGTGACTGTAGAAAACATATAAAACCAGACTGTTTAATTGGACAGACAGAAAATAACAAAGATCAAGCCCCCAATTTATGATATTTGGTGCCTGGCCGTACCGAAATTGCCTCCTATCTTGTTTGTTACATCTTTCCACCCTGTGTTGGTGTGCCTTCTCGCTTGAGCAATCATTTTTCTCATATTGAATAGTTTCTGGTGGAACCTACGTAGTGGGGTCCGGCAAGAGAGGAGGGAGAGAGTTGTATTCGTCAAGAGGAGCGAGCTCCCAAACTATCTATCTAGCAAGGGTGTCGGAATAGTTACACCGGCATACCGGAGGATTTATTAATCTTAAATATGCAGTAATATTTCTTATGTAATGGGATAGTATAAATTGCCAGAATAGTGGATACTGAAATACAGAGAGTTGAATACCATTGATTGGACCCATACATTACACCATACGGATTACTCCGACAAAGGGTTGATGCCTGAGGCACCAAGGCTCCGACCACCACAACAAATGGTAAGTTGCAGAAATCCTTATGGCTCCCTAAGACGACAGGCGCTACATTGAACTAACCACCGACGGCTAGGTGTATATTTGGAGATGTGCAACTTCCGTAGCGGGAGGTGTGAAGACCCTGATCAAGCAGCAAAAACGCCCTAAACCCCGGACTCTTCCCGACTCACCGTGTGCAAGCAAGTCTTCATCGGGCCTCTTCGTTTGTGAGGATCTCTGCTCATTTGGTATCCCCGGGGCCCAGTTTTGATCTTAGAGCATATTCATCTCTGTGCCTATTCATTCTAACGAGCAAGCGAAGTGTTCCAGTTGTTCCAAGGTTGGAAACGTTTCATGTGACTGATGTCCCTTTCACGTATCTTGATAGTAAACTTGGAACCTTTTTTCTTAGTATATAATGATAGAGCTCAATAATTCTGCGAATAATTGAGATAAATTCAAGCTGACATTTTCCTAATATCGATGACATCCAAAAGGACATCCCCAGGGCGGCTTCTTGTTCCTTTTGCAGTCACAGTCTAATCTAGTAGATGAGCCGCTGTCCTTCCCTATCATCTCGTCGAACCAATCCGCCATTTCTAGCTTCCATCAGTAACTACAGAGTGTAAATTGGGAGGTACCACTAACCTTTGTCTTCCTTGCGCTTAATAATGCGATCGGCCGGGCAGCTAGCAATTGGCCTTAACCGGGAAATCCAATCCTTCAACGAAATATTGGCTTTGTGAATGTCAAAATCCACTTTTCCCCTTTGTTTATCTGCACTGTCGATTCTTTCGAAATCGTAATAATTGTCGTCACAGATAATATCTTCCAGGGAGAGTGTTTCTAGAGATAACTCGTTCCGTAAAAATTTCAAAAAGCTGGGCACAGAAGTGATCTTTTCTTCGTTGCGTTTCCATGCCATTACGGTTTCCCGGGTGGGACAGACAAAACCTCCAGCTGTTTCGGATGGCTCATATGGGTGATATGTAGACATCCACTTTCTGCTCCAATATTCTTCTGTCGACGCCTCAGAGGAATCGGAAGCCGAGGAATGCTGGGGTGATTGGGGTGCACTTTCGGCTGATGCTGTTTCTGATGCTGGTAGGACTGATAGAGGGGCTGGTCCATATTCTTGTGGGGATACAGTCGGTCTGTACGGTGAAGATGTTGAAAATGATGGCGGTGTTGGTTGAAATGATGGGACTGTAGGTCCGTATGATTGCAAGTTTGGTTGATATAATCGGACTGAAGGTCCATCGTATGGCGAAGTTGGTTGGTATGGTGGCACGGTAGGTCCATCGTATGGCGAAGTTGGTTGGTATGGTGGCACGGTAGGTTCATTGTATGGCGAGGTTGGTTGGTATGGTGGCACTGTAGGTTCATTGTATGGCGAGGTTGGTTGGTATGGTGGCACTGTAGGTTCATCGTATGGCGAGGTTGGTTGGTGGGATGGCACTGTGGGTTGATATAATGGCGATGTATATCGGACAGATCTTTCATTTTCCTGGCGGCCAGGGGACTCAGCATCTTGTGATCGAGGATTTTCTGTGGCTCCTGACTCCTCGCTGCGCATTCTAACCCGTTTGACTGTAAGAGTGACCAGACCTTTCTTGACACTGAGCAAAAGTGATCTCAAAGAGCTGAAATCGATATCAAGCTTCGTTATATGAAGGTTTCGGAGTCGAGTGAAGCTAATGTCATGGAACATGTTTCCAACGTAGCTTTTAGCCGGATAGGCATGCATGTCATCTTGAACAAGATCAAAAGGCATATGATGTTGCGACAGGGTCAGTACTTCCAGTTGAGGTGCAATCTTCCTGAAAAGCTTCAGCCAAGCCGCCTCATCGAGATCGATGCATAAATGAAGATCCTCGAGGTCTTCTAAAGTAGACAGTAGAGAATCAAATTGCTCTTCGGAGAGGGCAATCCTGGGGCCGATATCACAGCAGAATTTAGAATCGCAAGTGGATAGCTTTCGGGGTCTGCAGCTTGAGCCACATAACGCAAGAAAAAGCTTTGATAACGCCAAGGAGTTCAGTTTCCGTATCTGACTATCCTGGTGGGTGCGCGTAGACTCTTGCAGGCTGTAAACATCGAATCGAAAGTCGATGCGGCTCATCATCTGTCGCCTTCCGAGGAATGGAACTGTCTGCTGTCGGGGGTCAAGCAAAAATTCCGTTCTGTAATGTGCGAGTCCGATTGTTTGGATGTTCTTGAATCGATCCATACATTCCCGAAGTCGAAGACTGAACGTTTCTGATTCCAGCAGGTTGCGATTGTCCGCAAGCATGTCTTTTTGGACAGCACGCCGGCTTTCCAGCTCGTCGCCTTTGACCTGCCGGCAGCTTTTTGACGATATAGATATCATGCCGAGGGACCCTTCAGCGCCATCGAACACCACAGGAATCATCCATAGCTCTTGAACGTGCTCGCGGAGACCATTTGACTTGGATAGTGCTTCCAGTTCGTGGAGACCTTCACTTGTCACAATGAAACGAATTTTTCGGAAATAGGTCTTCCCAAAATTCTCCAGTGAGTTTTGGTACAATGCGCGACATGATAACCTCAGAGCGACCAATTGCTGGTAATCCAAATGGTTACATATTTTTGAGATCAATTCGACGGGCAGGACTGCAATGGAAATTTTGGCTGCGCGCGCGACGTTCGAGGTTGAGAACAGTAATACCAAAAAGCTCGGATTGTTATCCGCATTAGTGAGTAGGAATCGTAGAATAATTGCTTTTCAAGTTCCGAAATTCACGAAAAACATGGAGTTCAGTGACCGGGAAAGTCAGACAATCGTGTCTGCCAGAATTTGTGCGAGGTAGAAAGCTTTCCAAAGGTAAGGAGGAACAGGAACAGAGGCGAGAATTGTGATTCCAGACGAGGACTAGCCCTGGAGCCCTGGAGCACCCAGGTGGGCCGGACTAGTAAGGGGTACTGCACACATGTACAAGGCAGTCTGTCCGGTACCTGGGACGGGTACTGATACCGGTTGGTCGCCCCGGTATCACTACCCAAGCGAGAAATGGAGAGCCACGTGATACACGCACCGCAAACACGTGATCCATCTATCTCTTATATAATCACAAAGCAACCCCGCACGTGCGGGCCCGGGGCCAGCAGGTCACGTGCCACATTCCATGCCTCAATTGTTCAAGTACATTCTCGGGCAATCTTCTAATATTAAGTTTGTTGTCTTAAGTTCAAAGCCAGTCAAATCCCGAGTGACTACTTTCCAGCCGAACACGAGAAGCTAATTCTCTAGACCCTGCAACCCCAGGAACGAGTCATGCCGGTAGACTGATCTCCCCGTCTGTCGATCTCTCTTGGCGGCCCCGGGGGCATTTCCGGGCTGTCCGATCAGCAGAACACGTATTCTTCGGATGTTTCCTATTATGGACTCACCTAAAAGGAACATGCTGAATTACTTTTTGATCTCTGCTAATTGGCGGTGATCAAATTACTGACATAATGCATGAACAAAAGGGCCGTCGTGTTTGTGTTTGGTACTAGCCTAAGTTGCCCAACTCACCTCTCTCAGCACCCATTGAACACGAAAGATTGAAGCCACGATGGGCCTTTTGACACTGCTGCAACGTGCCAGCTTGTCACACCTACTGGCATTCGGAACGACAGCTTTTATCGCGTATTGGATTTCGGTCTACATATACCGCGTCACTCTACATCCGCTCGCGAAATTTCCTGGCCCGGAACTTGCAGGCGCGACCTTCTGGTACGAGTTCTACTACGATCTATTTCCTCACAAGCTGCGTTTCCTCTAAAAAATCGAGGACCTGCACAATCCGTACGGACCAATCGTACGAATCAATCCACTCCACATCCACATCCGAGACCCGGAGTATCTTGACGACATCTACGCCAGCGGACGCCGCAAGCGCAATCGTGATGAGTGGTTTTTCCATTCCTCCAAGACTAGTCCGATGGGATGGTCATTGTTCAACACAGTCGATCATGATGTCCACCGGGTGAGGCGCGCTGCGCTCAGCCCGTTCTTCAGCAAGCGATCAATCCAAGCTCTGGAAGGCCGCGTCGTGGAAAAAATCGATATTTTGATAGATCGAATTGCGGAAGCCCGCAAGACTGGAGAAAACGTGAACTTGCTCTTTGCCGCAGGTGCTCTGACTATGGATGTCATCTCTGCTTATGCATTTGGAAAAGATTGGAACAAGTTGGGTGAGCCCGACTGGGCCGAGGAGGAGCTTGAGGGCTATGCCAAGATGGCGCAGATGGGACCTTTTGCTCGTCAATTCCCATGGGTAGCGAAAGCGGTCATTATGTTGCTTCCACCTAAGTTGGTGACGAAGCTCAGTCCAGCTGCTGCCCTTGTACCACGGAACAGAGCCCTGTTCAAGGACATGATACAGACTGCAGTCGAAGAGGAACAGAACGGTCAGCTTGACAAATCTGCATCCCGGTCTATATTCCAGGATATTCTTCAGAGCAACCTACCGCCCAGTGACAAAACCCCTGCTCGCCTTTCGGCGGAGGCGGGCTTGCTTGTCATGGCGGGAACTGAAACGACGGCGAGATCATTAGCCGTGATTCTGTTCCTGCTTCTTGACACCCCACATGTCTTGGATCGAGTGAGGAAGGAGCTGGCGCAGCATATGCCTCGGCCTGATTCGCGCATTTCACTTGCTGAGCTAGAAGCCATTCCGTATTTCGTGAGTTGACGCCGCCATGAGAATGATTCCCACGACAGCATATGTATTAACCATGTACTCTAGTCTGCTATGATAACCGAAGGCGTGAGGCTGTCTCACGTTGTTTCGAGTCGTATGCCGCGATACGCCCCCGAGGAAGAGCTCAAATACAAGGATTGGACGATTCCAGCTGGCGTAAGGAGAATAACTCAAACCCCTATTCAGCTCATGTTGCTAACAGACCAATCAACACAACAGACAAGTGTCATGCAATCACACTACCTCCTTCATACTGATCCCACAATCTTCCCAGAACCATATACATTCGAACCACAACGGTGGATTGACAACCCTTCGTTAAGGGCAAACTACTTCTTGGGTTTCGGCCGGGGTACCAGAGTGTGTCTCGGTATCAATCTTGCTAACGCAGAGTTGTATCTCACAGTCGCCTATATCTGTGCCCGCTTCGACATGGAGCTATTTGAGACTGAAAGGGGGCGTGATGTAGATGTGGTCATGGATTCTGTTATTGGACAACCTAGTCTGGAGAGCAAGGGGATCAGGGTCAAGATCACAAGAGACAGACTCAAGGACGAGCAAGCTTAGAGGGTGTCCATGATCGATGCTTGGATGCGAGATATGAATCTATATCTCGAAGAACAACGCCTTCTTTATAGGCTCACATCGTCGTACAAAATTAATTCATGGACCCTTTCTTGAAGCAACGATACTTTTCAATTCCGTTGATTGTGCATCGTACCTCGCTTTTGCTGCTAGCCTTTGTTGGTCGTGATACAGTACCGGTGCATCAATCCGTTTGTGTAAACCGTAAAAGATAAAGGCACCCGGGTCGTTGGATATGCGTATCTGTTAATTTTGTCATGTCATACCAACAGGGCTAGAAGTTTGTTTAGTTAGCCATCATTAAAAGGCAAGTCTGGGTATGTGTACCACCCTCTCTGAGCCACCCCGACTTAACTTGGGTACTCTGGTTCCGAAAATAATCCATTCACTGCCCTCAATTTTGATAGCAATAGGATAGGCTGGAAGTGGGCTAAAATGGTCGTCAAGCTTGACTGCTACGGGACCGCAAGAAGGAGATTATACCAATTCCCCAGCTTTGCTATCTAACCTAGCAGAGAGGATGAAGAGCCACTTTCTTCCTATAACACCATCCCCTCAGTTTTTCGACTCGATACTTTACCTGAGACGATGCAGTGAGCATCAAAACGTAATTTATTGGCTAGGTACTATCTTTGCCTTAATGCGGGAAGCGTAAGAGTCTGAAGCAGTCATGGCTTCAGGTAGCAGTAAGCCTAGCAGATGCCAGAGAATAGTGGCACGCTTCAGGAAATTGAATGGGAAAGAAGCTGGTTGGTATGGCGATAATGACAGTTGCCCAGAAGAAAGGTTGGAGAGATACAATGTAGAAAAGACCGTTGCTGGTGAGTTGGACTGTAGAAAGGTTACGAGTTGATGGGGAGGGGGACGATCATTTAAATAGGGGATTGATACAGACACCCCCCTTTGGATGCCAACACCCCCCTGCCTGAGGATTCAGGCCAGCATATTTTCTGCCGGACATATTTCTGCCACCAGCGAGGTACTTACATTTACTATGCAACCCCCTAATTAAATGAAGTCCCTTTCGCACTCTACCACCACTATGCCAAAAGCACAGCGCTAGTCCCAAATAGGAAATAGATGCTGTTTTCAAAAACTCTACAGAAATGAAGGAATTGCAGGGGCCAGCACCCATTTTTCGTCAAATTCTTAGAGAATTGCATGAGAATAATGAAGAAATATTGTAAATTCGACAGTATTACCATTCGTAATGCTTTGGCCGCTTCCTGATCCGGCCCGACCGGCGATTCGCGTCCTGAGCGACCGGTGAAGCTATTCCCGACCCTTGAGATGAAGGAGGAATGCTCGCCGGCGATGCCGTACGGGCTTCCTGGGCCGTAGACGAAGCTATTCCCACTCCGTTATCACCCTGCGAGGCTTATTGTGTTCCTCCACGTCCACGTCCACGGCCACGGCCACGGCCACGTCCACGGCCACGTCCACGTCCACCTTCCTGGGATAGCATGAGCTCGAAGCCGGAGGGTTCTCGCTGGGTGGAGGTGTCTTGGGTGCTTGCTTGGGTGCTTTCGCCGCCGATGAAGTTCCTAGCGCCTTGGGGGCGTCCTCGCCGGCGTACTTAGAGAGGATCCTGGAGTAGGAGTAGCGGGTTAATAGGAGGCGCAGAGACACTGTATAAATGCCAGTGTTAATGGAATAACTCAGGCTTAAAGCTCTTGTTCTCCACTTCGTACTGTATGATGAGATGAATGCATGGAAACCCTGCCGTACCTAGCGAATTACAGCGGCAAAGTGGAGGAATCGGCGGCTTCTCGTCACTTACTGGCAGGAAGCGGTTATAGACGTCTTTTGTATGCTCCATCGCCTTGGCTGAAATTCGTCTAAGAACTAGCCTGAATAGCTGCTTCCAGCGACTATCAGTAGGCCTTCTTACCTTCTCATTCTCGATCTTAGCGGTAGCCTTTTGAAATTAAAGCTTTACAGCATTCTTAAAGGTGCGAAGGACCACTAGTAGATCATTAGTTAAGACTTAAAGGCCCTGCTTAAGCAGCCAGTGAGCTCCCTCGGTCCGAGAGGTCGTAATCTCATTGAGATGAAGGTATTCGGAGGTGTATTTATGAAGGAAATACTCAGGGCAGTCGTCTAGCCATTCACTCTGTAGATATTGGAGTAAAGGTTCAAAAATCGGCTCCTTGTAGTGCTCTTTGAATTATCTCCATCTCTCCTCCCTCTCTACGGTTATGATCGTATAGACGACGCGAATCCACCGCTTTAGCATCGTCTTCCATGCTTTATGGACCATTTCTCGAAGCTCTCGGTCTCTCTCCGCCTTCGTCTGACGCTGTAAAGCCGAGGAAGCAGCCTCTTACCGCTCTTTTGCTAGCTGCTCTGCGAGAATCGGACGAGCTTTCTTCATGATATTCATATTAATATGCTATAGATAGATCATATGCTTTGTAGAAGGGAAGACGACCTTCACAGCATTTATTAGCGCTTACTCCTTATCGGAAAGGATGGTCCGGGGTGCTTGAAGGCTAAGAGCTTCGTAAGCCTCTGCTAGACAGCTTAAAATGACTTCGTAGCTGTCATCTTTCTCGTCCTTTATGAATGCGAAGCCGATGTAAAAGGTTAAGCCCGTAGCAGTAAAGCCGACGATATCGAGCATTAGAAGGCCATACCGGTTAGTTTTATATGTACAGTCCATTGAAATAACCCATGAATTTGTCTTAAGGAATGCAATACTCGTTTTATGCATATAAAAGAGGGCTGTGACATGATTCTCATCGTTAACTTTATACTTAAAGATCCATTCGCCGTCCTTTGGAAGCTCTATCAAGAGAGCTTGAAGCGGTGTACGGCCAGTAAGGAAATTAACATGAAGCTTCCTCCGAAAGTTATAGATATCCCGGGTAGTGAGGCAGGAATCCTGGTCGTCCTTTTAAATGCCGGTGAGAATATGACGGGTAGAAAGACCCTGCTGGAGCTGATTCTTAATATTCGATGCCTTTACATACAATTCCTGCTTCCGGTGTGGCATATGAGTAAGAGGAGGCGAGGACTCATGGTTATGGTGTTAATTCTCCACTGTAAGGTTCTATCGGCCTTCTTAAAGCCGTAGCGATATCGAAAAGGGGCATTTAATCGCTAGCGAGGTAGTCTCCCGCTTCCGCGTAGGGCTATTCGGGCTGTTTCTTAGCCGGCGGCCCCGGTCATAGCATAGGCGAACTGTCTTTAGGACCCCTTTCTTTGTACGTTTCGACCGAAGAGTTGAGACTGCGTAGCCATGCTGGCGGCCGAAGATATTGATCGCGACAATTCCTTGCTCAGGCGTATCGTACTGCTGAGGTAAAGGAGGCAGCGGGAAGGTGTAGGACTCGGGAATAGCGTCATGGAGGCTTGGCGGCGCGTGATGGAGGCTTGGCGGCGCGTGATGGAGGCTTGGCGGCATCGGCGGGGACTCGGGAATAGCTTCATGCTCAGAATCGGACGGCGAATCGGGCTGTGAGGAAGCCATTGTAAAAAGCAATAAAATGCGAGAGAAATGGGTGGAAACATGGGAGGTTTGAAGGTGTAAACAACAATTATTTTGGATTTCTTGTTAGGTACTACAGTGGTACAGGAGTGACTTAATTTTACTAGCGATTTACATAGTAATTTGAGGTACCTAAGGTGTGATATACATGCAGGGTAGTGGTAGCAATAAATAAAAGTTCGAGGATGAAAGCGGTGAGAAAAGCGGTGAGAAAAGCGGTCAGTAAATGCCTGAATCCTCAGGCAGGGGGGGGTGTTGGCATCCAAAGGGGGGGTGTCTGTATCAATCCCCTTTAAATATTGGGAACCGGTCTTGATGGCTCCGCAAGACAGACGATTTATCATCGTTGTCTGGAGCGGCTACAAACGGACTGAAGGATACTGAGCATCACGTCATCACTGATCAATTGCCCTGAGCATGCTGAGCGAAGGGTGAGCAGATCACTGAGCAGCCCTGAGCATACTGAGTGAAGGGTGAGCAGATCACTGAGCAGCCCTGAGTGCTCAGTGATCAAAAGTACATTCTGCGCACGTGATGCTATGATGACTAAGATTTGGGTAAAAAGGGAGCTTAAACCGGCGTCCAAGGTAGCCATTTACGGCAGCCGATTTACCGTCAATTAACGTTGTGCTGTAATGAGCTTCTCTAAACTACTCGACGAGACTATACGACAAGGACAAAGCAGCTAGTAGCAACGTCGTGGCCAGTAGTGCATACACTAAAATGGAAATGGAAAGCTTTTGAGTGCGAGGCATGCTCCGATATATATGCATGATATACTTACTCTATTCTATGTCATTTGTCGGCAATAATCACGCCCATGTCCAACCTGCCAACTACATAACCAGACTTCCCACCCCATACTGATGAAGCCAGCAATGCAGATACCAGCCGAGTCACTGACAGTGGTAGCCCCCAAGGAGAATTCACGGTCCTCCTTAGGAACACGATCGGCAATCTCTGCAAAGGTATTGACATATACCACTCCACCGAGGAGGCCCTCCCAGAAAATAATGATGAACACAAGCCATACAGTGGGGATAAAATTAAAAATAGCGTGGAGGCTCAGCAACACAAGGTTGACCACCTGCAGGAGCGACGGCAGGTACAGATTGTGGATGCGGAAGAACGGGGTCGAGGAGCGGGATATGAAGACGCCAATCTGGTAAATGGCATTATAGGTGGGATAGAACGAGCGGAAATGCTCAAATGGCGATTCATGCAGTGGAAAAAGCAGAGTTGGAGCGACACCTTGGTTGATCACGTACTCGGCGATGTAAACCAGCAGCATCGGGACCATGCTAGATACCTGTCAGCGTAGACTTGGATGAACCGAATCACTGGGATACTTACAAAGGAATGAACAGTGCCTTGACGCGACGTAGATTATTGCGCATCTGGTCCTGCCAGGGGGCATCGTCATTGACACGGGCAGACTTGTGGGCGGAGGAATTGCGCGACTCCCCCAAGAGCCCCTCGTCTTCCCCGCCAACGCCATCGTCCATTTCATCTTCCTCCACCTGACCCCCGCCCTCAACGACACGATATCTATCAGCGCCAGATTCGGCAGACCTCAGGGGTGACTTGGGTAGCACGACAAAAAAGCTTAAAACCATAATGGCCGGTAAGCATGCCGATACTAACAACGTGACACGAACGGAGAATCCCATCGCAGAAGTCGCGAGGGCATAAGCACCAGCCCCGACCAGCCCAGCGGCGCCAGTACCACTCCCCCACGCAGCTAAACTGAACGGGCCATAGAAGTGCGTGAGACCCACAAAGCTAAGCTCCCCAGCACCACAAGATAAGCTAGCCAGGACTATTCCCGCGATCTTGGATGATATCGTTCCACCAACTGTATAACCCGGGCTCATAGCGACGACCAGCATGCCCATGGATGACAAGAGGGCGAAGACGAGGGTACGCATCCAATATGGAACAAGGTGGATGAAATACGGAGCGACGAGTTTGGTTGCGAATGACGGGACCACGTCGGCGAGGAGAACGAGGCCTTTGGGTACATCTGGTCCGACTAGATCTACAGCTGCGGAGAGGATGATCACATATAGGACATTGTTGATAAGGCCTGTTGGGTGTGGGTATTAGTTAAGCTGATGAACTGTGATGATTGGGGGTACGCACCGAAGAGCCAAAAAGCGACGCAGACTCGGGGGTCTGCGCCGTTAAACGCGCCGCCAACACGGGCGCTGATACGATTCCAAATGGAAGTACATTGCTCTTGGGAGGAAAGCGTTGCGGCATCCTCATCGGATGCTGTGAGAGGCATTCGGTTGCGTTGGGTAAGAAGCTAGAAAGTGGCGAAAGATATTCAGTCCATAGCTTTTAATTGAAAGAAAGAGAAAAGAATACGGGCCATAACAGGGGCCATGCATGTCAAGCGGGAAGAGTGACGATTATCTCCACGCGATCCGCCTTACACGTGGTACGAAGTGGGGAACTAAGGAACTGCCACGGGTGTCGGCCAACTACGGTGCTTGGGCATTGAACTATACATATGTTGTAATACATAATTATTGCTCTCTATAACAAGTTTTTGAAGAAAAACGAAATAGGAAAAAATCGTAGTCAACACTGCTACCTGAGACTTGGCTTCTCCACTTAAATTGGACACACGACACTTTTCCTTTATTGCTCTAGTTTCTATATGAAAATATGTCTCATATCCAACGCAATACATGGTATAAAAGGAAAACAAAATCATAACCGGCATTCAGGACAAGACACTTATGACTTGGCCACGACCGAATCCACAGCCTGCTCCAAAATGCGCAGAGCAGTCTGGATCTGGTCTTCGGTGATCGTCAGGGCGGGAACAAATCGGATGCAACCCTCACCAGCAGTGATAATCAGCATGCCGCGCTCACGGGCAGCAGTGATGATTTCACCAGCCTTAGCGGTGTACTCAGGGGCAAGCTGAAGACCCAGGATCAGGCCGCGTCCGCGAATCTCAGAGATCACACCTGGGAACTTCTGCTGCATGGCCTTGAAGCCCGAAACGAAGAGATCGGACTTGGTCTGGACGGACTGCTGGAGCTCCGGATCGGCGAGACGCTCGACGATGTGGTGAGCGACACGGCAAGCCAGCGGGTTACCGCCGAAGGTGGTGCCGTGGTCGCCAGTCTTAATGTTCTGTCCAACCGTCTTGCCAGAAACAATCGTGGCACCAATAGGAATACCGTTACCAAGAGCCTTGGCGGTAGTCAGAATATCGGGGTGGACAGCCTCGCCAGAGGCTAGGGCGAGAGAGGGGTGAGCGTGGGCCCAGAAAGCACCGGTACGGGACAGACCGCACTGGATTTCGTCGTAGATCAAGACGGCGCCGGTCTCGTCACAGCGCTTGCGGAGAGCGGCAAGGAATTCGGGGGTAGCGATGTTGACACCGCCCTCGCCCTGGATGGGCTCAACGATGACACCGCATGTCTTATCCGTGATAAGAGTCTGGAGCTGTTCGATCTGGTTGTAATCTCCGTACTTGAATCCGGGGAGCATGGGTGAGAACGGAGTCTGGTACTTGGGGTTGGGGGTAGCCGAGAGGGCACCCATTGTGCGGCCATGGAACGAGTTGTGGAAGGACACGAACTCGTGCTTATTACCGGAAGGGTCCAGAGTGCGGCCGGTCTTGCGAGCGAACTTGATGGCGGCCTCGTTGGCCTCGGTTCCGGAGTTGCAGATGAACACCTGTGAAGCATCGCGCATAGCACCGGACTTCTGAGTCAACTCAATCAACAATTTACTCAGAGCGCCGGTCCAAGGGTTGTGGTAGAGGTTCGAAGCGTGAATGAGGGTTTCGGCCTGTGATTGAGGTCTTTTTGTTAGCGATTAATCACCATATAGTCCATAATAGCATTTCGCACCTGTTCCGCAATAATTTTGGCAATCTCCGGATCACAGTGACCAAGAGAGTTAACTGCAATTCCCGCGGTCAAGTCCAGATAACGTCGGTTCTCCATATCCCACAAGTAGCAACCCTGTCCCTTCATCATCATCGGAACCGGGCGAACGTAAGTCGCGACCATGAAAGGAGTTCGCTCATTAACGAAGGACGCCGTGACTGAATCCGCTGAAGGGTCGGGGTTGGGGAGAGTTGACTCCTTCTATGCGACTGTTAGTCCCGAATCTGAACGCTGTCTTGGATGATTTGTGTCACACGTACCTTAACCTGAGCCTTCACATTTTGAGGGGCATTGGATGTAGTCGCAAATCGGCGTTGTACTGGTGACTCAAGAACAGGGACGAATTTGGATGCACGAGGCAGGCGGCGCGCAGCCACACGGAGGGCAGACATGACAAACTTTTGATTTAAAAAGAACACAAGAAAAAAACCAAAAGCTAATCAGCAAAAGAGAGGTGAGGACCGTAAGAGAACTATCTGATCTGATCCGCGATCCGGGAGAAATAAAAAAAGGCGATATCGGGATCGGCAGTCTTAGTCACATCGGTGGAGTGAGTCAATTGGAACAGCCCGAGGTCCCGAGATCTCCCCGTACAACTTCAAACTTGCCTCATTGGACATATCATTCCCCTCATCCACAAACATAATGGTATTCTCTCCTATTCGCCGTTCAATCCCCTCGGCTGCCACAGCCCGTGGCGCAATCCGACCACTCTCCACAACTCGATTCCTGCGCCAGAGCGACGACAAGCCAATGCCATTCTCAAACTCCCCGGCTCCCCCGCGTCTCCCGAAGGAAGAACAGGAGATCTTCGAAAAGCTCCAGAAGCAATCGACTGGCGCCTTCAGTACACCCCAGGTCAACCAGTCCCCACAGGCCGAGATTCAAGCGGACGGCAAAGGTGGCGAGCTTCACCCCGATGCGCCAAAGGGACTGAAGCCTGAGTTTGAGGGCGAGAAGAACCCAAAGACTGGTGAAGTTGGTGGACCAAAGAATGAGCCTCTGCGCTGGGGCGCAGCGGGTGATTGGAGCTATGGTGGTCGTGTCACTGATTTCTGAGTGAACTCGGGCTGACTAGAGATTTGCATCATGGCGTCGGTGTTTATTGCCTAGGGATATCCTCCGTAATTGGAGACGGAGAAGTGGGTGTTTGATGGTGATCACATTTACAATGTACATAACAAAATGGCGTGGACTGACAATGCAAAGCATATTTATGGGTCATTGCGGTGTTGCCAAATATGAAACCCGTTGGGGATTAATAAATACTCCCAACGATGACAAGAACAGGTTATAACAGACGTTGATCAGAGCGATGCATTTTCTCCCGCGAGACGAGCAAGGGTCGCTTTTCCAGCCCGGCTGCCATTAGCTCGGCCCAACTCCTCACTAATCCAACCTCCAATCTTCGACATCTCATCCAGGCTGACCCCCGTGTGCATTCCCAGGCTGTGGATCGTGTGGATGAGGTCCTCTGTCGCCACATTCCCTGTCGCACCCTTGGAATACGGGCAACCACCCAGCCCACCCACGCTGCTGTCGAAAATACGAACGCCATGTTCCAGGCCAACGATTGTGTTCACCAGGGCCTGTCCGTAGGTATCGTGGAAGTGCAACGCCAAGTCTGTATTTTGAATGCCAGCAGCCTTGAGTGCTTGCAGAAGCTCCATAGTCCTGGGAGCGGTGCCCATACCCGTTGTGTCGGCCACTGAGACCTCATCCGCCCCCATCTCCAGCAGCGTGGCAGTAATATCAGCAACCTTGACAGGGTCCACATCTGGGCCTTCGTAGGGGCATCCAAGTGCAACAGAGACATATCCGCGTACGCGGATATTCTTGGTCTTTGCTAATGACACAATCGGCTTGATGCGCTCCAGTGACTCGGCAATGGAGCAGTTGGTGTTAGCTTTCGAGAAAGCTTCCGTTGCTGCTGCAAAAAGAGACACCTCCGTAGTTGTCGCTGTCTTTGATGTCTCCCCAGTCGCGTCTGCGGAGACTCCTGTGGCATCAAGGATCTTAACCAGGCTTTCCAATCCTCTGATGTTAGGGACAAGATAGTTGTATGCGATTGTAGATTGTGCTTGGGGTGGGTTTGTGAGAAGGTGCTCACAAATCTCAGCTGTACTTGCCATCTGTCAAAGTGTAACCAAGTCGTTAGTCTTCTAGGACTGAAATCGCCGTACTGCACGTCATACCTGGGGTACCCATTTTTCGGGTACAAATGAGCCAGCTTCAATGGTGGTAACACCGGTTTTAGCCAGTCGCTCAATCAGCTTAAGCTTTGTTTGCATTGGGATGGATTTCTTCTCATTTTGCAGTCCATCTCGAGCGCCAACCTCCACGATGCGGACATGGTCCGAGGTTAACCGCGACTCGGTTGCGAAGCGGCGTGCAGAATATGGAGACCGCAGGGCTGAGAACAAACTCAATCTGGGGCGAGCTGTCATCATGGTGGTGGTTGGGCCAGTTTGTATGATCTGAACAACCAGAATTGTAAGGGAAATAATAGGTGAAGGAAGGCGAGCTTTGAGAATGGAACAGTAGTAGGCCGAGATGCGGAGAGCGCTTTACCCCCTCCGGACTAGTTGATCACCCCACCTGCTGAGTCAGTCGGCAGAAAAAAGAAGTGGGATGATATCAATTCCAATATTTGGTTATCAAGATCAGTGAAAAGTGCAATTTTTGACATTTTTGACTCATATTATAACTGATCGTCATGGAGCCAAATATCCCCACGCTTCCTACTGAAGATGGCTCACAGGCCGCTAGCCAACTGCGACAGCCAAAGAAAAGATTTGTCGGACGACGAACCGCAGATGCCCAAGCCCAGAAGGATACAACCAGCCAGAAAGATGTCGAGTCTACAGCGGTGCAAACAGGTACATCTAATTCGATGGCCCAACTAAAATACGCATATTAATTTCCACTTCCTCTAGCCGCTCCCAGACGCACTCCTCGCACCCTCAACCAAGTGCCACCAGAGATTCTGAACGATCCCGAGATCCTAGAAGCAATGGAACTTCTCCCCAAGAACTACTCCTTCGAGATCCCCAAGACAATCCACCGAGTCCGTACATCAGGCGCCAAGCGAGTAGCACTCCAATTCCCCGAAGGACTTCTCATCTTCGCGACCACCATCTCCGACATCCTCACCCAGTTCTGCCCTGGGATCGAAACCCTCATCATGGGCGACGTCACCTACGGCGCCTGCTGTATCGACGACTACACTGCGCGCGCCCTAGGATGCGATCTACTAGTACACTACGCACACAGCTGTCTGATCCCAGTCGACGTAACCCAAATCAAAACCCTCTACATCTTCGTAGACATCAGCATTGACACAAGCCACCTCCTCGCGACCCTCGAGCGCAACTTCAAGCCGGGTCAATCAATCGCAACCGTCGGCACAATCCAGTTCAACGCAACGCTCCACGGACTCAAACCCGTCCTCGAACGTGCCGGCTTCCGCGTCATAATCCCGCAAATCACCCCACTCTCCAAAGGCGAGATCCTAGGCTGCACATCACCCCAGCTCTCCGAAACCGATATCGACGCAATCCTCTACCTTGGTGACGGCCGCTTCCACCTCGAATCTGCCATGATCCACAACCCCTCCATCCCAGCCTACCGATACGATCCGTACTCTCGAACCCTAACACGCGAGAGCTACGAACACGAGGAGATGCAGACGATCCGCCGGGACGCAATCGCTACAGCCAAGACGGCCCGCAAGTGGGGGATTATCCTCGGTTCGCTTGGTCGACAGGGTAACCCGCATACTATGGCGATGATCGAGCGACACCTGCGCGAGCGCGGGATTCCAATTGTCAACTTGTTGCTGAGTGAGATCTTCCCTGGTAAATTGGCTTCTATGGCGGACGTGGAGTGCTGGGTGCAAATTGCTTGTCCGCGGTTGAGTATTGATTGGGGATATGCATTTTCGCGGCCGTTGCTGACGCCGTATGAGGCACTTGTTGCGTTGGGTGTGCGGGAGAATTGGGATACGGGGAATAAGGGCGTTTATCCGATGGACTTTTATGCGAAGGAGGGACTTGGGCGCACGAAGCCGCAGGTTTAGAGGTTGGATGTTGAAAAATGAAAATATATACCCCATTATAGACTCAGGCAGCGGGACTGGCTCTGGTTGAAAGGTTATGACAATGATATACACGTTGATATGTTCCGATTTATATCATCATGAGAGGAGAGAATATACATGGGAGCAAAAGTATTAATAACAGCCGGGCTATCGAAGGCACCGACGAAAGACATCATGGCATTTCATTTCCAAAACCAATAAACCGATCCTAATCAAATACAAAGTTCATAATACAAGGTAGTAATCGAATCACCCTTTCACATCATCCGTACTATCAGTGTTGAAATCACTGGCACTTCCACGCCGAAGGGAGAGGACATTCTTATTAGCCAACTCATCAGCAGTACGTTCAGCAGCCCGCCATCGAGTAACAGCCTGCTGAACATCCTCAAACATCTCCAACGAGTCCTGAATGATACCGCCCTCGTCGGAATCGCCCAGTTGGGTACTCTCACGCGAACCACGGTCACTGGACATTGGGAAGGCAGGTCCGAATCCTCGTTGAGGAATTGGGTTAAACATGATAGCGTTGGCGAACATGCGGATCAACTCTTTCTCCAGTTGTGCTGAGTTCACAATTCCCTTGGGCGGTACGAAATCCTCACTCTTCTGTAACATTAGAATGCCGCCTTTGGACGGTGTGCCGCCAGGAACGGGAGACTCTCCATCCCCGGCTGGTGTGCTGGCTGATTCTCCTGCGGCGGCGACAGCTTTGCTTCCCTGGTGGATGGCAGATTTGATTGTCTTGAGGTCAGATGGCCGATAGATGAGATCGTGGTAGCCAGGGGCGTCACGTTCGCTGATTGGCTTGGCAAAGATGGACGCAAGCTTATGGGTGGCTACATCGTTCATAATTGGTGCTGCAGTCCGGTGGAAGTTGCGCGTAGCCATGACATACTGAGTTGTGTCGAATCTCGGGATATCGGCAGGGTGTGGTTCAATTTCCAATGCTTCGCTTGCGCCGCGTTTACGTTTTATCCGCGGTTTGGGAGTCTCTTCGTCGGCGGTAGCAGCTGCACCCTTTCGGCGGCCCGTTGCTCGTGGTTCGCGCACAGTGTCTTCCGATGGTGCAACAGACCCGTCGCGCGAAGCCATGGATCGCCCGCGACTCCGGGAAGATGCCGAACTTACGGCACGCGTCCTCCGAATTGAAGCTAGTTTCTCGGTCTTGATGACAGGGGCGGGTTTGGTGTCAGTCTGGCCGCGTCGATTTTTCTTGTCTTCTGTAGACGGAGCTCGTTGGCCAAGATTGATCCTCGGGGGAGGTGACATTTCCATCGCATCAATGGGTGATTCATCTCGTTCACTGATGGGACTGACATCCTCCGGCCGTGGCCGTGGCGGCGAGCTTGGAGACACCGAAACCCTCGCGCGAGGGGTTCTCTTCCATGGCGTGGAGGAGCCTTGGGTGTCAATTGAGAGGCGTGGATGGGAGCCGCGCGATTCAGAGAAAGAGGGGAATGTGGCACTCGGCGTTTGGGAAACACGCGGGCGGCCAATTGGGACAGGTGTGTGGGTTGTAGATGGGATGGTGCTGGGTGTTTGTGGAACAAGAGGTTGGAGGGGAGTCTGGGCTTGCGGCCCTGGCAAAGGCGGGTTGGCGAGAAGTGGTACAGGTCGCTTGGTAGTGGCCTGAGCTACTTGAGGTGTAGCAACACCAGGGGAGACGGCAGGGTATGGTGAGTGAGGAGAAGGATCCAGCTGCCACTGCTGAAAACTCGGCTGAGCGGGGGTTCGCTGGGATGCTGGCGGCAACGGGACAGCCTTACCCGTAGCAATGGGCGCAGGTTGGACGGGATTGGCTCGAGGGGCGATTTGCGACGGATGTGCCGGCGTGACTCGCGGTCCGGCTGGTGTGGTTGGAGGGGCTTTCTGGGTAGCTAGAGCAAGTGGAGGTTGGGTGGGCGGTTTTGGGAGGGGTTGAGTGGTGGTCGGCTGCGGTTGAGGTGCTTTCCCGGCTATGTCTTGCGGTATGGGTGTTGGGGTTTGCGCTTGGGGAGGTGGAGCTTCAGATTGGGGCACAGGAGGGATGTGTGTTTTCGGTGGCTCGTTTATCGTAGGGGGCACGTTGATTGCGATGTGCTGCGGTTCGGGCTTTGCCTTGTCCTGGGCGGGCGGGACGGTTGTCGCAAGAGGTTGACCCGACGGATCTTGTACATGTGGACGCGGTGTCTCTTCCTTTCGGCCAGTATCCTTCACTTCGGTAGGCACCGGCTTCACGGGTGTGGGTGCCGTAGCTGCCGCGGCGGCTGATTTGTCGTCCTCCTGGTGTAGGCGTTCCAGTTCAGCCCTGATTTCTGTGTACCTTTTCTCATCATCCCTAATTTCCCTGGTGACTACATCTTTATATTTGGCGTAAAGATGTGCCACTAGCTCTGGGATGAGCGTGGCATGGGTGAATCCGGTCAATCCATCTGGTCGCGGACTGGAGATTTTGCGTTTCTTCGGATTGGGCGGACTAGAGGTGTCTGATGGTCGTCCATTGACCGAGGGCGCACTATCACGGCTGAATCCATCGCGCATCAATGTCGCATAGAGATCTTCCAGCGCCTCCGGGGTCAGACGATCGGCATCGAAATCGACATTCTCGCGCACGAGCTGGTTGTTTCGCAAGAGGGTCGAGATTTTACCGAAGCTTGTCGGTCGGGAATCCGAAGTCGCGAGAGACTGGAAGAACAGGAGCGACTCAAACGAAGTGTATGCCGACAGAGGAGGCATCCCCCATTGCCCGTCCGGTCGGCCACTGGGGGGAAAGGCTTGAAGGATGGGGGCCACGGTGGTCGGCGAACGGGGTGGTCACGGAAAGCGTTCGGTTTCGCTTTAACTGCGAGTTTGGGAAATAATTTTGGCTAGGTTGGCTAGTATTTAGGGATAGCGAACGCGACAGGCTTGAAACGCAATATGGCCCTTCAACCTATCCGCGCGAAAATTTGAGCGGGAAAAAAATGAACGGCGACCACAACGGGTGAGGTAAAAACGCGTGAAATTTACGGTTAGAAGAAGCAAAGAGATAAAATGTCTCTGTAGAATTGAAATGACGATGGAAATGGAAATTGGGAATCGGAGAAGAGTTCACGCTGTACTGTATGGTATTGGTCATGTGACCAGTTGCCAGGGAGAAACCTGAATGCGCAATGCAACGTACGATGTACCTCTCTCTACATGTATATCTATGAGAGACATATGTGAAAGCATGGACATTCCAATTCAACCTTATATTCCTTATATTCCCGTCAATTGTGCTATGGGCTGAAGTACGCTATACTTGTAACGCAAATTCTCTTAATTCCCCTGAGACCCATGTCAGGGGTTTAGCTTTATCAAAGGAAGTTTCCTTTGTAGGGCCAAGTGCACACTATATATGTTGGTATAAAACAGAAATGGAAGTATAGAAAATCAACCCCTGAAACAAAAACCCCCTAAATGCGACACATAATGGCGTAGAGCCCCTGTAATACAGTTGTAACACTTACAAGCTCTCCTTGCGGATATATGGGGTCCTCCTACACTAGTAACATTAGGTGGGCTATGATCATCTCTTTCGCACCCTTCTTCTCCCCCTTTAGCTTCCTGGCAGGTCTCCAAAGTTCTTTGATCACTCTCCGATCTGTCCATTGCTACTACTATTGATATCCCGGTATTTCTTTCGCCTCCCCACCAGATTGTGGCTTATCTGTGAAGTATAAAGACTGACCACTGTGTTTTTTTTTTACCAACAGTATCAAAAACCTCGTTTCAGTTTCATCTTTACTTGATTCTTGGCTGGTCCCGGTCTCGAAGATACCTAAACCGCCTAATACCTTAATTTTGCGACCTGCTCTTGCCCCGCCCCAAAAAGGTCGCACACCCCTCTGTCGCCGTTCAGCTGTTAGCACCCGTCTGTGACAGACACCAAGATCAAACATCCCATACAAAATGTCTGACATGGATCGCGAGTGGAAGCCCAAGGTCCGGCCTCAGTCGTTCGTTTCCCTATATCGACGGTTCTCCGAATAGTGGCATTAACCGTGACCACAGGACCATGGCGCAAGCCTTCTCGTCCGCCTTGGACAGCGCCTTTATGCTTGACTCCGATGTTAACAACCTTTCGCAAACCATCGACCAGAAGTGAGTGCTACTTGATAATCCCTTGACCATCGATATCGCACGACTCTCTCGCCATTATCACAATGCTAACCTCAACCCCCAAGGAAGCAGCAGATGTTGATCCAGAACCGCGAATTGGAAGAGCTACAGAACCGAATCCGCGAGGCCGAGCGACGCCTCCAGTCCCGGACTACCGGTGCTAACACCTCGTCCCAACCCCGGGAACAAGGCCAGTCAGCTGGTGAGCGCTCAATCTGATCTTTTTGGGGCCGATTGATATAGCTGGCCTGGTTTTGGCGCTGCGGGATCTGACTGTGTGACAGCTTCCCAGGGATCCAACGAGCAGTCGGATCAGTCTAAGCAGGAGAACAACTGAATTTCCGAGTACATTTCGAGATCTGGAAGGGTCAAAGACTTGGCCGTTCGGTCCTGGAGTCGGAACTAGAAGGCTGGGACGAGCGCAGGGCGGGATTCTCTCTATCCGTGATATTGGACCCGCGCCGCGTCTGATAGACGCAATATGTTCCAACCGAGGTTATTTTATTGGGATGATTTTTTAGTGTTATCTTTTTTTTTTTTCTGGCATCCTTTGAGAAACCCCCTATTGTATGGATCTGGCCGAGGGATTTATTTCCCAAGGTCTCGTCCCTCGTCTGCACTGCTACGGCGCTGCGATTCACCCATGTTTTTGTTTTCTTGAAATTGAAATTCTTTCAATCAGACCTTTTGGGCTTGAGATATCTTCATAGTTATACCCTTGTAATGCGTGCCTCTTGCGTGACTGGATATATATGTAGTTCCGGAATTCTGCACCTTCAGAGCAGAACAATAAGCGTTGTTGATGGAGACCACTCGATTAAACTCGCTAGAAAAGCGGAGGGATAAAAGGCGAAATCAAGGGCCGTGCGTACACTGCTCATTAATATATCGGCACCGCGTCAACGTTCGCTGAATATAGCCAGTTCTATACCGTCGATTCAGTAGAGGTTGGGAACTCAACTTGAGCTTTATTGGCTAATTTGACTCGAGAGAGAGATGCCCACGGGTGTACGTACGCCTTAACTTATATAAGCGTGCTGCCAATCAGCATTATAGGCGTGGCCCTCCCTTAATGGCACACGTTCACTTTGTAGTGGGAGCTGTTTATTCCAGACACTATCCCGAAATACCAGCCTGTCCTGCAAGCGTTTGCATCTGTGTGTGGTGATATTTATTAGCTGTCTGACGATGCAACTATGCGAGGCACCTCGCTGAATTCTTTTGGTCTACCGACCGTTGAGTTTTTGTAGTATATTCAGACTTGGTCTCATCGGTTCCTACTATGAAGGGTAAGCATGAGGGCTATATTGCCGCAGAAAAAGTAATGGCCACATGTCGATTCTTGACCTTCGCAAGAAAATGGGGGTTTCAGGTCTTGGACATTGTTTCGTCTCCACACCTCTAATCGCGGTTTCAATACATCAGAGGTATGATGCAATTTATAATCAATCTTGTTCAAGCATGATTCAGTCCTTGGAAGTTTCCGTGCAGTGTGGGGAATGGTATTTTGAGCCGCAAGGGGCGATTGCGGACATTTTGCTTCTCCATGCCGCTGTTCCATATCAAGGAAAGTGGCAAGGTTGGATTATACCTTGCAGTGATCAATTCCGTATCCAGGTTGACGCATGCATCAGCTGGGATGGAGTCTTCGCCCTGAACTGCAACGAGGAAGAGTGTCCATCAGGTAAAACGAGGTAAAACGGGAACCGGGAAAGTGAAATTTATTCATGTTGTTGCCCAGGGCTCTTTTGATACTTTATATCACTTGGTCTCCAATAATGGCTTCTCCACACAGAATATGACATCTATTTTACCATATTTATCCGAACATGACATATTTCCGACATGAAGTAGGAAAACAAGGAATTTGGTCAACCTGATGCTATCCACATGGCCTCAGGTGGAGCCCGGTACATCCTGTTTCGGGGAGCCATATCCATGATCCTGAATGCCATGGCATCATCGTGGTAATCGTCATAGCAGCTTAGCACAAAGAATATAAATAGTTTGCCTTACCATTCCATTCATCAAATTCAAAAACATCTACCTTCGCAATACTGCTCTATAAATCACTACACTCACAACCTATCACCATGTCAGACTCTACCTTCCACACCACTACACAAGACATCCGTAAGGCTGAGTCCAAGGTTGCCCAATCACACGATGGCAAGACCCCAGCAGACTCCGACGTCTCTCAAATGAAGGTGAGTTATCTGCAATGAAAGATGTTCAGGCATAGAGCAGACCTCTAACATAACTCTATATAGTCCATCATCGATCAAAACACCAACAAGCCCGAGGAAATCGAGAAGACCAAGGACAACCTGCCTCTACCCGAGAAACCTCCAGTTGCCAGTGATTTTAACTCCCTTGACCATCGTACCACTGATGTTGGCTCTGGACGATTCGAGTTCCCTCCTGATAACAGTGGCCTGCGCGAGGGTGCAGCTGCCAGCAGTAGCGCCCGCGTTGATGGCAAGGAGCTGCATAAGACCACTGCCCCATGAGGGCGAGGATTCATTACGTGTATGATAGTCATGAAAGTCATTTGTTTTATCAACCCACTGCGAGCAATTGAATGAATCTTGTAGTATGTGATGATCTAAAATCGGCAATCTCATACTTGGGGAGAACCAGCGAGAGAAACGATGAGTAGTGCAAATTTGGAAGGGTCAAGACCAAGCTTGAAATATTCAGCCGGTCTCCCAAACCCCATGGCTGACGTATGAGGGGGGACCACGGTGATTTCCCAAGGACAGGCCGTCTTCCTGGCCTGGCACAGAAACAACAAAGTGGCGCTGGTCAATATCCACCCTCTGAAGCAGCAGTTTTCGTCTGTCAAGCTACTGTTAGAAACCATGAGTCAATTCTCTCATCCTAGCTTTCTAGATCTGCTGGGGTGCTACTGTTGGGAGGATCAGGTGTTTTTGGTCTGGGAATCAGTAGAGCTCTCAGTGAGCAACATCCTCGCATCAAGGTGCACTATCACTGAGGGTGAGGTTGTCGCAATTGTTCGGCCGGTAAGTGCTAGTCCCAGCGCCCGACGTGAGAAAGTGGCGCTCGTGCCTGATAGGTCCTCGAAGGAATTCAATATCTGCGCGGTCGCGGGAGAGCCTTCGCCGCCTTAAGTGCCGACACGATGTTGCTCACGGAGTCCGGTGGAGTTAGGATCGGTGAGTGGGGAACCTGGTGGGCCATATGAGCATAGTTTACTAACGGTGGTCAATGTTGTAGCGGGAGTGGAGTACAGCTGCCAAATCAATGCAGCCGAGATGGACGCGGCAACTCTGAAGCTATTCGCTTTGGCTGGGGTTGTAAAAAGGCTGATCATGAAGAATCCTCCACACTACCCATGGCATGCCGAAGCCAAAGGTCTGCCCGAGGAGCTAAAAAGCTGCAGTTCACAGGATGAGCTTTACGCGTAAGTCTTGACCGCCCACCCACACCCGTGATGGTACGGCTGCCGACCCGAGCGACATCTCTCGTGGAATTCACGGTGCCACTGTCGGAGTGGATCGCATCTTGTCCTTTCTCGACAGACACCATATCAAAGCGACCTGGTTCGTTCCGGCACACTCATTGCAGTCCTTTCTGAGCCAAGTAGTAAAGATACGCGATGGTGGGCACGAAATGTAAGTGTCTAATCGACGACTTCAATCGGTATTGTTCAACTGGGATAATGGGTGGCGTTGACTTGAGGAATATGGTTGATAGCGGAGCCCACGGCTACACCCACGAACATATGAGCGCCCTGAACAGTATCCAGGAAGAGGAAGTTCTCTCCCAATCACTTCAAATCCTCACTTCCTTCCTCGGAAAACAACCCAAAGGTTGGACCGCACCGGCATGGAAACCGTCACCACACACCGTACCACTGCTTGAAAAGTACGGTTTCGAATATGACCACTCACTTATGCACCACGACTCGCAGATGTACCACTTGCCGTACGTACCGTCTGTCACAGCTACAAAATGTCCACTAGTCGCCGTCTACTTGGATGCAGCCCATGGGCGCACTTCATGCATCCAGCATTGTCGAGATCCCGGCAAACTGGCATTTGGATGATTGGCTCGCTTTCAATGTTGGGAACGGCGGAAATGGATTTGTGGATCCTAATCTGATCTTGAGACTCTGGACCGAACAGTTCGATTTCTATTACAAAGAGTATGATTCCTTTGTTTTCCCAATGACCATCCACCCGCAGGTCGGCGGAAGCCCCAGGTACTGCGCATGCACGAGAGGCTTGTTTATACGGAAGTGTCACGGAAGTGTCAACGGAAGTTGATCACGAACCTTTTTAAGCTGTGTGATTATTCCAACTTACCTCTCCACCCATTTAGACCTGCCCCTTCAAATGCAGTGGATAGAACCAATGCACGATGCGTCAAGTACTACGAAGTTGTACTGGGCGATACATGCAGTTCCGTCACAGTGATGATGAGCATTAGCCTGAGTGACTTCTTCTTCCTGGTAAGATTCAACAATGTATTTCTCTTGCTGAAAAAGATTTATTAACCCTCCTGTCCAAAGAATCACGAGGTTAACAACCCGAATTGCACTAACCTGCTGAAAGGATACTCCTATTGTGTTGAAGCTGTTGGCAATGTCGCGACGTATTCGGGGTATGGGTTTGCCTCACTCTGCCGCCTGCAGGCTTGGCTTTTAAATACTAACATGCCAACACGCCTGTAGTGGAAATAGGAACCCTTGTGTTATGACCGTTCTAATTCCCTCCAGCTGTCTCGCAACGGGTGCAGTCACCACCGACACTGTTTGGACGTGATCACACAAATCTTCAGATCAAATCATATGATAGGTAGGAGATATATATAATCTAAGGTTATACTCTCGAATGCTCATGCAAACAACAAAAATCAATCACCTGAGAGTCGGTGGCTTCCCGATCCCTTGCTTCCCGAGGATAATGACTGCTTTTATGTGCATACATAGTACGGTACACAATTTTTTATACGACTCTGAGCTACTGTTAGTGAGAATCTGGTAGTTTGCACGATATGTAGAAACGAAGTTGTATTTCTACAACGCATAAAGGTCACACCAAGTCGACAGCACTAATCTCGGTGATCTGCTTATTAAAACAAACCAGGTTTTTTCCAACGCACTCGATAGCTAGGGTCTCGGCCCCGGAACGTCTATACTGAACAGCATTTGCCAGCATTTGCAGAACATCCACAGTTGTCTCCCAGTCAATGCAGGCATCGGTGATACTGACTCCAGGCTGAAGCCCACTTGCCCCCTGCGGAGGCAACTTTTGATTGCCCTCGTTGAGATTACTCTCGATCATCACACCAATGAGTGCAGTCTCTCCACTTGCAATCTGACCAGCCACATTCGCAGCCACTACTGCCTGGTTCAGATGGTTTTTCTCCGAGTTACCATGCGAACAATCAACCATGATGTTCTCGCGTTCGGCTTTTAGCTTCAGCGCCTGCCTCGCACGACCGATATGCTCTTTGCTATAGTTCGGGCCCTCGTTGCTGCCTCGCAGAATGAGGAACCCATGTTCATTCCCCGTAGTGCGAGTCACAGCTGCTATACCCTGTTTTGTGACCCCCAAAAATCTGTGAGGTTTGGAGGCAGCCTGGATAGCATCGATGGCAACGCCAACACTGCCGGATGTTCCATTTTTATACCCAATGGGAAAGCTTAGGCCAGAAGCCAGCTCTCGATGCAATTGAGATTCCGTCGTGCGCGCACCAATCGCCCCAAGGGAAATAAATTCCGCCAGATACTGTGGCGATATGGTATCAAGCATCTCACTGGCGATTGGGACTCCGAGATCGGTCAGGCTTGAGTAGAGCTGACGGGAGATGTGGAGTCCCTTATTAATGTTGTAGGAAGCATCAATGTCAGGATCATTGATCAAACCCTTCCAGCCGACGGTAGTACGAGGCTTCTCCAAATAAGCACGCATTACGATGCAAAGAGTCGAAGAGAGTCTTTTCGAAAGTTCGCGCAATCGGGAAGCAAATTCCAATGCCTCTTGCGTGTTGTGGATTGAGCAAGGGCCAACAACCACCAGTAAGCGGTCATCTCGTCGTTCAAGGATATCGACGATTTGCTTTCGACTGGAGCGTACAGTTTCTAACGAAGACGTTGACTTCCGGGTATCAGTGATAGTGAACCCAATTTTCTCAATCCGGTTACATGGACTTACCGCGGTGATTTGTCGCTGAAGATATTCGGGAGACAACAATGGATCAAAGCCAACGACTATCTCAATCTGTCAACGCCGTTCCAAATATGAGTAAGATCCCACTAACTGCGTGAATCTTCATGGACATCGGAAATCCGTGAGAGAGACATAGTATCGTGGACAGTGAGCTGTCCTTTACAGGTAGTTTTGAGGGCAAAGCCTGAAAATTTTGTACGACGCTTCAAGTGGACAAGGCAAAGTACACCTGGAGGTTCTTATAGAGACATCAGTTCGGTAAATTGAACTTGAACACGATGGCATGTGGCGTCCCAGCTGTGCAGCATCTTTCATTGCACCCTCTAAGTGACATGCGTAAGCACTACCCTCGCTTTCCACGCATTTCTTTTTAAAAAAAGAATAGATTGGAAACGTCAATTACTGTATGCCAAGGCGCTAAGATATCAGCTGGAAAACCAAGCTTTGATTGGCAAAGAACAGTGCGGTAAGTGCGGGTCAAAGACTAGGGTCCCCTGCCTAATCCGAATTCAACACGCGGAATAGATTTCAGGGGCCCATACATTCATACCTTAGTCGAAAACCGGTCAGATTAAGAAATGGAATTTTCAATTGTGTCGCTTCACATGTACTTTTACGGGCATTGGTAAAGACATGTTTATTTTCAAATCCCGGTCACCTACTAGTCATATCCCTAGCCCTAGTTCACCGGTCTCCGGACCGAATCCCCTTTATCGATTTCCTGGCTCTTATAATTCCCCCTCGAACAAGCAATGCACATCAAAAGACCTTGTTCATTTTTTTTTTTTTTTTGGATTCTCTTCCTTGGTCTAAACATTTGATTGTTTGCCATTGCCATTCCCCGAGCCTAACAATGATCTCTGGGAAAGAGTTTTGGGCTCGCTTCCCTCGGTCTATCAGCCACTGGCTGGGCTATCGTGAGAATGCACCAAAGCCTCCCCCAAAATATCTCATTCACGTCTGGTCGTTCATAGCCGCATTCTGTGGTCTATGTGTGGTACAGGTAATATTCAAGTACTCTTCCTACTTCATTGAACGTGGCGTGCCGGGTATCATTGCTTCTTATGTGCGTCTCCCTTTCTTCATGGCATTCTCAAATGCTCATCCCTAAACAGGGAGCATCAGCAGTCCTCGTATATGGCGCTATTGAAAGCCCTCTAGCACAACCACGCGCACTACTCGGTGGTCATTTTTTGAGCGCCCTGGTCGGCATCTGCATCACGAAACTTTTCAGCCTAATGCCTGACGAAGAGATGTTCAACTCTTTGCGTTGGATAGCCGCTTCGCTTTCGTCCGCTGTTGCAATTGTTGTTATGCAGATCACTGAGACAACTCATCCTCCAGCCGGCGCCACGGCTCTCCTCCCAGCAGTGGATGAAGCTGTGTGGGCACTATCTTGGTACTATCTGCCAGTTGTCTTACTTTCGTCGACTATGATACTTATTGTGGCTTTGATCTTGAACAATATCCAACGCCGATATCCCATTTTCTGGATCAGTCCACCCACCGCGAAGCCCGTTCTTCCACAGACTAGCAATTCGGCCTAGAGATATGCGCCCTCTATGCAAGATCGCTATATGGATGTTGCGGGGGTTGCTGGGGAATGATACTGTGGTGCACCCTTTATCATGGTAAAAGGAGTTGAGCGGGAAAAGATTTACGATTTTTGTGGCGATTTGAGGGCGCCCCGTATGACGGGACCCCTCGAGTATCATGGATTCCTTTATGAGCTAAGTCTGGGAGAGAGAGTTGTATTTACCATATTGTTTAGAAACTTAATTGTTTAAAATCAATTATGTGCCGTTACTCCGTTCTCCGTAGGTTCTAGGTCAGTTTGGATATTCTCAAGATCGTCTTTGGGTCTCGCCCTGTAGCCGTGGTGAACAGGTTACCAAGACGACCATGGATGGCATCTAGGAGGTAGCAACTTTGGAAGGTTAGAAGTCAGCTCAGATCGGATAGATAGTATCCGTAGATGAGTTTATACAAAAGGTTTATTCAATGCCCTGACTTAGGTTTCTCCGACTGCCAAGACACCCTCTACTATGTTAAATACCATGTTCGGGACTTATTGTCACGGCTTACTCCCGAGGCTGCAGGACGTTATCTGTCTCGCAAAAGATTCTGCGATGGCTTGCAGTAGCCCTGCAAAGGATCGAGGGAATGCGGTACATAATTATTGACTAAAATGACCGAAGCCCCGCATGGGACAGTTCGTTGTATTAAATGGTGCCATGGTTTCACTAAGCGCTGTTAGTTTTTCTTCTGCAATCCTTTGTGTAGGGGTAACTGAATGCGGCCCTGCACAGATAGGCCAAACATTTGGCGCTAAACTAGTTTTACTGTCAGTGAGAGCTAATTTAGGCGAGCCACAGTGGTGCGTGCCATTTCGGCTCCCACGTGGGATGGCCTATCATGATCCAAACTACATACGTACTCTCCATGGCCAAATTGCTTATGTATTACCACCCCCATAAATTTGAGGGTGCTATTATCATACCTAGATTGAAAAATGAGGTTGAGTCGGGATCTAAAGGATTACTGTCTACTTGATAATTATTGGTATACTCTTCATGGCTAAACACCCCCAGTCTACTCGTACTCTTGTCATCATGCGCTATTATATTAATCTCGCAAATACCTGTCCGAGGTCTAATGTCTGGTCAGGATCGTGATCTATATACTATCAGGATTTTTGATAATCAATGCGTTACCCATCCATGATTCCGGTATTGTAGAAGCAAGTACATGTATCAGTAGACCGGAGTTCTCGCAGACTTGATGTAATTTTAGGCATGAGGAGGCGAGCATGATATGCAGTCAGACTTTAGCTTCGGGATATAAACTGGTAGGGGATAGTATACGCTAGGAAGAGCCGGTATCCTATATCTCGCGCAGATTAGACTTAATAGAATATAAGTTCATAAACTAGGCGTTATATTTTACTGTTGACGCATGTGGTAGTAAAATATAATCGTGTTTTCAGCAGTCGATATAAGCTAGAATAGCTATATATATCCCTACATAGCACTCGATTCCAGACGAAATTATTTACAATAATCACCATGGCTAAGACCCATTCGTTTAGCCGGAGATAGAAGACCTTCATTTCCCATACTATAACGCTGATGCACCGCTAGCATAACGGTGATCCTTCCTCCTTCCTCATTTGGACAACCAGGGACCCATCTACGAACATTTAGTCGCAATGACATTCTAACAGGTAATAAATCTCTCCATCCTTCGAGTGTCCGCTCCAGAAAAGGAATATGCCCACCAAATACAGGACGATACTTCGTCAAGCTAGCGGTATATCATGCACATTAGACACACAAGGTTGTATTACACACGCCACCGCCGCCAATGAATATTTGCAAGATATCTAAATCCGAGTATATTCAGGCCGAGCAGAGAACTGAGCATTGCTTGGTATTCGCTTGACGTGACCCCTTCAAGCTAGTTCATGTCATGTTTTCTCCGGTTTGAGGCATTTCATGCACATGGTCTTCAATTTGTAATTATCCGTTTGTTCGAAGCGACATTCTCTTATCTCTCATAGACAGGAGTATGTAAGCGACTGTAGATTTCTAGGGTGTATAAAACAGTGATGCCTCCGTCGATAAACTCTTGCAACCCAGTTTATCAAATACCTTGACGATATGTCTGTTATATACAACAGCACCGAGGCTTTGCTCAGCAATTTGCCCGTTGACGCAGCGTCGTGGTCTGTAGGACTTCCTGCTGTGACCAAAGCTAGTCTGCCATTCCTGTGGACACTCACTGGAATCGTTGGAGCATCGCTTCTCGCCTGGTTCAGAAAGCCCTGGACTGACGAACATGGTCACAAAATCCCCCAAGGCCCGCTAGGGCTTCCGATATTCGGTAACTCCTCTATCACTAACACATTCGAAAACTGGTTTTCTAATATGCCCTTAGGTTCATTTTACTCTTTGACCAGGTACCCTGAGTTGACTCTAGACTTCTGGGCGAAGAAGTTTGGAGATCTATATTCCATCTGGCTTGGAAACCAACTGTTCGTCATTGTTTCTGACCCAAACATTGCTAAGGATCTCATGGTCACCAATGGGAACGTGTTCTCTTCTCGCAAAGAAATGTTCATCAAAAGTCAAACTGTCTTTGCTGGTCGAGGCATCACTGCTACTCCATACAATGACCGATGGTAGGTTTATCCTAGACTTCACTAAGGTTTCTGCTGACCCTAATTGAAGGCGCAAGCACCGCCGTATTGCAACCACATGGCTGAGCCAACGTGCTGTTGACTCATACTCCCCCGTATTGGATCGCGAGTCGCTCTCGTTAGTAAAGGCATTGCTTATCGAAAGCAAAGGAGGTTTAGCCCCCGTCAACCCTCAGGTATGTTAACCCAGTCTACCAATACCAGCAGCAAGTACTGATTTATAAAGCCTCATGCCGGTCGTTGCTCATTAAACAACATGACAACTATCACGTTCGGTTTCCGAGCGGACAGCATCCATCACCCCCTGGTTGGACGGGCTTTAAAGCTCAGTCGTGAATTTATGTATGCGCACGGCCTATGGAAACATTTATTTATCTTGCCAACAAACTAACTGAGCTACTAGGAACTGCACTGGCCCTATGTCAAATCTTATTGATTTCATTCCTATTCTACAATATCTCCCGACACCATTGCATATGCGTGCCAAGAAACTACATAAAGGCTTGGTCGACACATACGGTGGCTTTATTAAGGAAGCCGAGCAGAAGATGAAGGAAGGCAAGAAGGTTCAGGACTGTTTAGCGAAGACAATGATTGAACTCCGCCATAAAGAGGACCTTGATGATTTGGATATGGCAATCCTTGCGTCAGCTTTCATGATTGGTGGTGTTGAGACTGTAAGTTACTATCATGATTACCCCCATCCATTACTAATGTCTCATCCAGACTGCCGCCATTATGCAATGGTTCTCTGCTCTCATTCCTGCGTACCCTGAGATCCAGAAAAAGGCCCAGGAAGAGATTGATCGTGTCGTTGGACGTGATCGTCTCCCTGGTATTGAAGATGAAAAGAATATGCCTTATTGTCACGCTATCATCAAGGAAGTTGAAAGAGTTCACAATCCTTTCTGGTTAGGTACTCCCCATGTTGCCAGTGAAGATTTCGTTTACCAAGGAAAGTTCATTCCTAAGGATACTGTGGTCGTTCTTAATACATGGACTATGCATTATGATCCCGCCCGACATTCCTCCCCCGAAAAGTTTGATGTATGTCACCTCTGGCTAATCCCTTGAAAGGTTTATTTACTAACAAGCGAAAAAAAAGCCTGATCGTTATATCGATGATCCCTTGACATCTGCTGACAGTGTCAATGTCGCCGATCCTATGAAGCGAGACCACTGGATGTTTGGGGCTGGGTAAGTACTGCATAATCTATAACAAAAGAGGAAGCCCGTCTAACCACTTTTAGTCGTCGCATTTGCCCTGGAATGATTGTGGCTGAGCGTGAGATTTGGCTGACAATCTCCCGTATGCTCTGGGCATTCGATATGTTCGAGATTCCAGAGGAGCCTATCGATTTGAAAGAATACGATGGCCTCTCTGGGCGCTCTCCAGTGCCGTTCCGCATCGGATTGAAGCCACGACATGAGAATGTTGCGAAGCTACTAGAGGAAGTTGAGATTTAAATTATGTATGGGGGATAGGGCCAGAGACTGAAAGACTGAAGATTATTGAGATATGGTTTTCCTGAAGTGAGACTGCAGGTGTCTGTGGAAGAAGGGCTCTTCATGAGTTCACTACCTGTGTTCTCCCAGAAATAGTTGCCCTGAGGAGTCACAGGCTATACTTCCATACAGTGTCAGGATGTGTCAGCTAAATCTACATCCATGGATTTGAAGTCATTGCCAATAGGAATAATTACCTGTTGGATGTGATATATACGAAACACCAGTCAAAGTTGACTAATTTGAACAAGAATATCTATCTGGCAAAACCTTGGTTAAGAAAAGCGACGAGGTCGAATGGTTGGCGAATGGTTGACAATAATAATTTCCCAATTTCATGCCTCTGCCATTATACCAGATACCTTAGCTGGAGTATAGGGGCGAGGGTTATATTAGACGCACACATAGAATTTTCTTCACCTATTCTCAAGATGATGGGCACAACTGATCTTGTTTCGATGTTGACTTTGTGGTGGAAGCGATCAGCTCATCAGTTCGAGCCATTCGGTCTATTCTGGCTCGTCTCCGGAATACTCCAAATCCAGTGACGGCATATGCGAAGTTCAATGGCATTCCACCAGATGGATAATCCAGATACCCAGGACATGATCGTTGCGATACCTGGCAGACCCCATTATGCCGTCACGGGTGAGTTTTATTTATAATTCTCCTAGCTGCACATCGTGCGAATGTGAGCGACACATTTTGGTCACATAGAAGTGCAACAGTACAAGGCATCATTTGCTCCGAAGAACCGAATAGATCATGGATCCCCGAGGACCTTCCTCAGGGTCGAAGCGACACTTGGCCCACAGTTGTTTGTGAAGTCGCTGTCTCAGAGTCGAGGAAAAAAAAGCTACGAGCAGACGCCACCAGGTGGATAGCTAACTCCGAGGGGCAAGTACATATGGCGATCACTATATTGGCCAATCGAAGTGTGGCTGGGGCCACGTTTGAATCTATTGTGCTCCAGCGGCCTAAATATACACGTAACGGTCGGTGTTAATATCGACCAGTGATCCGTGGTCTTCGGGAGACTAGGTGGCTCTATTATCACGGTGCCTGATAGCTCACCCAGTAATACCTTGGAAGAAGTGCTTTACAGTCGTGCCCCCCGGGAGACCGACCCAGTGCTTTTCTATTTCCTAGGCATTTGGGTTTGTTTTCGTTTTGTTTTTCTTTTTCGCTTATATTCATGAGGATAGTTCATAAGTGGCCATTGTTGAGTTTTGGTAGTCTTTTTCAATGTCTTGGATATTCCCTTGCATGTAATCTTTTGTAGATATTTCTTCGCTTCATTAGTTGAAATGTATGCGATAAAAAGGCATAGATTGTGTAAAACAAATTTGCTCGTATAACCTTTGACGATATCCAGTTTGTAGTTGAACGTGCTAAATATATCGGACAATTGGTCTTATTGTATCCGCCTTGTAACGTTATCCCAAGACAGGGCAATCCAGCGGAGAGATGGGCCAGGTTAGAGAGTGGAGTACCTGATCCTCTGGCCAATCCTACCACTATACAACACGCAGTATATTTAGGATCTATCATTCATGTGTTGGATTTTGAGGGGTGTGTCTAAGCAATATATGACGGTAACAACTAATAATGAAGCCCATGGAGCATCTTTGGTCTAGCGGTCTTATTGCTCCCGCTCGCCTCGATTCACACGTTCTTCTGCGTGCCTGGCAGTGTGTTGTCAATGCTTTAGCTTCGGTGGTGGACTTCCATTCTTGCTCCCACTCGGTAATAATCTTGCTTCAGATCAATGCCTTCTTCCCCGCGAGATGGGGATGGAAGGGGTGTGTTTTGCTTGGGCACACAGCTTCCTTAGCCAGCCGATGTGCTACGTCGTTTCCTGTGTTCTCACGGTAGCCCAGTAGCTATTGTAGGTGGAGCGCAGTTCCCTCCTCGTGTACCTCTTTCGCTGCCTGAAGGATTGCGTGATGATTCGTTATTCTCGATTCCGATGTTGAAGTGGATAGTCTTGGGTAGTCGGTCTCGATAGTGCTTGAGGGGATGCACGAAGTAGTTATGAGGGTGACAGGTAGTCGATAGGTCGTGTCGGTGGGGTTGTAGCCAAGGGATTATCCATGTACCATTCGATGATCTGCGGCACGACGCCGTTGCTGTTGGATCTGGGGCTGGTGGATGAGGCCAAATGAATTGTGAATGAGTGGATAGGTTAAGCTGTAGTGTGGAATCAGGGCATGTTTGAAATGATTTACGGTCTACGATGAAGTGAGAATTACTAGTGAGGTCCATGACTATACGCCACCCTTTACATATGACATTATAAATCAACTGCTTTGTGATGGCTTGAAACTGATTCAATCCTAGTTCTTGTCCCTGTAGTCTGCCTGAACGGGATTGCTTCTCTGTACCTACAAGAGACAGATAATCTTCCGCCTCCATCTCTATCCACTCGCAGCATACATCTCCCAATGATAAACCACGCTCGCTACCACAGCCACCACAGCAGCGCAACCTAACCAGCTCACTCCTGTACCCGAACAATAACCTTCCCCTTAGCCCTCTTACTCTCCATCCGCTCATAGGCCTAACCCAAAACCCAGTCAGCCACAACCCCAGCCCAAACACCCACTACCAACTGCAAAAAGAAAGAAAAGAAAAGAAATACATACCTTTCTCGCATCCCTCATGTCCCACACTGAATCCACCACCATCTTCAATTCTCCGCTCTCCACCAACCGCATCACCCTCCCCAGTGTCTCCCGATTCGGCCGTGCACTATAGAACTGATAACCTCTCGGCACGCCACCGAGCAATACCGGCCACAGGGGCACCATATGCTGATTCCAGACAAATGACAACAAGCCCCAGAACGTGGGCTTGGCCGTCATGGCGCCTAAATTAATGAACGGTTTGCCAAATGCAAGATACGGCTCGCAGTGCGTGTAAAGCTCCGTTACGCCCACGCAGTCGATGATCGCGCCAAAGGGCCGGTCGGCGTGATGCGTGCGCAGATACTCGTGGAGGGGGTGCTGGACCGTGTAGTCGACGACCTCGTCAGCGCCGATGGACCGGATCAGGGAAGCGTCGGTGCCTGACGCGACGATCGTGCCGGTTCGCCCTAATACATGACGCGCGACTTGGATGATCAGCATACCCACGCTGGTGCTGCCACCGTTCACGAAAACCTTGTCCCCCGCGATCAGCTTGGTCAGGTCTAGGACCTGCACGGCGGTGCAGCCGCAGGCGCTGAGGCCGGAGGCTTCGAGAAGGGAAATGGGTGCTGCTGGCTCCGGTCCTGAGGTTTCATCTTGGGTGGTGACAGTATAAGGGGACAGCAAGGGGATCAGCTGGGCGGCAGGCGCAATGACTTGTTCCGCCAGCGCCCCTTTACCTTCGACGAAGACCCGTTTAGCAGCACAGCAGCCCAGGACGAGAGTTGAGGGTTGGAGGTCTGGTCGAGTAGAGGGGATGGCCGAGCCGACGGCTAGAATGCGCCCCGAGAATTCAAACTCCGGGACTCCTAAGCGCTTCTGGCGGTTATAGATGTGCGGCAGGGAGTATGGCTGCGGCGGGAGGGAGCGCATCATGGTCGTGAACCCCGAGTTCATGGCCACGTAGTTGACCGCGATGAGGAGCTCGTCGGGCCCGAGGTCGGCCGCTGAGGGCGCGGAGGCCTCATCATCTAGGACAATTGTTTGCGATGGGAGGCCTGATTGCATGTATGTCCAGGCCCGCATGGTGGTGGTGGGCATCTTGGTCGGGTGTCAAGAGGCGATTGAACGCGTTCACATAATCAGTCAATCCTCTCTTCTCTACAGCCCATCATGAGGTGCGGGGTGTTTGTTCCTTCTGTTCGGATATCAGATCAAGACTGCGTGAAGATTGTACTCAGGTCGGGGGTTCGGTCGGAGGCCCGAGTTCGGATTCGGAGTTGTCAGATAGTTATCATGATCATATTACGACCAATTGGTACCTAGTACCTGCAAACGAAAGTGAAGGATGCCAACACGTCTGTTTTCTACAACGAAAGTGGGGTAAGGATCAAGACAGCCTTGGGGGCTGAGAAGTACTAAGTTACCTTGCGAGGGAGATAATTGGATACACTCAGAGCTTCGCCTGGAAGAAAAACTCGGGCAAAGCGCAAAAGGGAAAAATAGTCCAAAGTCCAGACTCCTCAGTTGATCCACTTGCCATTGTCGTCCCGAGCCTAAAACCTTGTGGCCTAAAACCTTGTGGTCTTTGTCTCCAAACTATAGCCAGTCGGCTGATTTGCCTAAAAACGATCCACGCCCCGGCAATGTTGGAGTGCACGCACCTCTCACATCCCCAATACTCCAGCGCCAATCTTAGCGGGAATCTGTTTATGCTTACGAATGTTATCCCAATGCTCTTTCATGTTCTATTAGAATTACATGCCTCAGGTTGCAACATCACCCCGCTATAACGCAGTCTCTCCCCGATTGTGTTTATATTAACCTAACCCTAAACCACCCGCTATTACCAACATATCCACTAAGAATACAAACATGACCACTATCCAGAAAGTTGCCATCTTCGGGGTATGTTCAATATCTACTACCCCTATGTGATCAAAAATTCCTCTCCCTTGAAACTGACCCCCGCACGGGCATCGGGCAACTTTGGCACTCCCATCACCGCCGCCCTCCAACGCGCTGGCTTTAACATCACCATCATCACCCGTACCGAGTCCTCCTCGACATTCCCCGCCGGCCTGCCCGTTATCCGCACCAGCTACACCCTCGAGAACCTGACCACTGCCCTCGCAGGCCAGGATGCCGCCATCTGCGTGGTCGGCCCCGGCGGCATCGGTGCACAGGTCACCATGATCGAGGCCGCCGAAGCCGCCGGCGTCAAGCGATTTATCGTCGACGACTTTGGCTGGGGCCCGGATTTCCGCAACCTGCCGGAATTCCGGGCTATTCATGCTCATCGTCGCGCGGGCTGGGAATTGGCTAGAGCGAAGGCCCAGGCGAATCCAAACTTTACGTTCACCGGTATTACCTCGGGGAATCCCATTGATTGGGTAAGCCTTGCATATTCCTTTCTTTCTGTTTTGTGTGTATGAGGGGAGGGGAACTTTTGTCGTGCTGACTCGTCACTTTTCTTTCCTGTTGGGTGTAGGCAATCAAGCGATTCCCTCTGATGGGCTTCGACATCGCCCAGGGTTCGGCTATCATCTACGACTCTGGCACAGAGAAATTTACCGCCACCACCCTCGCAGGCATCGGGCAGTCGGTCGTCGGCGTCCTGCAACACCCCGACGAGACGGCGAACCGGTTCGTGAAGGTCCTGTCGATCATCACCAACCAAACCGAGCTGCTAGAGGCTTTCCAGCGCGCCACGGGCCGACAATGGCCGGTGCAGCGCGCCTCAGCGCAGACCCTGATCGAGAGCGGACAGCGGAAGTTCCAGGCGGGCATGGGCGGCTGGGTGTTGGAATTAGTGGTCGCACAGATGTACGATGAAGGACAGAACCGATGTGTCATGGCTCCTTCGTGGGAGGCGTCGGATTCCCCCCTATTGGGGGTGCAGAATGAGAGTGCGGATGAGGTGGTGGCCAAGGTTTTGCAGTCGTGAACATTTTGTTGTACAACAGTCTATTCTAGAAAGATTCACCCACACATAAAATAGCGGTCAAGTCACCTGCTAATTACTTCCTAATTTAATTCATGTTTTCAACCTGTATTTTGGTATCTATGCTGGATACTGAATTCTTCTGATTTCAACTACCCTCCCTCCTAAGCAATTGAGGGTTGAAAACTTCGATCATATGCTAGTAGTATGAGTTGTGGAAAAATGAAGAAATGGAGGGGAGAGACCCTTTTCTTAAAGATACCCTATTATTAATCTGTAAGGGTACCCTATTAATTACTATCCTAATTACGAACCAGAGCTGGGTGAATTCCACCGATCTGGACTATTGTATGTAGTAAATTTAAGCATTGATAACCCAATCTTGGCAATAGGATGGGCTAGTTTTTCTTTTCTTGGCACATTTGCGCTTATCGTTTCACAGGGTTCTTGGGCCTGCATTCGGCGTCGTCGACGGGGTGGAAGACCACGCGCGTGGGATGTTCAGTGGTGTTGTAGCGGAAGCCCTTGCTCCAATCGTAGCTCACGGCGTAGGCGAAGATACTGCCGTCATGGTTGAAGCCCGTCGAGGTGATGGGGGCCCCGACGCTGGGGAATGTTTTCAGACGGTGGTGCGCGTCCTTGTCCCAGAAAGCGAAGGTGCCATCCGCACCGGCGGTGCTGAAAGTGTAGTGCTTGGGATGAAAGGAGATGTCGTTCACCGCGTACACATTCTGCGCGGTTTTACCAGCAGACATGTCGCGATGGCAGCGGAAAGTGAAATTTTGACTGCGACCACAATTGTTAGAGTAAACTTCTCTTTCTTTAAACTGAAAAGAACAGCTCACCTGGACTTGCTCTCGTCCACGTAGTGAAACCCGGCGCGACCCTCGGTGCTCCCGATCGCAAACCCCGACGCATCTGGGATGCAAGTGACGGTACGAGTTTGATGCTTCAGGGGACTGGTCACCGTTTTGTAGATCTGGCCTGGGTTGCTAAGCTGCACGATATGCACATGACGTTCGGCAGTTGCAACGACGAGAAGGTTCTGACAGAGATCCATTGCGTAGACTCGCTCCTGGCACTGGAGGGTCGCCAAGGGTCGATCCTGGCGCAGGTCCCAATACTTGACCGTTCGATCCCACGACCCGGTCACCACGATGGGGTCGCGCATGCCTGGATTCCCGAAGAAGCGGACACAGCGAACGGGAGCATCATGGGCTGCGACCTGCTGCGCCTCTTTCCCTGCCGCCAGGTCCATCAGTCGCGCTGATCCGTCGGCGGCTCCCCCCAACACCTTGGTACCTTCAGGCGAAAAGGCGCAGCTCAGAACAGGCGCTGGGAAGTTGAACATTGCTTTCTCTTCTCCCTTCACCGACTGCGAAACGTCGTAGATGCGCACCACCTGGTCCCATGACGACACTGCCAGATGGTTTGCGACGGGCGACCAGCTCAGTTCTGAGATACTGTCAGAAATGGGATTGCCCAGATTGACATCATTGGCGATGGAACCCTGATTGTTGGTCATGGTCTGTGATCCGCAGAAAATAAGGATGCAAGACTGCTGTGATCGTGATTCTTAACGCTCGTTTATTGAGGCTGTGGGCAGTATCGAGGCTCAAATAGGATATCTCGGATAATTCTCTTCACCTACCGCACTCTTGGGAAAATCTCAAGGCAGATAAAAGTCCCAAAACGAACTCGCATGCATCGTGGTCGTGTTCCCCAGTGGATCATGTCAGAGCCTTGTCTCTTTTCCCCCCACACCCCTTTAGGCTTTAGAAGTGCTGACTTTGCACACACTCCTGGACGTGTCCGATTGGGCGGAGAGGGTAATCTGACCGACTTCGTCACGTAGTCGGAGATCCGAATTAGAGATCGGACAAGGAGCCCGAGTACTCAGGGGCCAAAAGTGGTCTGGGCCATTAGCAGAGCTGCTACGGGCCTACCCGTTAGCACAGACCCTCCCACCCCCGTGTGTGGGCCTGACGGTGTTGTGATTGGACGCACGAGAAATCAAGAAAGATGGAAGCATTTTTCCTCCAACAAAAAGTCCGAGGCTCACAGGCGGGGCGGCCCCTGGGGGCCATATGAGGTCCATGGAGACAGACTAAATGCATGAAGACGGGAACAAAGAAACCTTGATTAAAAATAAAAGCACGAAACCGACCTAGTCGACCAACGCACTGTGGACTATATGCTTTCAGCCCTTGCGGACTATCTCGAATGTTAAAAAAACACAAGGCGATAGGAGAGGTAGTGGGGAAAAGCTAAAAATCGCACCAGTATCCTTCGTCGAATGCACTCATATTAGCCACAGACCAAGCTTAGTGGCAAAAGGCTTACTCGGCTTATGTATAGAGCCTATTGGCTCGTCTCGCTTAAGATATACATTTATGTCCAAATGAGGCCAGCTGGCTTACATGCCGCCCTGACCGAGTTAGGTTGTATCGTATCATAGTAGGATCCTGCGGCAGTCTAATCTATTCAGTCATCTATTAATATAAGTCGACAGGGGGCCTTGCATGCTAAACCACAGCCGCAAGCTAAGTGGACCATCAAACACCGAATGTCAACGCCCCCCATTTCAGTAATCTTCGGAGCAAATTTTTATTTTTGTTGCAGAGTAAGCACAGATGAGGGGCAACTTAGCTGCATTGGGAAAAAGGACAGCCAAGCGGGATATTTGCGTCCTGCACGATGCCCGTGGTGGATCATGTTTTGGGATTTTAACTCTGCCCCCCGGGTGTAAGATGGAGAGGAAACGAGGTACAATCATCTCACCAGAGGGGTAATAGAGCGGTCTATAAAGATCTACAAACACCTCCACGTGGATGATCGTGATACATAGCAACTACTGCTGCTAATCCCCAAGGTTGGAATGACTTACTTACCCACGGACTACCCGACTGTCATGAATGAGGCCGAACCATCTGTCGCGGTGGCCGAGCAGTCCCGACGATCTGCCTGCGATCGTTGTCGGGGCCAGAAACTACGCTGTGAGCGGCCAGTGTCCAACTCGAGTATGGCTCCATGTCGTCGTTGCCTCAAAGCTCATGTTCGCTGTGTGACAATCATGTCTCAACTGCATCGGACGAAACCACCCACTTCTCTTCAATCCCTGCACCACACGGAGTCCAGCTATGATCCTCATGCGGCCACTGTTGCGGGACAACCCCCCGTGACTGCTGCTGATCTAGGAGACTCGGATCCTAACTTGCTGGATATGACTGGTGCGCAGAATCCTCGTCGTCCCTCACATTCCCCGAGCATGGAAAACCCGTGGGATTCGCGGCCAGCCAATCACACACGGCAGTTGTCCAATCCTGATCCATTTCCTCACTCTCCTTTACATTCGAATGGCGTGCTGGATACAGACGGGACACCGTTGCTGGACTCCATTGACCACCTGCCAGATATGACTGCCAGTCGTGGCTTTGGGTACAGTGCCGCACTCACTCCACAATCTCCTTCAGGGGGCTTAGAATTCTTCGACTACTTTCGTCCGATGGCTGAGGACAACAATCGGTCGTCATGGATGGACGCCTTCACACATCTTCCCCCAGATCACCGGGAGGGGACTCCAGCGGGTAGGAATTACCATGGATCCCTGGCAGGAGGGAACCGGTTCCGATCCTCACTGCAGTCTTTTGGCGACTTGAACGAGTTTGAGACGCCCCAGCGCGAGTCCCGCCATCGCGAGATGGACATTGTGAACATCAAAAACGAATGCATTGCGCGAATGGGCAAGTTGAATCGCGCCCTGCTGCAAGACGTTGGGCTGGTCACCTCGGGCAAAGTGGCAGGAACTCTGCTTTTCTCGCAAGCCTCCCGCTCAGCTTATCTGGAGGTCGAGAAGGGCCGCCAGGGTGGCCACAACTACGTGATCGGAAAGATGCTCCACAGCTCCAAGGAGCTCCTCGACATCCTCAAGCAGCTGGAGCGATGTAAAGGCACCTTGTTTCCGCCGGGATCCACCGAGCCCACCACTCACACAGCAGACGAGACAACGACTGCGACGGTTGAGACAACCATGCTGAACCAGACTGGCTCCCATGCCCCTTCTTCACCCTTGGGAGGCAATCCCCTCCCACCACTGCCGGGACCTTCATCGGCCTCAGACTCTCATTCCGCTTCTCGCGCCTCCTCCTCTTCCTCTGCCTCTGCATCCGGGGCCTCCCTCTCCTCCTCCCACTCCGACCCCAGCACCTGCCCTGCCAACTCCTTGCAACTCGACACCACCCTCACCCTCCTCTTCCTCACCGGTTACACCAGCGTGATTCAGCTCTACGAGGGCGTCTTCTCCTTCATCCACGACTCGGTAGTCGCCAACCCCTCGGGTTCCAACTTCCTGCCGACCCTGCCGAACCTCCAGGTTGACGGGTTCGAGGTCGGCAGCAGCACACGCGACCTGCAAATCTGCATTCTGCTCCAGGTGAGCACACACATGCTGAACCAGATCGAAGAGCGGCTGCACGCCATCCGCGACCGCACGGAGGGCCATATCCCCGCCGCACTTTTGGACACGATCCTAGATCGGAGCGATCCGTCGCGGCGCGGGGGCAAGGGGAAGGAGTTGTGTCGGATCGTGCGGGATATCAAGGAGCGTTTGAGGAATTATACAGAGTAATTATTTATGATATATCCTAAACTTTTCGAAATTAGCTCATGATTGTGATACAAAATTTGAATGACTTTTTAACTCACTACCTTTATAATGGAGGGATTAGGGCGAATGTTGAGTTAAGTTGTAACACATGAATAGCATATAAATAATACCTGTAAGATCTCCCACCTCAGCTACACAAGAGATAATAATCAATTTCGATTCTACCAGTGTCCTGCATACCAACATATCAAAGCAGCAGAAGTGAGATTAAACTCTGTCAACCTTTAGGGCCAACCGTGAGATCTGATCCCATTACCAAGCGCAATTTTGCTTAATCACTCGCATCCGATGCGCTGCCAGGAGTCGAACCTTCCACGCCATCCAGGGGAACCTATCACGAGCCATAGCTTATTTTGATGCGATCAGGCTGTCGGAATGACATTAAGATAAGCTCATAGCTAAATTCAACCTCGATCTTTTAGGCGATGCCTCGGCTCGGAGTTAGCTGCTACTATAACTCCGAGGATGGTGCACAAGTGTTTGAACTGGGCTACGCGGGTTTGAGGCGGAGTTGATTTAGTGGATGGGATTTGCCCTTGCTCCTCCTTCCACGACCACTATGTATCATTTTCCGATGCTGATGCTGATGCCGGGACACTGATGATGGCATAGGCGCACCTAGGCTGGCAGGAATACCTGTTCTTTCTCTACTCTGTTGTAAGGGGGCTAGTAGTTCTACGAATCTGACTCGACTGGTGCATTCCAAGTCCTCTCAATGCAGCCGTTCGCAAAAACAACCTGAGCGTGATCATACCGTCCCTATCAAGATTTCGGCTTGTAACGGTCAAATCGTCTCATGCCATCTGCTACAATCTCAATTGACTGAAGACTCTCTATAATCTACGCTCATTTCGCTGACAGCACTCCCTGCTCTTCTAACCCGTCAATCTACCAGCATCAGCGGTGTTATCCAAAGCCCGGTAAGATCATGGCCCGCCAACAGAGCTGATATACGCCACAACCGGCAAGTCTGGGTATTCATAATGACCCCTTACAATGATTGTCCATACACTGCGGTTTATTGCTCACCCTATTATTACCTACATAACATTTATCCAGTGAAAAGGAGAATGCCATACGCGTTGCATTCTAGCTTTACCCCACACGCGCCACAGAATTGCCTATACGACTTCACCACTTCCCCAGCCCTCCACACTCTCAAAATAATCACTACCTCAAGCCTCGGCCGCCTCCTTCTTATTCTCCTCTGCTTGCGCCTTCAAATTCTTCCAGGGGAACCCAAAGGACACGAGGAACCCAAGCAATGCTGCCACCGTCGAAAGCCACTACACAACCACGAGCAAAGATTAGCCTCACACCCCAAAATCCTACACCCTCCAGTGAAATTGGGCATAAAACATACCATAACTCCAGCAATCGCATCATTATACACCTCCAACACGACACCCAACCGCGACGGATCGATTTGTGTCGTCAACTCGCGCACCCCCGAGTTGCCCGCGGCCACATACTGCTGCACCTGCGCCTCCGTCATGCCAGCCTTGCTGACCAGCCCGGGCCGCAGTAGGTTCTGGAAGATGGTCAAAGAGATACTCAGCATGATGCTGCTTCCAAAGTACTGGAAGAAGATGACCAGCGACAGGCCCACGGGGATCAGATGCTTCTGCTTGGCAAGTGCGACCTGCACGCCGAGGGTGGGCGCCTGGATGATGCCGAGCGCGGCACCCTGGAGGATCTGGTAGCCGATCCAGTCGGGGCGCGGGGTCGAGGTGTGGAAGTTGGTTTCGAGGCCGGAGCCGATGGCGAGGGCAGCAGCGCCGAAGAAGAGCCAGGGGTTGAAGTAGCCAGTTTTGTTGACTGGTGGCAATTAGCATGGGGCTCTGGTATGGGGATGGGGAAAGGAAGGGCGAGGGGAACAAACCGATGACTCCGATCACAGCCTTAGAAATAAAGTTGGTGATCACGTTGGGTAGTAACATCACGGCACTGCTTTGCGGACTTGCGCCCTTGATGATCTGGAACCACTCTGGCAGGAAATATCCGACAACGACGTACCCACCCAGCATGGCGAAGCCGTACAGACAGCTCGCGATGATGGTCAGGTCCTTGAAGAACTTGAGCGGGAGCATCGCTTCGTCACCCTGGTAGTGCTCCCAGACCAGGAAGAGGATGAGTGACACCCCGGCGCCGCAGAACAGGCCGATGATGGTGGCGGAGTTCCAGGCGTGCTCTTTGCTGCCGTCGCCGCCCCACTGCAGGGCAAGGAGGAGCATGACCACCGCGGGGATAAAGACGAGACAGCCCACCAGATCGAGCTTCCTGATCAGCTCGGGGATGGACAGCGGCGTTGTACGGACGGGCCTTTTGGGTGGACGGAAGAAGAGGATCAGAGCCAGGAGAGTGACGCCGCCACAGGGCAGGTTCAGGTAGAAGCACCAGCGCCAGGTGGTGTGGTCCGTCAGGAGACCGCTAATGACCGGGCCGAGCACGACGGCCGAGGCTACGAGAGACATCATTAGACCCAAGATTAGAGATTGCTTGTCGAGGGGGACCACGGCAGAGACGATGGTCAACGTCCCCGACAGCACACCAGCTGCACCGACACCCGCAATGGCCCGTCCAACGATGAACATGGGCGAGTTAACGGCCACTCCGCAGAGCAATGAGCCCAGCATAAACAAGCCAAAAAAGACGAGAAACACCAGCTTCTGTGGGAACTGGGCGTAGATCTTGCCGGCCAGCAGCTGGATGGAGGACATGGTGAGGGGATATGCAGCGCCATACCAGCCGATATCAGCAGTCGTGTGGAAGGTCGAAGTGATGGATGGAACGGCCTATTGCAGACAAAGAACTTTCTAGTTAGCCGAATAGTATCCTCAGAAGGCAGAAAGAAGTCAAACTGACTGTGCCAAGCATGGCCATATCCATGGCCCCCAGGAACAAGGCCAGTCCCAACCCAACCAGGACCGTATACAACGGCAGCCCAGTCAGGGCAGTTGATTGAGCAGCATCTGTGGCAGGCACCTCTTTCAGGGTCTCAGCCGAGGTGGCTTTCTCGGCGTCACTGAGCTTGCTCGTACTGTCTGAGGCTGACATGATGACGGTGGTTACTGGTCAATCCGCTGAACAGCTCCACAGTAATCTCCCTGTTCAAGCCAAGATGCAACGAAGGAAGAATAAGTAGGGCATAGTAATAGGGCTCTGCGTTTTCTTCTTCAAGCTGTCTTACTCATCACCGAGTCCGAGTCCGAGTCCGAAAGATCGTCGAAATTCTAGACCGTTTCCTACATATTTCATGTACAACAAGCTGAATAAGAGGCTGTCATTGGTAGAATTAGTTGGTAATAGCGAACATAACTAACTAGTGTAGAGAGGACCGCACCCTCAAACTGGGTATTAATCCTGTGCGGTTATTCCTTACTCGCAGTTCTACTATATAGGCATGGAGGATGCAAATTACAGATAGACAAAGATTGGCAATACACACTCCTACAACTCTTGACTTCGCTTCTTGAACGGGAGTCCATGTCCCATTTGTATGCCTCGGTGGGTATGAAGTGGAATTACGAGGGCTGAATCGACCCGTATTCCAGAGAGCAGCATACTGCCTACAGGGTTCTCCTCTTCGCTAGTTAACTAAGCATGCGAAGCATTATTAATCAGTAGGTGGCTTGGGATTAAAACTTTACATATTACTATATGTAGTTAAAGTTGCAGAGCTTAGTGGATTACGGAGTAGACCCAGTGTAGTTGTAGATAATCCACAGACAATTCAGATTCAATTAGGAGCTAGACACAAAGAGAACAACCAAGGTCAAGCCCGAGAACGCAAAACACAAATATGATCAATTTATATCCAACAGAATCACTCATCGCTGAAAACCAAGCAGGAAACCTCAATACTCCAACGATCGGGGGCTCCCTGTGGAGTCCGGGGATCGCGGAAGGCCGAATGCACGGCTCTGCCCCCTGGACGGTACTGTCCTTCTGCAACGCCTTGGAGTCAAAGATCTGGATCAACAAGGCCTCATCTTGGGTGATGCCACTGAGGTAGAACCACCGCTGGCCGTCCGAATAGCGTGGCGCCCCAAAATCCTCGCGGTACTGTTCCGACGCATCGGGTTTCGCGACCGGCCGTCCAAGGGGCATGTCTAGCCCGCCCACGCCCCCAAGATGACTGACAAAGATTTGGATGTCCTCATCCTTAACCGTAGCGGAGCTGGCGACCGCGACGGGACAAGTGTAGACGGGCCCGTTGAGGGGAGTCCAGAAGTGCACGATGCGGTAGCGGCCTTGCAGCAGCCGGGGTCCTTCCACGGGTCCCATGTGTCTGAGCACGCGGTTGATGGCGGCAGGACCGGTCTGATCCAGATGTGCGATCATGGCCGGGGGGTTGTAGGGTACCGGCCAGTTCTGCGAGTGGCGGATGCCGTGGCGGAAGATGTGCACAGTGTGAGCGCCGGGGATGGAGGACTTGATGGTCGCTTCGACGGCCGGGTAGAAGGTCTTCTCTACGCTTTGGATGCTGTCCCAGTTGACATCGGGGCTGCGCGGAACGTCGGTCAGGCCCTGCAGGACTTGGAGCGAGTCGTGGTCGAGGTTGACACTGTCTTCCTTACCGCGGAGGTCCTCAACGGTGACCATTGCCGGCTCGCCGCGAATGTTGGTATAGGGAACACCCGCGGGAGGAGGGTTCTTGATGAACATGTATCCCGTGCTGGGCTGTTGGAAGTTCTGGGCGAAGAGGACAGGTGTAGTGATGTCACCCTTGGGAGGTGGAGGTAGGGTTGTGTCTTGCGCATGAGATGCTACAGTAGGAACAGGGGTTGCGGTGGCGGTCATTGCGGTAGCCATGGTTGAGATGGATTGTGAGGATCTCGTAACACCGCTGTGTGAATATGATTGATGTCTCAGGCGACTGGCGGTTCAGTTGTATTAGATATACACTGATTAGATTTGTCTGTGCATCCCGAAGGATGCCTGCTCTCCGAAATGCCCTCCGTGAAGTCGGAGCCAAAGTCGGATATCGGAGGGGCGACTTAGGGCTAGGCACCGAAATGGACTATTAGATCTCATGCAAGATGATAATATCTTGCATCGTTGGCAAATGTGTGGTACGTATTCTGGTCGTGCGCGATGGAGACAGCAAGTTACAAATCTACATCTCGCAGTACCATTGCTTAAGTTGCAATCTGAAGCGCTTCTCATGGGGATATGCCTGGTCAAGATACTTGCAACGATTCTCTTTTTATGGCTACCGTGGAGACTGCTAATTACCAATTGAACCCAAATAAGACACAATAACATAGAACAAACGTAAGGGATGGCACAAATTGTTTAAAACATTCGGGTATAGCATAAGTGATCAGGCCAGTGCGGCGGCTTCAAGGTCGGAGAGAGACTTGAAGTACGCAGATGGCTCATGCACCGGCACACACCAATGGAAGACATCCTTGCCCAACCCCCGCTGAATCTCGCCGATCGACTTGAAGAGTCTGTTTGCACATGGGTAACCTCCATCCTCCGAGGGCTGGTAGACAATCAGATCCTTGAGCGAGTCGCGGGTAATGGATCCAATGGGCACAAGCACTGCCGCCGTTCCTACAGCCAAGACTTCCGAAAATTCGGGCAGCTCAGTGTATTTAATCTGGGATGATTAGCAGACGTGCAATTGCAGGGATAGGAGATACGAACCGGCCGGACCTCAACCGACCAGCCATACGAGCGTGCTAGCTGGACACAGCTGTCGCTGGTGACACTTTGGATGATACATGAGCTATCCGGAACCACCATGGTAGTCTCCCCATCATCATTTCTAATACCGATGAAACCCGCAGCCGAGAACTCGTCAATCTCAGTGCGCGTCTTGCTGTCGAGGTGTAGCGGAATTCCATACCCCCTGGCGCGCGCTTTGGCAGCCCAACGCAGAACAGGAGCATAGTTTCCACCGACCTTGGCATTTCCTGTACCCATTGGAGCTGTCCGATCAAACTCCTCCATGATCAACGCATCCACTGGCTTGGTGCCGAGAAGACTGGTGACGGGAATGACGAAAACACAGAATGTGTACTCTTCAGGCTGGGCAAGATTGATCTGAGCGCCGGAGCCAAACACCAGCGGTCGGATGTAAAGGGCAGCGCTGCTGTCAAAGGGGGGAACGAACTCGGCGTTCACCGACACGGCCAATGCTACCGACCGAGTGAAATGCTCTTGGGGAATAGGGGGAATGGAGACGACCTCACAGGAATGGGCCATGCGCGCAGCGTGTACCTCCGGGCGGAAGATGCGGATTTGACCCTGCGGGTCACGAAAGGCTGTGTATCTATGAGCTTGGTAATTGAACAGATTGCATTAGGTCCCGAGGAATCTTACCTTTCATTCCTTCATATGCTTGCTGGCCTATGCCCTAGTATGTTAGCACCGAATTAATACTACCATGAAGGTACCCTACCATAGTTGAGAGCAGGAGAGAGTCCGCTAATGGTCAGGTCAATACCCTTGATAACTTCGGGCTCACTCCAATATCCAGTCGCAACATTGTAGCGACATTGGACATGTCCGTTGACTGAAATTTGTGAGATAACTGCCTGGAACTACTCATTCAGAAGACAACAACATACCCTCGCGGACTTTGATGCCAATGTTATTCCAGTCTAGGGTTGTTAGATATGCCCTAAGTCATAGCAGTGTCACAGACATACCAAGGTCAAGAGGAGCAGGTGGAAAGAAGTCTTTGGGTGCCATAGCGCTCAGAAAGTCAAGGAAGAAGCAATGTGATATGCCCGTCGTCGATTGTTGCTACGGCGGACATAGCTATCGTATGTATATCAGTTGCATTCGGGGTCGTGGGCGCCCAGTCGGATGTCCGGCTTCGGAGTCGGGCTCTGAGCATTTGTCGCCGATAGATAATACTTGCTGACCGAGCTCTCTGACTATCGAGGCAAGCGGCCCAGCACTATAGACCGAAGAACAATGAATCCTATGATGGGAGTGTTGTTGAACGCCCCTGTGGCCTTGTTGAAAGGGGCGACTATTGCCTTATCGTTTTTTGGTCTCTTTGTATGTTAATTATGTTTTTTTTGTATCGCGTTGGCTTGCTAACCTGCTCGTCTGATAGTTGTTTGGCTTGGCTATCTATCGTCTCATCTTTCACCCACTTGCACAGTACCCTGGACCGCTGCTCGGCCGAATAACTAATCTCTATGCTGCATACCACGCATGGAAAGGTGACATTCACGAGGATATCTGGCGTTGTCATCAGAAATATGGTAGCTCTCGCTGGCCTTGTTCTTCTTCCTATTCACTGATTGACTCTCAAGGCAACTACATCCGATATGCCCCAGATCGGCTGGCTTTTGGTACCGCTAAAGCAGTATCAGGTAGGAAAATACTGAGATGTAAGCTTTCAATCTCTGACCATACTTCTAGACATCTATGGCTATGGTGCAAAAGTTCGTAAGTCGCAAGTGTACAATACGCTTGTCCATCGCACAGCCAACACCCTTACCATGCGCGACAAGAAGCAGCACGCCCAGCGACGACGCATCATGAGCCAGGGTTTCTCTGACGCAGCCATTCGTTCTTTTGAACCTCGGGTGCAGGAGTTGATTCGAACTCTTTGCGGCCTGCTGATTGTCAAAGATGCCGGCTCTGTTAGCGAATGGAGCGCGCCGCAGGATATGGCCAAGTGGTGTAAGTCAACACTCATCCCGACTGGAAGTTGCACTCACACCTAGACTATCTAGTTGACTACCTGACCTTCGACATCATGTCTTCACTCATCTTCAGTGCATCATACGACACCCTGCGCCAAGAGAAATACCGGTCAGTGATCCGCGCCATCGAAGAATCCAATGTCCGGGTCAGTGTCCTCCTGCAGGCACCTATTGTCGCCCTCTTCGGTAGCGACAAGAGGCTCTTCGCACAGTCCATCCTCGGCCGTAACCGCTTCATCCAGTTCATTAGTAGTACAGTCAGGGCACGAGTGCAGAAGACCAAGCTCCTCGCCGGCCGGGATATATTTTCCTACTTCCAGACGAGCAAGGATACTGTCACTGGCGAATCTATGAACATGAATGAACTCAGTGGAGAGGCTGCCACTCTGATTGTTGCTGGTCAGTATCGCCTTCGTTTAGCACCACATACTGTGATTGCTCTCTGACCTCCTTGCAACAGGCTCCGATACCACCGCCACCACTCTCGCCGCAACGATGTTCTACCTCAGCCAAAACGCCGAAGTCTACCACCGGGTTGCCCGAGAAGTCCGCCAATGCTTCAACTCGGAGAACGAAATCCATGGAGGAAGCCAACTGAACTCTTGTCGCCTGCTGCGTGCGTGTATTGACGAGGCACTCCGCATGTCTCCTCCTGCGGGGAGTGCGCTTTGGCGCGAGGTCGAGGCCGGTGGCACAACGGTCGATGGCTGTTTCGTGCCCGAAGGCTATGATGTCGGCGTGGGGATCTACGCTGCCCACAACAACCCGACCATCTACCCGCAGCCATTCCGATTTGACCCCGATCGCTGGCTTGTAGACGACACTTGCGACGTGCGCAGCGCGTTTATGCCGTTTTCTCTGGGAACGAGAAGCTGTATCGGTAAGGGCTTGGCGCAGTTGGAAGCCCTCTTGACGCTGGCGCACATTATCTGGCAGTATGACTTTCGGGCTGTTCCCGGTGGGGAGGTCCAGCAGGAGTATAAGCTTAAGGATCATGTCACCGGAGCGAAGACGGGGCCTATTTTGCAGTACCGTCGGGTTGTTCGGTAGAAGATTGTGGTGAGTTGAGGATTTGTTGGGATTTGTTTCCCCGAAAGTAGTATATCTACTAGATGTGCGTGTTAAAACAATCAGAATTCTATTGCATTTGCTTGAAAGTTACAGTCTGAGTACTTTCTAATAGAGGAAATGGCCAATTTCGGTTGTCTCTTCATAAATGATCTTGCGTATAGCACGAAGGGACATAGTGCTCAGGGCTGCACGCACTCATTTTTGATCTAGTCTGAAAGTTTAGGTCAAATTCTGCAACCTGCCGCCAGAATTTCCGCTACGGGTTATGTAAATACTTTTGTCAATGAAACAATTGTGAAGTAAAGTGAAATAAAGGTGAGAGAAAAGTCAGTGAAGAATCATAGATCCTTCGGTGGGCTAATTTTATCTCGGAATGGATTGCTGATTTACAATATACCGTATGAAGCTGTAAAAGGGGTGGTCTATATTTAGGCTAAACTCGGGCATTAGGGCATCAAATGGGTGTATACGACTCTCAGTTCTATGCCCTTCGGAGTATAGGAATATATAGAGAGATTCACTTAACCAAAATCCAGAAATCATTCTAGAGCCTACAGCTCCAAATTGTGCTTACTATTCAACCACCCAGCACCCCAACAGTCACACTATCTCTATCCATCCCGCCTTCTACTTGCGCACCTCCATTCTCTTTCCTCTCAACCTTCAGACGTCTAGGCACCCAACTTCACTCCTTTACCTACGCCTTCAGGCCCTCAAGGGTGGCCCACACCCCAACTACCCAGAAGGGCACATCCACCATCCAGAACCTTACATTGTTGACCTTCATCCACCCGGCCAGCAACTCCATTGCGACCTGCGGAACAGTTTCGGGACTCATCATGCGCTTCTCAAACTTCAACATTTTGGGCGCCACGGCCAAGTGCGCAAACGATAGGAAGAGTCCAACACCGTAAAGAAAGCGGGCGTTGCTGCCAGCGAGGTCATCCGGGCGCACGAAAAGATTCAGAATCAGGGCAACCCGAGTCAAGAGGACTATGCCGATGACGCCAGTCCAGACGCGGGGAACGACTGTCTGCAGCCAGTGCTGGAAGGCGGCGCCGACGTGGTCGATTTTCTTGGGGGAGGTGTGAGGGGGGAGGAAGGTGGAGAGGGCGAAGTATTGGGCCAGGCGGTTAATGAGACTGTTAGCTGTGTGTTAGTTTGAGTTGTAGAAGAGGGAGTGGGAAGGGGAGCGTACAGGATGGTGGTGGTGATGAGAGGAGTCACTCGGAGGAGCTTTAGGGCTAGGCTTCCCGCAGAGACAATCAGGAGATCGAGCGTCATTGTGGTTTATTTGAGAATAATTGGGTCTGAGAGTGACTGGATGTGAGGTCTGGTAGTCAATATGAAGAGGTAGGCCGCGAAGGCAGTCGGACTCGGATTCGGGCCTCTTCACCACGCCTCCCGAAGCAGTCGGAGATGCCGCCGTGTCAGAGTAACTATACTAACTATGCACAGCACTTCCCAGGCCTGAGGTGGCCATGCGACTATTCCCGTCGAATCGAACACAAGAATACAGTAATAATGCATCGATTCTTCAAATCTGAATTTTTCAACTTCGAATTCATCCGCATCCTCTCCGCTGCCCCTTACGGTGGAGCCGAAATCGCCGAATGCCTTGTGGCCGCCAGCCAAATCATCAACGATGACCCAGAGAGCTGGCATCGGGCGTGGATCATCCAGGCCGACAAAGCTAAAGCCCTAGGGGACGAGGCCCTGCAATCTGGTGACACGGTCTCCGCACGACGAGCCTACCTCCGCGCCTCGAACTACTACCGCGCCAGTGGCTACATGTTCCACGACCGACCGGGGGCGCCGGACGCTCGCGTCCTGCCCCTGGCGCAGCAGGTCCTGGACACTTACGCTCTCACCTTACCGCTGCTAGACACCGGCGAAGCAAGCCAGCTCAAGATCCCGTTTGAAAACTACCAACTCCCCGCATACCTCTACCTCCCGCTCAACCGCACCAAGCCTGTGCCCGTGCTTCTCAGCCTCGGCGGCGCAGACTCAATCCAAGAAGAGCTGTACTATGTCTACGCAGCCAGCGGACCCCAACTGGGCTATGCCGTACTCACCTTCGAGGGACCTGGCCAGGGCATCGCTCTCCGCCGTGACAAGACGCACATGCGCCCGGACTGGGAAGTCGTCATCGGCCGCGTTCTCGACTTCTTGACGGCTTACATGCAGCAAAACCCCTCCGCGCAGCTGGACCTGTCGCGCATCGCGGTCGTCGGGGCCTCGATGGGGGGGTACTACGCCCTGCGCGCGGCCGCTGACCCACGCATCGGGGCGTGCGTCTCGATCGACCCCTTCTACGACATGTGGGATTTTGTGCGCAACCACGTCTCGCCGGCCATGCTGAACGCGTGGAACGCCGGGTGGGTGCCCTCACGGGTCGTCAACGGCGTCATGTCGATGGCGATGGCAGCGTCGTTCCAGGCCAAGTGGGAGGTTGGCCTCGCGATGTGGTTCTTTGGCGTCGACTACCCGACGGAGACGCTGCGACATATGATGAAGTATACGCTCGCCCGCGACGATGGGACCAGTCGGCTGGATCAGGTCCAGTGTCCTGTGTTGGTGTCAGGGGCGACCCAGTCGCTGTATCTGGAGCCGGAGAGCGATGTGCTCCGTGTCTTTGATGCGTTGGCGCATCTGGACGACGAGCAGCGCGAGATCTGGATCGCGAGGTCGCCGGAGGAAGGCGGGTTACAGGCGAAGATTGGCGCGATCGGATTGGTAGTGCAGAGGACGTTTCGGTTTTTAGATCAGCATCTTAATGTTACCCGGTAGTCAAGTGGGATAGTCATATTCTATGAGCAAACGGAGTTTGAAGTGGAAACGATTGCATTGTTAAAGCTATATCGTATCTTCTTATACTGCCCAACAAATTCAGGGATACCCGCCATCGAGCAACACCACCAATTTCTCCCCAGACGTCCCTCCTGACTTAAGAATCTCAAGACCTTTCAAGATCCCTTCGAATCCTCCTTCGACCGTCCTGGCGGGGTGAGGAACGAATTTGCCCTCGTCTACTAATCGCTGGATGGTCCGGAAGAACTTGCCACTGTCGGCGCGCAACTGGGGGTTGGCGGTGCGCTCGTAGCCGTCGGCCAGGGCAATCTCCTTACCACTGGCAGCCAGCCCAACAATCATCTCCTTGCGAATGGTGCGTCGGATATGCAATTCCTCGGCGGGTTGTTCAAGGCAGGTGTACTTGCCTCCCACGCGACTGAAGGAGTCGTAGCAGGTCAGCTGGGACTGGAGGTCAGTGATGATGTCGAGAACGTGGCGAAGGCGGCCATTGGTGTAGCTCTTGATGTCGGCTGCACAGGTCTCGGATCGGTAGTCGAAGGTCTTCTCAGCGCCAGCGGCTCTCACGAGGTCGTTGTTGTGGGGAGAGCAGGTGGCTATGGGACGATATCCTGAGCTGTATGCATTTGTCAGTAGTGTAGAACGCGTAATCTTGGATGAGAACATACAGCCGCAGAATTTGGAGAGCTGCTGTTCCAGTGGAGGTACTACCCCCGTAGACCAACACAGGTGGTGGATCATCGTGAAGAGGCGCATCTGGGGTCCCTTCCAGACCAAGAGACTCGTACAGAGCAATCCACAGAGTAGCGAATACGCTGCCTCCGAGAACGGCCCCCTGCGCGAAGGAGATCTTGCTTGGCAGTTTCAAGAGCAGGTCTGCATGAGCAGCCACGTATTGCGAGAAACTGCCCGATGGCAGATCGATAGGATTTGACCCGTGGATGCCACCGCACACGCGATCCCCGATACGAAGGTCGGGTCGGATGCGAGCAGCTTCAGGGCCGATGGAGAGCACGGTGCCGGCAAAATCGCACCCGATCCGGGCTCCGGGAGTGGGAAAGCGCGAGGGCATCTTCCAGTCACAAGGATTGATAGAGACAGCGACCGTCTTTACCAGCACCATGTGCGGTTCGGGGACTGGGAGTGGTGCATCGTGGTAGATCGTGGCCTTGCCGGTCTCGTCTTGAGCGATCACCGTTTGCTGGGAGGGGGAGAGAGACCGCCGCTGGTGAGAACCCAGCTGGATAGGACCACGGCTGGACAGTCATGTTGGTTTACAGTAAGGTGATAGAGTCGTGAGACTGGTATCATGGATCTGCTATCGGTTCAATTTCCCTCCAACATCCCGCAATTTACTTTAAGGCCCATCTTGGCTGCGGAGGGTCGGATTCGGAGATTCGGTCGGCGTCAATTCGGGTCAACTGGCCCTCCAAGCCCTAATCCCAACCCCGAATGCCCAAATAATCACCTCCCTTTGCTCAATAACTGTACTTTCATGGTCCTACTATATTCCTTCACTCTCCATCACGGATCCCCATTCTATGGTCGCAATGGCTCGAATTCCATTGGAGTTTCTGTCTATCACTCTACCCGTGCTACTCCTCGCGTACTTCCTTGCGATTGAGTACGAAGTCATTCTCCCAGCCATCGCGCACACCAGCCTCGCTGGTAACCCCAAAGAATATCTCCAATCGATCTATGAGCAATTGAACCTCGACCTCCCCTCCACCTGCACCGTGAACCACCTGTCCGCCTTCGACAGCACACCCACTTCCCTCCTCAACTTCTCCACTTCCCCCTTGGAACAACTCGACGCCCCCAAGCTCCCTTCGGGTCTTAACGCCACCGCAGGGGAACAATGGGCATTTGATGGAACGTCTTCGTCCGGCCACAGCGGCCTCCTGCTGGGCATCTACCGCGACGCCTCGTACGCCTTCCTCGGACCGGGCAACTTCCGACTCTCTCTGGATCTGGTCTGGGATAACGGCACCACCTGGTCCACCGTCGACTACCTCTCCGCGTCGACCGTGCACACCTGCTCTGATAAAGTGGTCGGCATCTGGTCCCACTCTGCAGACCACTATTACGTCTTCACCGTGACCGCCGACGCCAAGCACGCCCGCATCCACTTCCACACTCCGGATGTTGTCGGCGTCATTGCCTTGCACAGCACTACCCCCGCGCGCTACCCGGACGGCCGGCTCTTCCCGTCTGAGATATCGTCGACGCAGAACGTGCCCATGCTGCACTGGGTCGAGCCCATCCCCGGTGGATTAATCGACGTCGACCTCAAAGTGAAAGACATCCCTTTCCGCTGGACTGGACTCGGCGGCCACGAGCGCTGGTGGTCGGCGAAGGGGTGGTTAGATATCATGACGCATTGGGAGGCTGTACGGCTGATGGCAGGGCCATACGTGCTGAGCTTCTGGCAGCCCACCTCCCGCGTAAATGAGGTGGCGTATCCATCCGCGTTCTTGACCAAGTACGGCGAGAAGGTGTTTTCAGCTGTAAGCGGCGAGGTGTCGGAGGTGGAGGATTATATTCTGTATCGTCCGGTAAGGGCGGAGAGACAGGAGAGGGAGACGGGGTATGAAGTCGAGTTGGTCTCTCCGGTACAAGGGAGGAAATGGGTGTTTGGGTTGGACTATCGCAATCAGGAGTTTGAGTTTGAGTTGGGCGAGACAGCGGGGGGGGAGGGCTTATGTGGGGAGGGCGAAGGGTGGGGAGATTCATGCAGATGAGAAGCTGGAGGAGCCGTCCGAGGGCGTGTTCTTCATTGAACATGTGAATGTCGAGGCGTTAACTGTCCCCAGGGCTTATGTGGTTGTTTCTGAGTGGTTCTATCGGGTGCGGGCGCAGGTGCTCAACTCGTGGGGGAATGGGGGGCAGTAGGATGCATGAGAAAGACTAGATAATACTTTGATGTTGATATTAAGAAAAAAAGAATAAATCAACTTTTGGCTGTGAGAAATTTATTTAGTTATTTTTTTAAACGGAGACCGAGAAAACATGTTGGTAGTACTCTCATAGTTACAGTCCCGCCGCAAAGCTTTTGCGTGGATCCGGCCCCACACCCCACGTTGTTCAAGTGGGTCGGATCCATCCCACCCTTTTCAACCATTAACCATGGTACAGTAGACCTTTTATATATATTGTAGACAATAGGAAAAAATATTGTTATAACCAGGTACTCGTTAAATCGAGGTGTCATATTTTAACCTATAACCTGATACTTTTCATACAATATCCATCCACTTAAGGGAGCTTTTAAAGATTTGGTGAACTACTAACTGGGATATATATATTCTGGACCATTTGGGGCGTAATTTTGGAAACCACAACAATGCGAGTTTTGGGTTCATTCGAGAATACGCATTACCAGAAATGCGTATCAATGGCATTCTGACCTCGATCTAATTGCCTCGTATCGATTCCAGTCGGAGACCTGGGTGGCTACTAAATTACCTTTCTGTAAGGAACAGCTATCGTTAGTTCACCGGCACATACCGTAATGATTCTACTACATAGGAACAACGCTTTTCTATAGAAATAATTGAGCGCTTGTATTCTTGACTATCTGTAGCATCTCTCAATCGCTCTCTGCGTGATGCATGTGAGTAGTCAACAGTGATAAGATACCATCTAGTCATCCATGCAGAAGAACCGGACCTGAGGAACGGGCAATTTCCAAAATCCTTCGAATCGCAACTCACTTTCCCAGTCCAGTTGGTCCGCATTGATCAACTCCCAATCAAACTTCCACGCCAACTTGGCTAGGGTAATTCGCATCTCCATGTATGCCAGATTGACTCCGAGGCAGCCTCGCGGGCCCAGCGAGAACGGCTTCGACGCGGCAAGGTGGTCATACTGGAACTTGGAGTTCCGGAGCGCATGCGTGGTGGGAAGCCAGCGCTCCGGGTGAAAGCCCCTTGCGTCGTGGAAATAATCCTCGCGGTGGGCTGTGGTCCATGAGGAGGTGGAGACTACCGTCTGCCACTTTTCGTTAGTACATGTACGTTGACTTGAAGAGATAAAGGCTGCTCAGCTCACCCCCTTGGGAATCAACTGTCCCTCCACCATGGCCCCGGGCGATATTCTGGGCAAACCGAAAGAGGTCGGTGGACAGATTCTCAACCCCTCTTCGATCACGGCGGTCAGGTACGGCATACCCTGGAGTTTCTCGCTGGTCATGTCTGAAGCCTCGTCGAACGTCTCCCGAAGTTCCTGCTGGAGATGCCAGAGCTTGTCCTGGTGGGCTGCGAGGTAGTATATCAGGGTAGTCAGTGCCGTGGCAGTGGTGTCAGACCCGGCGATGACGAGCACGTTCGCCTGCGCGAGGAGCCATTCCTCGGATTGCGAGCGGGACTTGTCGGCCAGCAGCCGGGCGAAGAAGTCCTCGCGGGTGACGGTGTCCTGTCGCGCGACGCGGGCGCGGACGAGGTCGCGGGAGTATTTGAGGAAGAGGTCGAATTTTTTCTTGATGCCGATGGGTAAGGAGAAAAGGATGAAGGGCCAGAGGAGGGGGAGACGGCGGCCGATCTCGAATAGGGTGACGAGGATCCCGGCGTCGTGGATCGTGTCGATCCAGAAGTGAGATTTGGCTACAGGGTTTATTAGCACGGAATCAGTCTACTGTCAAAGCAAGAAAAGGACTTGCCAGATTCCACAGCGCCAAACGACTCGGCGAATGCAAGTTCGCCGATGATATCGAAGCTCAAGAAGTTGAACCACTGTCGAGCTTTAGGTCAGATCGCTATCAATAGTCTGTTGCAGGCCGATCGTTACTTCTCGCATGTCAAGTCCCCTTTTAGTACCCAGCTTCTTCACCTGGGCAAGGAACAGATCACTGTACTGGTGAATGATGGACTCTTGGGCTTTCAAAGCCCGGGCACTGAATCCATGGGCCAGCAGCTTTCTAGTGTCTCGATGCTTTTCTGGGTTGCGCTCGGCGACAATTCCCGGCTCCGGCTGGTAATGCTCATAGAAAGTCCCTTTGATGAATGGCTTGTGGTCCTTAGTGGCGTGTCCGTAAATTTCTAGTATTGTCAGCCACTTATTTGCGATGAGGAAACGCGCAACGGACCACTAAAGCTCTGGGCAGTGTTGAAGCTGAGCTCATTAGGTGCGATGCGAACAACCTCGCCTGTTATTCTCCGTCAGTGCTGAATATGCTTAATATCGCCAAAAGCGAAGGATAAGACGGCACTCACCGTACTGTCTATGCGCTTCTTCAATGGCAAATGGATACCTTCCCCCCATCCTGGTGCCATCAGCGTTGCGATGCGTTTATCTAGGGATTCCGATGGAGTACTGACCAGTGACGAGCATACCACAAATGGGTAATGGCTGCTAGCTTCGGGCCTGGATAGCTTGACAAAGGATGAAACCATACCCTGTAAATCGAGCGAGCGACGACATATACGAGGTAAATCTAGGCAATAGTGAGTCATTTCAACCTTCTTGGCCAGGTGGGCATACTTACAACAGCAAGGTGCCAGGTGATCTTGGTCCAGGACGCTTTTGGTAGCGCTACCAGATAGGCGACCGTGGTTTCGAGGATTTCAGACATGATGGGTCTGGGTATCCTCGCTACTCCGTTGTCACCAGAAGATATTCAGTGATGGGAAGTCTTTTTTCTTTCTAGAGGTTTGACCTTGTTGAAGGTCAGGTCGGACCCAACGTTCGGGGTCGGGGCTCTCTTCGGACGCCAATTCGGAGAGGCCCTCCCCACTCCCTCCGCATCTCGCCCAGCCCTAAATAGAGTCCATCTCGCAAGAGATGTCAAGTTTGATCACCAGTCATCTCACAACGACCACCCACGACAGACAAGCATCACCGCCAACATGGTGAGTCCCGCTGTCTTGGCCACCGCGGCCGTGACCGTGGTTTTTCTGTTTGCTCAACGCTACTTCTCGCTGCCTGTCCTGCCCAACGAGCCCTTGCTCATCCCACACTGGATGCCCTTCTTCGGCCATGCCTTCAGTTTCGCTCGCAGCAAGCGATCGTTCTTCCGCTGGGCTAAGTGAGTATTCCCCGGGTGAATTTTACTTCCAACAATATGCTAATGAAGTCAGCGCCAAAACGGGCGGACAACCCTTCAGCGTCCCCATGGGAGGCCGTCGCCACTACATCTTCAGCGATCCCGCTGACATTGCTGGTATCCACAAGAATGGCAAAACCCTGAGTATTCGAGGTTTTGTTCGGTTCATTTACATCTCTATCTGGGGCTTCAAGCCGGCCGATGCCGATGCCATGTGGGAGATCAAGCCCGAGTGGCACCGCATGGATATCGAGTGGCTGCTGTCAGACAAAAACGATCAAATTGCCGTGAACTACCTGCATAGAATTGAGGAGCAGCTCTGCGTCCTGGATGCAGAAGTCGAGGGGGCTCCGGACAAAGCCATTGTGCGGCCGGGTCTCAAGACGGTGGTTGATGTGCAGGGTAAGGCAACGTGCCAGGTCTTGTATGGCGCGACCACTCTCGAGAAGCACCCCGAACTGCTGGACGATCTTACCACTATGGTCCGTGACGGCTTCTGGGGCTTGCTGTTCCGCGCGCCTCGGTTCCTCTTCCGTAATGCCTACGAAGCCCGCGATCGGATTATCAACACCTACGCCGATCTGGCCGAGAATATCGAGACCCGCAAGGATATTTCCCCATATCTATACGAGCGGACTGTGTACCTGACGCAGCAGGGGATCAGCCCTCGAGCTCAAGGTGCGGATATGTTGCGGACGATGTTTGCGTAAGTGCTTCCCCCCTCTGGTTTCCCAATATCCGAAACCTATCGCTGACACTGTGCTAGTTCCCTCCTTAATTCCATGCCCACGGGATATCTGGCCCTGCTTCACATTCTCGCCGAGCCTGGTCTTGCCGACGAGGTGCGCAAGGAGCTCATTGATTGCGGCTATCTCGAGCGGTCGCCCAAGGAGATGCTCGAGATCCTTCCCGGGAAGATGCCTCTCCTCAGGTCCATCTGGCACGAAACGCTGCGCATGCACAACAACTCACTGACGGTGCGCGAGGTCACGGCAGACACCAAGTTCACGGGCAAGAACACGTGGCAGGTCCAGAAGGGAGGCGTCATCAATATCCCCTGCGGTCTGATGCATTTCAACGAGGCACTGCACCCGGACCCGGAGTCGTTCCATGCGCGTCGCTTCATGGAGAAGGACCTCGGTGGTGAGGGCGAGAGTCACGCTCGCACCACGAAGCCCTTCGGCGGTGGTTCAACGCACTGCCCCGGTCGGGTCTTTGCGGAGAAGCAGATGATCGGGCTGGTCGCTGCTTTGCTTATGCGCTACGATATGGGAATTGTGAATGCGGATTGGAAGATGCCGCTGGTCTCGGAGTTTGATGATATCACTAAGCAGCCCACTGTGTGGGTCAGGATTTCTAAGAGAGTTTGATGTTGTCGGTGCAATTGCAGGGAAGGAATATGTCACTGGCATTTTGTGGTGGTCAGGGCCAGTAGAATATGTTGTATGCAGGAATTCGTCGATCATGCATATATAGTAGCGAGAAGCTTTAGGGATCAATTTTAACAGTGTCATAGGAAATTTTCACTTCTGTTTGACTGTAGATGCGGTTTCCTTGGTGGGCATAAACCCTGGGGATATTTTTCGAAGACATATACCTGCAGGAGACGAACCCAGAACCTAGCCCTTGCTCCTATTGTTGCTAAGAGGCTTGAGCTAGAAGTCGATGTAAGATTATCAATGCCCGGAGATGCACCTGAGAGAGTTCTCCGGAATTATTTATACTACTACAAGATTTAGCAGCATATGAGTATAGGGCATAGGGGCGTAGGGGAATGGCAATCCCATTGCTCTCAGACCCCGTTCCTCTCATTGGAATCATTTTATGACTTGCAGGACGCGATTGAATCCTGCATTCATCTGAGAGCTCCACCAGCAAGGCTTGGAAGGCCCCGAATCCCCTAGAAGTGGGCCACTCCCACGAGTTCGGGCCAGTCAGCCGGTCGGATTCGGAGTCGGTCCCTCGTATTGACTCCAGTCTCGACTTTCAATGAGATCGGGTTATCAATTGTTGATAGCAGCAGGATGGTTCGCATTAAGTCGGAGATGTTTTGAAGTGTCAAATACTCCCAATACTCGTCTGAATACAGGGTAAATTACCCCGGACCGAGGGTTATTGATGCGTAATTTGGTGTGTTTTCAGATAGTTCCATACTGAAAATACCATACATGTTGATACAGTCAGATTTCTGCCAGTTTACCCATCGGGACTAACCCAAAACAGCTATGTCAATACCTGCGTGTATTTCAGGATCAGCCAAAACACGTATTACCTCAACTATATTTTTACATTATTTGCTCTTTTGTCAACATTGATACTTCTCATTTACATAATCCATTTTAAATAGAGTAGAGTGTTATATTATCGTCCGAGAATTACACTAAAAACTAGAAATATATACCAGAATCACAAGGTTATGGACTTTCAACTCCCCAAAGAGACTAGATATCACCTAGGAGGTAAGAGACCCCTAGGAGGTAAGAGACCATAAGAAAAGGTCCCTATAGACTACAGTTGTTGAGATATCAAGTTGTGCTTATTTGCATTTATTAGGGTGTTTTCACTAATCCACTCGGTGGTGAAATGCGTTATTAGCTGCGGATATGCAATCCGTAGCCCCCGAATGCCACCACCGATAGAAAATCGGCTCCGAAAGACGCACTCCGATCGCTCCTCGGTAAGGAACAGGTGAAGGAAGTCAACAAAAGAAATGCCACAGACTCTCAAACACCATGAATCTCAAGTCAAAATCTATCCAAGATAACATCGGTGGTGGTGTTGTGTCCACTATCTCTCTCTTTCATTCTGATACCTATTGCCTCATTCTGAACTGTTCCCCGAAATGGCACCCACCCAGATACCACAAGAGCCCATTGCCATCGTCGGCAGTGGATGTAGATTCCCAGGTGAAAGTAGCTCACCATCAAAGCTCTGGGAATTGCTGCAAGCTCCTCGCGATGTGCAGACCGAAATTCCTCCTACCCGATTTAATCCGCATGCTTTCTATCATCCTGACAACCTGCACCATGGTACCAGCAATGTTCGCCATTCCTACCTGCTCACCGAAGATCATCGCCACTTCGATGCCCAGTTCTTTGGTATCAAGCCCGCCGAGGCTCATTGCATCGACCCGCAGCAGCGCTTACTCATGGAGACAGTCTATGAATCTCTAGAATCAGCGGGTTTGAGATTGGAAGATCTCCGCGGCTCCGAGACAGCTGTCTATGTGGGACTGATGTGCGGCGATTATGCCGATATCGTGGTGCGGGATACAGAGTCTTTCCCCATGTATCTGTCCACTGGAACCGCCCGGAGTATCATGTCCAACCGTATTTCCTACTTCTTTGATTGGCATGGTCCCTCGATGACTATCGACACCGCGTGTTCTTCCAGTCTGGTGGCTGTTCACGAGGCGGCGCAGACCCTTCGTGCTGGCCGTTCTCGTGTGGCTGTGGCTGCTGGATCAAATTTGTGTCTTGGTCCCGAGCCTTATATCGCCGAAAGTAAGCTGCAGATGCTGTCACCCACCGGCCGCAGTCGCATGTGGGATAGCCAAGCAGATGGATACGCTCGTGGTGATGGTGTTGCAGCGGTAGTCCTCAAGACCTTGAGCGCTGCTTTGGCCGATGGCGACCACATCGAATGTTTGATCCGCGAGACGGGTGTAAACCAAGATGGACGCACCCGAGGTATCACCATGCCTAGCTCTGAGGCTCAAACTCGCCTGATTCAAGACACTTACGCCCGGGCGGGCCTCGACCCCCTGAAGCCTGAGGAGCGTTGCCAATATTTTGAAGCCCATGGTGAGCCAATCCCCACCGCCATGACTAAAACCCCTTTTGCTGACAGAAGAAGGAACTGGTACCCCGACTGGAGATCCTCTGGAGGCTGCTGCCATTCGGCAGGCTTTCTTTCCTGGCGATAACAACCAGGATCGTGGCCGTCTCCTTGTTGGCTCCATAAAAACCGTAGTCGGTCATACAGAAGGAACGGCTGGGTTGGCGGGTGTTCTCAAGGCTTCCCTGGCTTTGCGCAATGGCACAATCCCTCCCAATCTGCTGTTCAATCAACTCAACCCGAAAATCCAACCGTTCTACACGAATTTGGAGATCGCTACAGCCGCCAAACCATGGCCTTTGCTCCCAGCCGGCGTTCCTCGACGTGCCAGTGTCAACAGCTTTGGCTTTGGAGGCACTAACGCCCATGCGATCATCGAGGCGTATGAACCTGCGATCACCGATCCCTCTAAATCGACGGAGACCGATATTGCATTCACTCCATTTGTCTTCTCCGCAGCATCAGAGAGTGCTCTCCGACGCATGTTGGAGTCCTATGCCCAGTACTTGAGCAAGAACCCCACTATCCAGGCCCGCGATCTAGGCTGGACCTTACATGCTCGCCGTTCACGATTCCCCTTCTCGACCGTAATCTCAGGCACAACGACCGATCGACTCCGGTCCAACCTTGAGACACGATTGAATGGCACTGATGGCAAGCAGCCACTGACGATCGTACAGCAAGAGTCACGACCAGAGAACCCTTGTATTCTGGGCGTCTTCACCGGCCAAGGAGCGCAATGGGCAACCATGGGTCGGGCCTTATACCAGTCGCCTCAGGTGCGTGAGATCATCCAGAAGTTGGACGCCTCTCTGCAGGCATTACCTGTTGGCGACCGGCCTAGCTGGACTTTGGCCTCCGAGCTCACAGCCGACGCATCCGTATCTCGCATCAAGACAGCGGAAATCTCGCAACCCATGTGTACGGCGGTACAGGTAGCCCTGGTTCAGTTGCTGCAAAGCGCTGGTGTTGGCTTCGATGCTGTTGTTGGACACTCGTCGGGCGAAATCGCTGCCGCGTATGCTGCGGGATTCTTGTCTGCCACGGACGCGATTCGCATTGCTTACTACCGTGGATTGTGCGCGCAGCTGGCCCAGGGTGCTCGCGGCGAAAAGGGTGCAATGATGGCCGTGGGTACAGGAATGGAAGATGCAAAGGAGCTCTGCGCTGAGCCGGAGTTCCGCGGTCGCATGTCTGTCGCGGCTGTTAACTCGTCTGCGAGTGTCACTCTTTCTGGTGATGCTGACGCCATCGCGCAAGCTAAGGAGATTCTCGATGAAGAGAAGAAGTTCACCCGTGTGTTGGTGGTCGATAAAGCCTACCATTCTCACCACATGCTGGCTTGCTCAGAACGTTACCTCTCTTGTCTGGTCAAGGCACGCATCGTTGTCTCAGTGCCGACTGATACCAAATGCGTCTGGTATTCTAGCGTCCACGAGGGTCCAGTCACAGAGGCTGACTTGGCGAATCTCACGGGCCCCTACTGGAATGACAACATGGTCAACCCCGTGCTGTTTGCACAGGCTGTAGAATCAGCCCTAACTGCCCGGGGCCCATTCAACATGGCCGTGGAAGTTGGTCCGCATCCAGCTCTGCGTGGTCCGGCGCAGCAGACAATTCAGGACCTCCTTGACACTTCCTTGCCGTACATCCCCACTTTGCAACGTGGTATGAATGATGTGGAGGCAATGGCAGAGTGTCTGGGCTTGCTGTGGCAGGGACTTGCCCCCGGATCCGTGGATCTCTCTAGTTACGACGCATTTCTGTCGCAGGGGGCTGTCTGTCGTGTCATCAAAGATCTCCCTGGATACGGCTGGGATCATGACCGTGTGTTTTGGTATGAATCACGCGTGTCTCGCGCGACTCGTCAACGGACCACAGCCAGCCATCCAATTCTCGGAACCCGCTGCCCCGATGGTGTCGAACAGGAATTCCGCTGGCGCAACTTCCTCAGCCTGAAGGAACTACCCTGGCTGACGGGACATCGCATTCAAGGGCAGATCATCTTCCCTGGTGCTGGGTATATCTCAGCAGCCGTGGATGCTGCTCGCGCTATGTCCCGCAACGAGTCAATTCAGTTGGTGGAACTGCAAGAACTACTGATTCGCCAGGCCATTGTCTTTGAGGATGAAAATGCCACGGTGGAGATTCTAGTCTCCATCACCGACGTGACCCACCACTCCAAGGGAATTGTCCGTGCCCAGTTTTCTTTCTACTCCGCTGTGGGTAAGGAGTCGACGCAAATGACCTTGAACGCATCGGGCCGTCTTGTCATCACTTATGGCCCGGTCAGGAAGGATGCACTTCCAATGCAACGTCCTTCTCTCGTGGATATGGTAGATGTGCCCAGTGAGCGATTCTACAATGCATTGGATCCCTTGGGATATAGCTATACCGGGCGTTTCCGAGCTTTGAAGTCGATGCAGCGCAAGCTGGGTATTGCTACTGGTCTGGTGACGCGACAGGAGGCGGCCGATTTGGCGACTGTTACGCTGGATCCGGCGATGCTGGATGCTGCAATCCAGGCTGTGTTACTCGCAAAGAGCTTCCCCGGTGATGGTGAATTGTGGTGTTCGCAAGTCCCCAAGGTGATTCATCGCATTGCTGTCAACCCTTCCCTATGCACTCCGTCTGGCAACGGGGAAGAGTCTACCTTCCCTTTGGACGCAGTCCTCACCATGATGAAGGCGTCCGACACTCAAGGTGACGTTGATGTTTATTCTGCCGATGGACAGCACACAATGACCCGTATGGAGGGTATCCACGCGGTTCCCTTGGAAGCTGCGAATGCGGATCGGGATCGACCCTTCTTTAGCGGTGTTGTCTGGGGACCAGGAGCTCCGGATTCGCAGACAGTCAACTTCGACGCTACTGCTACGCCCGAGGAGTATGAATTGGCCTATGTTCTAGAGCGGGTGGCGACGTTTTACCTGCGAAAGATTCATCTCGCCTTCCCCATGGATCATTCTGCCCGGCATGAAGGGTCTTATGTGGGGCTGCTGAACTATGCAACTCATGTAACCCAGCAGGTGGCCAGTGGTCACCATCGATACACCCAACCCCACTGGGCCCGAGATACAGAAGCCTTTATCAAGTCTGAAAGCCAGCGGTTCGTACTTCATACATCTAGGTTTGGAGTCAAAACGCCGAACTTGCTAATGGATACATAACAGGTTTCCCAACAACGTTGACTTAGCAGTTATGCACATCATTGGCGAACATGTAGTCGATGTGATCAGCACTCGAGCCACCATCCTCGAATATCTAACTGAGGATAATCTGCTCAGTCGGTACTACGAGCAAGCCATGGGTATTGGTCATTTCAGTGACTACCTTGCTAGTGTGGTCGAGCAAATTGTTCACCGGTACCCACACATGAAAGTTCTAGAGATTGGTAGGTACTTCACTTTCGATCCTGCAACAGGTACTAATACTGTTGTATCTGTATAGGTGCTGGTACTGGTATGGCCACCAAGAAGGTGATCCAACGGGTCGGACATAGTTTCGGCAGTTATACCTTTACCGACATTACGAGTGGCTTCTTCGAGAATGCCCGTGAGATTTTCGCCAGCTATCAGGACCAAATGGTGTACAAGGTCCTGGACGTAGAAAAGGATCCTGTGGCTCAAGGGTTCGGGGAGCAGTCATACGATCTCATTATCGCCTCTTTCGTGCTTCATGCTACCAGCCACCTCGAGACGACTCTACGCAACCTCCGTCGTCTGTTAAAGCCTGGTGGCTATGTGATAATGCTTGAGGTCACCAACCTGGAGCAAAGTCGCCTTGGTTACATTTTCGGTTCCCTGCCTGGCTGGTGGCTTGGTGCCAACGATGGGCGTGTTCTGTCTCCCTGCGTACCTACGGAAGAATGGGATCGGCTGCTCAAGCTGACGGGCTTTTCTGGCGTTGATACTGCCACCTCTGACGCGGATGCCCTTCCCTATCCTGCTTCTGCGATTGTTTCACAGGCTGTCGATGAAACAGTCGACTTCCTTCGCAATCCCCTCGGTACCTCTAGCGATATTGTGAACCGTGCCACCCCCGTTGTACTTATCGGTGGTGCCTCGAGCTCCGTACGCATGGTTCGAGATCTCGTCAAAAAACACCTCGATACTTGGTTCGATCAGGTACAGGCTGTTGAGCGCTTTTCCGACTTGGTGGCAATATCGCCTGCCCTATCCAATGGGCTTCTTACGCTGAACCTGTCGGACTTGGACGAACCCGTGTTCCAGAACATAACAGCAGATTCCCTTGCTGCATTGAAGCTGCTATACGAGCGCTCGAACTACGTTCTTTGGGTTACTGAAGACGCCCATGCTGGCAACCCGCATCAGAATCAGAGTCTGGGCTTTGGTCGTTCAATGATGGTTGAGATGCCCCATGTGCAATCTCAGTTTTTGGATCTCGATCGAATTACGGAGACATCTAGTGTTGCCTCCAGAATTGTGGATGCCGCTCTGCGCTTCGTTGGGGTGAATATGCCCGATCGTGGTGGAGATGTTGCAAGTGCCGGTCTTCTGTGGTCTACTGAGCCTGAAATTGCTGTTGTCGGTGACCAGGAACTATTGCCCCGAATCAAGCTTAACCGGTCTCAAAATCTGCGATACAATGCGTCCCGTCGTGCAATTGCTGAAGATGTTGACATGGACCAGAAGTCTGTCCAGCTCGTGCGTAACGGGAACATATACGCTTTGGAGCAGGGGTCTACATCTGGATTCGGGAAACAGACACCAGGTTACACCAGGATCCGTGTCGAGGTATCCTCTTTGAGGACTCTGCGTCTTCAAAGGGGAAATGACTTGTACCTTGTCGCTGGTACCGTGCTGGCAACAGGGGAGAAGGTTATTGGCTTCGCTGATAAGAATAGCTCAATCGTGGACATTCCTCCCAGCTGGATGGTGCATCGTCCAGATACATCCCCGACTGCTCTTATCTTATCCATTCTCGCCCGCCTCGTCAGTCGCGCCATTCTCTCCTCCATTGCTCCAGGCGGAGTTTTGGTGGTCGCAGAGCCGGATGAATTGTTTGCACCCGTTTTGGAATGGCAGGCGTCCCAGCAAAAGATCCGAGTTGTCTTTGTCACGACTCGGGAAGATGCACCCGAGCGTCCAAACTGGGTTGTGCTCCATTCTCAAGTCCATGTTCGCTCCTTGCCTAAGCTTGCGCCCGCCGAACCGGTCACCATCCTGGACCTCTCGACAGGCGAGGAGCCCAGTGCGCTGGCTCTCAAGTTGCGCGCCTCGTTGCATCCAGCCTCGGCCTTTGAACGACTGACCTCCTGGTTTAGTGATCATGCCCAGCATGGCGAGATCCACATTCCTGCCGAAGCAATGTTGACTATATATAGACCTCCAATGAGCCCTCCAGCTTCCAACAAGGTCATTGCAAGCCACTCTTTCCCTGTCACGGAGGTTGCTCAGATCTCCGTAGCGCAATTTCCATTGACTGCAGTAGACTGGCAGTCGACCTCGCGCATTCCTGCCTTGATTCGACCGGTTGATCACTATCCTATGCTGAAGTCTAACAAGACATACTGGCTAGTCGGACTCACAGGATCTTTAGGATTGTCTCTCTGTGCATGGATGATCCAACAAGGAGCTCACAATGTGGTTTTGACTAGTCGAAACCCGAAGATTGACCCGATTATTCTCCAAGAACTGAGATTATCTGGTGCACGTGTGGAGATCTATGCCGGGTAAGCTGTCTCAATTCGTGAGTCCTCAAAATGGAAGCTAACGTTCTCGCAGTGACGTGACAAACCGGGACAGTCTGCGTGGTGTTTATGATCGCATCTGCCAGACTCTCCCTCCTGTAGCAGGTGTAGCCCAAGGCGCTATGGTCCTCGTAGATACGATGATCAAGGACATGGAGGTTGACGCCATGCAGAGAGTTCTGCAACCTAAGGTTGTGGGAAGTATCAACCTGGACGAACTCTTCTCGGCTGAGCGCCCTCTCGACTTCTTCATCTTTTTCTCATCCGCGACCTGTGTCACTGGAAATATTGGGCAATCGAACTACGCTGCAGCGAACATGTTCATGACCGGTTTGGCGGCCAACCGTAAACGCCGTGGGCTGGCAGGATCGGTCATGAACATCGGTGCCATCATGGGTGTCGGATATGTTACCCGGGAGACCAGCGAAGCCCTCCAGCGCAATCTGTTGAAGAGTGGCCACGTTTGGATGTCCGAGCAAGACTTCCATACGATCTTTGCCGAGGCCATCTTGGCAGGTACACCTGGCTCCGATGCAAATGTAGAGATCACCTGTGGTTTGAGAATTACCAACGCCTCAGAGGAACAGCGGCCTCTATGGTCTTTTAACCCGCGCTTCCAGCACCTAGTCGTCATGGAAGACCGGATGGAAGAGACAGATGGACAGGACAAGAAGGGAATGTCTCTCAAATTACAGCTGCGCGAAGCTCTAACGGCAGACGATATCTACGAGGCCGTTAAAGGTAAGCAAGGTATCAATGGTATCAAATCATATATGCTAACAGAGGATGCCAGAATGCTTCATTGCCAAATTGCAGATCATGCTCGGACTGGACGATGCAGCGACCAACTCGATCACTTCCAAGGCAGCTGATGACTTGGGAATTGACTCGTTGAACACCGTGGAAATTCGTTCCTGGTTCCTCAAGGAGATGAAGGTCGACATCCCTGTCCTACGTATTTTGGGCGGCGCTACCATTGGAGAGATCATCAAGTTTGCCTTGGAGAAGCTGCCGTCCGAAATGACTCCCAGTCTGGGTTTGGCTCCTGCTGCTGGCGCTGCTTCAAAGGCTGCATCTCAACCCAAGCCCAAGCCGAAGGTGGTTGTGGAGCGACGAAACGTTCCTAGTCTTCAGAAAAATATTGTCCGCCCTGCCGGGTCTCGCACGAGCTCCAGTGCGACTGGCACCTCGAAGTCGGTTTCGCCCGCACGCTCTGCGGATGCATCCTCTTCACAGACTAGCGAGGCGACCAGCCCTTCAATCCACATGGCGGAAGTGACGAAATCTCTCAAATCTCTTACTCCTCTTCCCAGGGCTGATGTGGGGGGCTCCAATATGGGCAGGGTCATCACTCCCGTCGAACAGAAACTCAGCACGGCTGCTCTCTCAGTCCGCAATGAACTACTCTCTTTCGGACAGTCCCGCTTCTGGTTTTTGAAGCTCTTCCTGGAAGACCAGACTACCTTCAACATTACCTGTCTCTTGCGGATGACAGGGCCACTATCTGTCGATTCTCTGTCTCGCGCTGTTACTGTGGTCGGACAGCGTCATGAAGCCCTTAGAACAAGCTTTACCGTTGAAGACGGACAATCTCCTATGCAAACAATTCTTCCCGAGTCAACGCTCAAGTTGGAGCGCCAGGAGTACCGGACCATGGCCGATGTCAATGCAGCGACGAAGAAGTTGACCCAGCATGTGTACGAACTCGAATCAGGAAAGCTCATGCGAGTCATTTTGCTCTCCTCCACGTCTGACAGCTCTGTCCACTATGTTCTCATTGGTTACCATCACATCAACATGGACGGAGTCAGCCTGGAAGTCTTCCTTGCCGACCTCGAAAAGGCCTATCGGGGTCAAGCCCTCAGTTCAGACCTTCTGCAGTACCCTGACTATGCCGCCAAGCAACGCCAGGAACGCAACCAAGGGGCATGGCAAGAGGATCTGACCTTCTGGAAAAATGAGATGACGGGCAGTAATTTGGAGTTTCCGCTTCTGCCTCTGGCCGCTGTTGCCATTCGCAAACCTCTAACTCGGTACAATCATCACCGCGTCGAGCAACGTTTGGATGCTAGGATTGGTGCTCAGGTCCGACAGCTGTGTCGGTCTATCAGGACGACTCCTTCGCACTTCTACCTCGCTACATTCACTGCTCTGCTCGCCCGCCTCGCTCAGACCCGTGAGGTCTGGGTGGGCATGGCGGACGCAAACCGCATCCAGGCCGAAACTGCTGACAGTATCGGCAACTATCTGAACCTTCTAGCTCTTCGCATGCAATACGATCCCGAGCAATCATTCGCAGCGAGTGTGCAGGCGGCACGCAAGAAGTTTTACGGGGCACTCGCGCATTCGCGCGTTCCCTTCGATGTTGTACTCTCTGAACTGCAAGTGCCTCGGTCCTCCACTCACAGTCCGCTATTCCAGGTCTTCATGGACTACCGTCAGGATGTACGAGAAAAACGCATGTTCGGGGACTGCCAGTTTGAGGGTGTCGAATATGAGATGGGTCGGACCGCATATGACATTGCTCTCGATGTGGTGGATACCGCAGACGATGGACCGCTGATCATCATGGGCCTGCAAGAGTCGCTCTACAGCGCTGATGCCGCCCAGACGCTGCTTAATAGCTTCCTGGCTATGGTTTGTGCATTTGCCGAGGACTCGAAGCAACCTGGAGGTCAGGTCTCTTTGTTCGGCGCGTTGGATCTTGAAAAGGCCCTAGCTTTAGGCAATGGTAAGTGTCCCGTTATATGGAATAAGCGCACAGTTCATTAATTTCCTTGTCTCAGGTCCTGTTGTCCCGTCTCAGTGGCCAGCGACGCTTTCCCACCGCATTGATGACATGGCGAAGCAATATCCTCAGAAGCTGGCATTGAATGACGGTGATAAGTTGCGACTTACGTTCCAAGAGATGAGCCAGCGAGTTGACTCGATCGCGTCTGCTTTGCTGAGTGCCAATTTCAGCCACCAACAGCGCGTGGCCGTCTTCCAACACCCATCCAGTGACTGGATTTGTTCAATGCTGGCTATTCTCCGGGTTGGTGCGACATATGTTCCTCTTGACTTGCGTCTGGAGCTGGCTCGACTGCGTTCTATTGTCCAGGACTGCGAGCCGACTGTCGTCCTAGTCGATAGTCACACCCAATCCCAGGTATTGGATCTCATGCTTACTCGCCCTGCACTGACCATTAATATTGGAGACCTGCCACGCATCGCTCCCTTCCCAGTCACGAACCGTGCTGCAGCCGAAGACGAGGCAGTTATTCTATACACCAGTGGCTCGACAGGAACTCCCAAGGGCATTCCACTGACCCATGAAAACCTTCGGGTCAATATTGAAGGCAACGAGGCCGAGTTCCAATTTGGCCCGGATGATTCTCTTTTGCAGCAGATTGCCTTCAGCTTTGACTTTTCCGTCTGGCAGACATTCATGGCACTAGCCAACGGTGCCTCTCTTTTCATCGCTCCTGTCACCCACCGCGGAGACCCAGTCGCTCTCATGGATCTTGTAGTTCGCGAGGGTATCACCATCACTGGCGCAACTCCTTCTGAGTATCGCAGCTGGTTCCAACATGGCGATCTGGCCCGCCTCAAGATATCGCAGTGGAAAACCGCTGTGAGTGCAGGAGAGGCCATGACTACCAACATGATTCGTGATTTCCAAGAACTTAACAAACCTGATTTGAGACTTGTGAATGGATACGGGCCCACCGAAGCCAGCATGTCGTCGAACAAGCTTGTTGTGCCTTATCTTACCAACAAGGATCATCCTGAAGAGTGGATGGAGAAGGGATCTGTAGTAGCAGGCTACACGGCTCCTAATTATTCCATCTACATTGTTGATGAAGCCATGAGCCTGCTTCCAGTTGGCCTTCCAGGTCAGATCCTGATCGGTGGCCCAGGTATTGCATCTGGTTACCTCAACAACAAAGAGCTCTCCCGCGCCAGATTCATCGATGATAAGCACGCCAGTCCTGAGCAGCGAGCCTGCGGGTGGCGATGGGCGCACCTGACCGGCGACCGAGGACGTATTGGTGCTGATGGACGCCTGCGCATCGAAGGCCGCATCGAGGGTGATACTCAGGTCAAGCTGCGCGGTTACCGAATTGACCTGCAGGACGTTGAAGCCGCCATCTTGAAAGCGTCACCTAGTGCTTTCAAGGACCTGGTCGTCTCGCTCCATCAGGCGACCCAAGCTCTCGTTGCACATGTTGTGTTCAGCCAAGATTACCCAGAACGCAAACGCTCGCAGGCGCTCGAGATTAAGTCTCTGGAGCTCCCGCGGTACATGTGGCCTGCTCGAATTGTTCCAATTGATCAGATGCCCGTCACAGTTCATGGAAAGCTCGACCGCAAGGTACTAAAGACCATGGACCTCCCTGCCATTGAGCCAATCAAGCAGACTTCGACTGCCCATCTCAACGAGACACAGGCTCAATTAGTCAATCTATGGGAGGAAGTCATCTCAAAGGACATTTTGGCTGCCCACCATATTGTTGCCGAGTCTGACTTTTTCGCCGTTGGCGGTACCTCGATGCTTCTGGTTGACCTACAGCGACAGATCAAGAGCCAGTTCAAGAAGGAGATAGCACTTGCAGAGTTGTTCTCAGCGAACACTATCCAGAAGATGGCTCTTCTTATCCAGCCGCAAGAAGAGATTGCTACTCCCACTGCCGTGGACGTCGCTTTGCCCTTCTCTCCATCTCTTTTAGCCCCAACTACGATTGACTGGAGTGAGGAAGTTCAACTCCCCTGTGCCCTTCGCGAGCAGATCAGCAGCGGCACTACAGTGTCTGTGCCCGTGAAGAGCTCCGGTCTACGCATCGTTCTAACCGGTGCCACGGGCTTCATCGGCCGGGCTCTCCTACAACAGCTTACTTCTAACCCCGCCATCAGCACAATCCACTGTATCGCCGTGCGCAACACGTCCACCATTCCTGCTCACGACAAGATCCTTGTTCACGCCGGCGACTTGGCTCATGCCTCCCTAGGTCTCGCTCCGGGTGAAGCGCAAGCCATCTTCCGTGAAGCCGACGCCGTTATTCACAACGGGGCGGACGTCAGCTTCATGAAGTCGTACCACTCGCTGCGACGCACCAACGTCGAATCGACCATCACCTTAATCCAGAACTCCCTCTCTCGCCAGATTCCCTTCCACTACATCTCGTCCAGTGGGATCGCCAACCTGGCCGGCACCACAACCTTCGCCGAAGTGTCGGCGGCCAGTTTCACGCCACCGGCTGACGCAAGCCAGGGCTATCTTGCTACCAAATGGGCGTCTGAGAGGCTTCTAGAGGAGGCGCACCGCGAATGCGGTCTGCCCGTCTACATCCACCGGCCCTCCAGCGTGACAGGGAGTAACGCTCCTCCCTTGGATCTAATGGACAACCTCATGGCCTACGCGCGTCGTCTCAAGGCGGTACCCATGCCTGAGCGCTCGTCCTGGAAGGGGTACCTGGATTTCGTCCCCGTGGAGCAGGTCGCCCGTGACGTCGCGGGAGACGTGTTTTCCGCTGCTGGAACGGTCCCGTCAGCGCGGGTGAGCAAGGTGCACTATATCCATCACCTTGGCCGCCAGGTCTCTTTGACTGGAGTTCAGACATATCTCGAGCGGGAGACCGGGGCCGTGTACCGTGCGTTGAAGATGGACGAGTGGTTGGAGGAAGCTGCACAGGTGGGAATGGATACGTTGCTACGCGCGTATCTGGAGAGTATGGATAAGGAGGATGTCAAGGTCGTGTTTCCCCGATTGGTGGCCAGCAAGAGGCACGCATCGACTGCGGGTGTGGTGAAGGGAGTGAAGACTGGGGAATCATGGTTGGAAAAGGGCAAGACCTTGTTGTTTTCTTGGTGATTTGTTTATTCTCGAATACTCTTTGCACCTTGTTTGGTTGAAAGAATGTAATCCTTGTCTATATCCTATCATTGCAAATCAAAGCCCGAGTCAAACCATCTACACAACGCCTGGTAAATACCTCTGTCGTAGTAGAATCCGTAGTCTGTATATAACCTATCTCGCATACAATAGACCTCACCCCACCATCTACGCTCTCTCGAGTCGGTGATCTCGTGCCGCTAGGCTGTAATACCATGACATTGGCAGGCATAAGCGTCAGGGCCGACCTCCGAATGGTCTCCGATTTCCGTCGGGGCTTCAGTCCCCGGTTCGAGTGCAGCAAACAGTACCTGGCTGGCCCTCAATCCCTCGCACTGCGCAATGAGCTCGTTGTTACGCATCTATGCTATGATGATTCCATCCAAAATAGAAGATCTGCGAGAGAGCTCCATAATCAATAATCCGAGTGTCAGGAACTACAGGCTACAGCGACGTGCATTTCGGAAAAGGAACCGATCACCGGGCCCTTTACGCCAGTAGAATGCAACTGCAGTCCACAACGAAACCCGCATGGGTTGTTAGATCCACTCGATCCACTTGAGTAGGATGCACATGGCGAGGTTAGATATTTCTCAATTCTCCCTCGTCGGTAGGAAGGTTAAGGCTGAGAGGCCCCTCCTCCGACGCCGACCCGAAAGCATTCGGCGGGTTGTCCGAACGAAAATCGGACATCACCGGACCCTGCATTGTCAGATATCAAACTCCTCACTGTTAATTCGTGCTGTATATACTTGGCTACCATGGGAGTGGCCGTCCTTTTAACAGATTCAGCCAGCTCATTTCACCAGAAAGCAGGAATCATAAACCAGGCTCACCTACCTGCTTGACACACAAAAGACGACAAGATACAACGGCCTACCTTCCACTCCAACTCAGCTCTATACCCCAAGCTTGCTCATCTTTCTCACCTATTATCAATTTGACCACAATCTCTCTGCATAATGATCACCGCAATGACTCCAAGCGACACGGACGCCTCTGAGCTCGGCGACCTGGGCGTCATGCCCATCGCCATCATCGGCATGGCCTGCCGGTTCCCCGGCGATGCGTCCAGCCCGGAGAAGCTCTGGGACCTCTGCGCCAAGGGAAAGAGCGCCTGGTCACCGATTCCAGACAGTCGGTTCCACGCGGAGAGCTGGTATCATCCCGATAAGGGACATCTTGGAACGGTATGTTCACAGATTCTGCTTCTGAAGAGGCTTCTTGGGGAAATGTCTGTCTGACTGAAGAATATTCGATAGTCATATGTAAAAGGCGCACATTTCCTCACAGAGGATATCTCTCGGTTCGATGCCGCTTTCTTCAACTTCACGGCAGAATCGGCCAGTGTAGGTTTTCCCATTATCTTCAGTTGCCGGAGGAGAAAAAATGGTAGAAGAGGGCCCAGACTGACGTGATTCCAGACAATGGACCCCGAAGTGCGCATGCAACTAGAGACCGTCTACGAAGCCCTAGAGAGCGCCGGGCTGCCGCTGGACCAAGTGGCGGGGTCGCGCACGGGTGTGTACGCGGGCACCTGCTTCCGAGACAACCACGACAGTCTGATGCGTGACCCGGATACGCTAGCGCGGTTCTTCCTGACAGGAAACGGGGCGGCGATGATCGCCAACCGGGTCTCGCACTTCTTCGATCTGCGCGGCCCTAGCCTGATGGTCGACACGGGTTGTTCGACGACGCTGACCCTGCTACACCTGGCGTGTCAGAGCGTGCGTGCGGGCGAGTCGGAGATGGCTATCGTAGGTGGGTCGAACGTCCTGCTCAACCCGGACATGTTCATCGCCGGTTCGAATCTGAGTTTGTTGTCGGAGGCCGGCCGGTGTTTTGCGTTTGATTCGCGCGCCGCCGGGTATGGGCGCGGCGACGGCATCGCCAGCATCGTCATCAAGCCCCTGGCGGCGGCGCTGCGCGACGGGGACCCCATCCGCGCAGTCATCCGCAACTCAGCGGCGAACCAGGACGGGAAGACGTCCACGCTCACCTCACCAAGCCAGAACGCGCAGGAGGAGCTGATGCGCGAGTGCTACGACATGGCGGGGCTCGATCCACGGGACACGAGCTATGTCGAAGCCCATGGCACGGGGACGCAGGCGGGCGACACGGTCGAAGCCCATGCCATCGGGAACGTCTTCGGCACGGGGCGGAGTAGCGACTGCCCGCTGGTGATCGGCTCGGTGAAGACGAATATCGGCCACACGGAGGCGGCCAGCGGACTGGCCGGTGTGATCAAGGTTGTCGTGGCGATGGAGAAGCAGGCGATCCCCCCGCATCTGAACTTCAAGTCTCCGAATGAGAAGATCTCGCTGGAGGCGTTGAACCTGAAGATCCCCCTTAGTCTGCAGGAATGGCCGTCCCTACCGATGCAGCGGGCGTCAATCAACAATTTCGGGTATGGCGGTGCGAATGCCCACGTTATCGTGGAAAGCACGGAGAGCATGTTGCTGCCGATAACTCCATCTTCCTCGGAGATGGGCAATACCCCTAACCCGAAGAAGCGCTCTCGCGTGTTCGTGCTCAGTGCCAAGGATCCCACCGCAGCCCGCAGCATGGGGGAGAACCTGTGCGACTACGTCGCCACCAACCTAGAGAACAGCAGTGAGAACCAGGAACAGATCCTCGACCAGCTAGCCTTTACCCTCGGACAGCGACGCACCCGCTTCCCCTGGACCATGGCTTGGAGTGGCTCGTCGCTCGCCGATGTACATGCCACGCTCGACTCTGCCCGGTCGTCGGCTCAACGCAGCACACGTGCACCACGCGTGGGCATGGCCTTCACCGGTCAGGGCGCGCAGTGGTTTGGCATGGGTCGCGAGCTATTCGGTGCTTATCCGGTGTTCCGTGACACGATGTATGAAATCGATGCCTGCCTGAAGAAGATGGGCGCCACCTGGTCCGCGGTCGAGGAGCTGCACCGGGACGCCAAGGAGAGCCGCATTAATCAGGTCACATTCAGTCTTCCACTGAGTGTGGCGATCCAACTGGCGCTGGTGGACTTGTTGCGTTCCTGGGGGATCCGTCCCGCAGGAGTGACCGGTCACTCCAGTGGCGAGGTTGGTGCAGCCTATGCCGCCGGTGCCATCACCCTGGCGGGCGCGATGGCAATTGTCTACACCCGTGGCGATCTAACGAGCCAATTCCAGAAGCTCCTGGATCGCCGAGGCGGTATGGTCGCCGTGGGTCTAGGACGCGAGGAGGCCGAAAAGGCGCTGGCGGAGGTTCAGTCTGGCACGGCGGTCATCGCCTGTGTCAACAGCCCGTCCAGTGTGACGATCTCCGGCGACGAGTGCGCCGTGGAGGAAGTTGAGGCCCTGCTCACGGCCCGCGGGGTCTTTGCGCGCCGTCTCCGGGTCGAGGCAGCCTATCATTCGCACCACATGTTGCCGCTGGCTGAGGCCTATCGGGTACTGCTATCGCGCTTCCTCGAGCCGAATCCCGAGTTTGACCCCACGGTTGTCTACTCATCCCCGACCACGGGTGACCGGATGACGTCCGCGGCGGATATTGCTCATCCTGATCACTGGGTGCGCAACATGATACAGCCAGTCGAGTTCCTGAGCTCCCTGCGCAACCTGTGCAGTGATACTGCTCCAGCCGGCAGCAGCACCAGCACCGCGGTCGACATGCTCGTGGAAGTCGGGCCCCACGGCGCTCTCGCCGGACCCATCCGGCAGACGTTAGCGCTGCCGGAGCTGAAAGACGCGGGGATCACATACGCCTCGTGTCTCTCGCGCGGCCAGGGCGCGGTCCAGACCATGCATCAGCTCGTCTGCACTCTCCTGCAGGTCGGCTACCCTGTTGACCTCGAGGCCGTGAATTTCCCCTACGGCCGCAGCGACGTGCCGGTCCTGAATAACCTGCCCCCCTACCCCTGGAACCACGAGGCATCGTACTGGGCCGAGCCCCGTCGCAATCAAGAACTGCGCGGCCGAACCGTCGCTCCCCACGATCTCCTCGGCGTCCCGGCCGCAGGCTCGACCCCGACCACGCCAACTTGGAGACACGTGGTGCGTCCCCGCGACATCCCATGGGTGCGCGACCACATCGTGCAGGGGGCGATCGTCTACCCGGGAGCGGGATACGTCAGCATGGTCGTCGAGGCGCTGCGACAGCTGCAGACGCCCGACCAGCCCAGCCAGGGCTACCAACTGCAGGAGATCCAGATCCGCAACCCGTTGATCCTGGAAGACACGGCGGAAGGAGTCGAGGTGCAGTTGTCGCTGCGTCTTTGTGGCGATCGCATCCGCCAGGCTCAGGGGTGGTATGAGTTCCTGATCCAGTCCGTCAACCAGACGGGTGATTCTTGGACCTTACACTGCGAGGGTCTCTGCTGCTGCACGCCGTCTCTCGCCCAGGGCACGGGCTGGGCAGGCCCGCCTACGCCGATTAGTGCGCCATCCTCCGCCGTGACGGCCAGTGTGTGGCGCACCCTCAACCCCGTGGATACGTACAAGACGCTGCACGAGGTCGGCGTGTGCCACGGCCCGATCTTCCAGAACCTGGTGTCCGCGCAATCCGCGCCCGGGCACTCTCAGTCCGTGTTCCAGGTCGCCGACTCCGCCGCCACCATGCCCCAGGGATACCAGCAATCTCACATCATTCATCCCACCACGTTGGACACGGTGTTCCAAGCCGTCTACCACAACCTTCCAGCCGGGGGTACGCAGCAGCGCACCGCCATGATCCCGACGTTCATCCAGAACCTGTGCATCTCGGCAAACCTGATTGCTTCCCCCGGTCACCAGTTCCGCGCTGATTCGACTCTGGTAAAGGTCAGCGGACAAGGGTTCGAGTCTTCGGTCCGTGTCATCAACAATGCAGGCGCCGACGGGTCGGAAGAGCCAGCAGCACCGGTACTCACTCTAGACGGACTCTTCTGTCAGTCTCTGGGTTCTAGTGCCGCCGTGTTGACGCCCGACGACAAACTCTGCTATACTTCTGTGTGGGCGCCGGATTTCGATTTC